TAATGTTACACGTTTAATTGTAATATTTGTCTCCTATCATTTTCTTCCCTTTCAATCATAATAAATGATTTACAAAACCCATTTTGAGCATTACCTTTTGAATAATCTTCAAGAAATACCTAATGTTTTCATTGTCAAAGCTGAGGTGTAGTACTAGTGAAAATGGTAGTTATTACCTCCTTCTCTTGCATTCGTGCTTTGTCTTCAGTGTTGCTGTGTTTTATCCATATAAAAGAAAGCTGTTTTGGCAAATTGTAATTTTAATCCATATGTGTGCATATTGATACACAATATATAAATAGGTAAATAGATAGAAATATTGGTTCTCCCATGATTTCATATTTCATATAGGTGAGTTGAATGGACTATGTTCCAAAAATTTGTTTTAAATGTTCTGGATTGTGTGTGTGTGTGTGTGTGTGTGTGTGTGTGTGCCCTTAAAATCAAATACTATCATAGCTTAGAAATGAATTTAACTCTCAATTTACAAGAGAAGTTAGTCACAACTTATAAAGACCCCCTATTTCAAAAATGTGTTTAATAGTTTGCTGTTTGGATTTTTTTTTCATAAAAATACATGTGCTTACATCTACCTGCCAATTTAATAAAAATACACAGTGGTCAAGTTCCTAGAACAATACATTTAACCCTTAATTGCACCTGAAGCATGATCCTGAAGAAGTAACCACCATGGATAACCATGTTTCTCTAGAAAAAGGCTTTACCTGTTGGTGGGATGCCAAGAACATATTTCCCCCACCCACTCCCCCGCCCCGAGCAGCTGATTTCTAGGGAGGGGAGGCTCCAGTAATTTGAAAATTGAGGAAGAGAAGTGACAAGCAGGAAGAAGTGGACAGAGCAGTTTCCCTGCTGCCCACCTGATTTATGCAGAAATGACATCTCTCACATTTTCCCCCAATCTATTTTCCCTAAAAGAAGAAAGGGATGGCCGGGCATGGTGGCTCATGCCTGTAATCCCAGCACTTTGGGAGGCCGAGGCGGGTGGATCACAAGGTCAGGATCTGGTCAAAAAAAAAAAAAAGAAAGAAAATGATGTTGGCAAAGCACAGGAGTATCTGAGATTACAGGCACCTGCCACCACGCCCAGCTAAGTTTTTTTTTTTTTTTTTTTTTTTTTTGAGACAGAATCTTTCTCTGACGCCCAGGCTGGAGTGCAGTGGCGCCATCTCGGCTCACTGGAAGCTCCACCTCCCGGGTTCACCCCATTCTCCTGCCTCAGCCTCCCAAGTAGCTGGGACTACAGGCGCCCGCCACCTTGCCCCGCTAATTTTTTGTAGTTTTAGTAGAGATGGGGTTTCACCACGTTGGTCAGGCTAGTCTCCTGACTTCAGATAATCTGCCTACCTTGGCCTCCCAAAGTGCTGGGATTACAGGCATGAGCCACCGTGCCCGGCCTGCCAACATCATTTTCTAATAAACAGAGTAGGGGTGGGAGGGGAAGGGCATCTCTTTCTGAACGTGCTGCTAGGTTATATTGTGGTTTTATGAAAATCAAATTACTCTTCTTTAACAGTGGCAGTGGCAAGAGAAGGCTAATTCCCTCTCTCACTATGGGGCTCTAATGAATTCCCTGGAGTTCCTAGGAACGGAATATTGGGTAATACCAGAGGAAATGGCTTAGATGTTATTAACTTCTTGAGTTTCTAGAAAATGCTATCAAACTCCAATAAGAGTTGCCTTTTATGAGAGAAAAGTTAACAGAAAGTGTAACCTTAGAAAAGCTTGTGGAGAGTTCTTAGGTTTTGGATCATGTACAGATTATAAGATGTTCCCCTCAGGGATAGGGTATCATCAACACTGCTTTCATGTTCTGACTATTCTACCGAAACTTCTTCACATGAGGTTGTCACTGACCACTTAACTGCCAAGTCCAGCAGACCCCAAATGGTCCAACTATCTGCTGGGTGATATCTCAAACTCACCATGTCCTCTAAACCTGCTTCTCCTGCTCTGTGCCCCTCAAAATTGGTTAAGAGGATCACCAGTTCATCAATCAAGAAAGAAACATTGACTTTTCTCCCTCTTACCAACGTCTTACTCTCTACTGCCTAGTAATTGTATTAGATAGAACTCTTTTTGCTGTAAATTCCAAAATTCAACTTGAACCAGCTTAGACAAAAATGAGAAGTTGTATTACAAGGATATTAGGATGTCTCATATAATCAAAGAGTCAGCTGAACAACCAAGCCATAAGAAAGGTGAGGACACAGGTAAGCCTTAGGGACAACTAGAACCATGAGACATATGCCAGCACTTTGTCTTCATATTGATGTGTGTCTGCTACTGTGTGCTCACTAACTACAAAATAATTCATTTAGCACAAAATATACTAATTTCCTCTAGAGGTGGAGTGACTTGCTTTTCCCAATTCTAGTTTGAAAAATTTCAGGGAAGGACTGGGATTAACCCAGCTCATGTTAGGTGTTTACTCTGAACCACCCCAAACGTACTCATCATTAGGAGAATGCTTAAGTAAATGATGAAAAAATCTATGTAGTGAAATATTCTGCAACAATCAAAGTTATGTTTATGATGCCTTTTTAAAATTTGATATGGTGCATTTTTAAAATTTGATATGGGGAAATACATGCTAAAATCAGGATGTTAATTAACTTTACAATTAATCTCAACTTTGTAAGGAAAAAGATTAGAATGAAACATATCAAATGTATTTCCAAAATACCTAACAATGATTACTTCCGGCTTATGCTTATTTTACCCTCTTAATTTTCTGTGCCTACCTTTTTTCCCCTACAATTAGCTTATGTAACTTTGAAAACAAGGGAAAAAAATTCAAACTCTGCCTGTCACTTTCCTAGCTATTGTTAATAGCCTCCACATGGTCTTTAGATGCCAAAATATCCTTCACGCAGCTGCAAAAAATTATCTCATGAAACTCATGTCTAATCATGGCACACTCCTATTTTTCAACCCTATTTGGTTTCTCATAACCAACACAGTAAAGTTTAGACTACAGTATTCTTCACAGTAGCCCCATCTACCTGCCCAGTTTGCTCTTCCACTGTAGCTCCACCACGTACTTTATATGATCTCACCCCAAACTATTCAGTTTCCCAGATACATCCTGCACACGCCTTTACCCTTCTGCACTGTTGCTCATTCTATCCAGAAAGGAGCATAAAATGGTCTCCTTCTCCTTCCATTCTTACCTTAAGAACAATCTTCATCTACCCAGGAAGGTCACTTTCTTTGCCCAAGTATGAAGGCCTCAAGAGGAATGAGGGAAGAAAGGGGAACTCACCTGCTCAGTCAGATCAACTGAATCAACACTGAATCAGTGCTGCTGATCAGGGCCCAGCCAGATCACCTTCACTTTCCTTGTTACCAAGCTCCTTCCTTCAAACACCTCTCCCAGTTATTCAAACAAGTGTACTTTTGAAGTGCTAGTACTGAGTACTGTGCCCAGTACATAGCAAGCACTTGGCAAAAATATTAGCTGTCGTTATTGCTATCAATATCAACAGGGCTTCCTAACTAGCATGCAAAAGTATTCTGAAGTTCTAGAACCCCAATCATTACAATTCATTACAATCTGTCCCATATCAGTTTGTGAGCTTAGAGGCTGGCTTAGCACCAGGCTATAGCTGCTGATTCAATGACAGATGTATAAGCCTCCTTTGAAAAAATCATCCTTTCTTCGGTGAGCTCTACTCCCATTAATTCCCTTCCTATGTGCAACTTAGTGTTCTTTGTATCTCCAAAATATACCTAGATGTTGGGAGGATTTTGTTCCTAATGACTTTATCTGAAATAAACACCCGTTTATCAACCATCAGCCTGGTTTCCAGGAATGTGTTCCTTGTGTTTCTTTGTTCAAAGTTACTGACCAGCAGCTTATCACACAATAATAACAAGCATTAAGCAGTTACAATGTGTCAGACACACACGTAAGTTATGTTTTACCTATATTTATCTCATTTAAGATTCACAATCTTTCCCACTTTACAGGATCAGAAATTCAGTGATTTACCTGACGTGGCAATGTGGCAACTTAGCCAGCATGGCTGAGTCGGAACTTGAACCTAGGTCCATCTCACGCCAAAGCCCATGTGCTTGAACACCACACCATAGAAATCAAGCTGAATAGCAGAGGATTGGAGGGAGGGTATCCCCTTCAAATATTCAGGGTGTCTTAGGCTAGAAAGCCTAGGTCTACTCAGCATTCAACACAGACCAAATACTATCAGTGCCATGAATATTTCACCATCTCCTTCAGGCATAATTAGTCACTTGCCCTCATGCAATTTTTGTACCGCTATACAATAGCTTAGATCACTCACTTCCTTGGGTGCTTATAATTAGCAGAGTATGTCTTTCTTAAAGGTAGCGATCTTTTCTTACTCATCTCTTTGTTCCTTATTCTGTGTAGCATAGGGCCTTGCATATTCAGTGATTGTTATTTATTTCAATGTTCGTTATTTATTTGGACACTCCTGGAGATCTATAAAGAGACCACAAAGTTCCAAAAGAAAATAATCTACATTCATAAAGTAAACGAAGTATGTAGGAGATGCACTTGCTTCATTAATTTTTAATAAATACACAATGTGCTATTGAATAAAACTTGAAACAAGCATCTAGAAAGTTGGAAAATATTAAAATTACATGCTTTATTTTAAATTTTAAAGTCCGAATGTTCCTTGCTTCTAGTAAATTACTAGAAAACAGCTCAAGAGATTGTTACTCCTCTATTCCTAAATCATGGCGATTGGGAAGAAAAAGGTGAAAGATGAGAGAGAGCAAAAACCCCTGGCATATAGTTGATAGTAAAAAAATTTTAAAATAAAAGAACATTTCCAGACCAGAAACAATTGCTTTTAGATCCCAGGTTTGTAACCCCTTATCATCTCGTTCCGGGAGGTAACAAGGGGTTACTAACTTGGGATCTAAAAGCAGTCCTAAGGCTTGAGGCTGAGAATGAGACGGAACAGGACTCCTGAGAACTACATTTCCCATGATGCCCCTCTCCCCCACGCAACCGCGGCCGCGACGTAGCTCCCATGGCAACCCAGAAGGCCTCACTCTCAGACTCCTTGCGGAGCTCGCTGCCTGATTCTAGGCTGGTCTCTACTCCGAGCCCGTGACGTTTGCGGCAGCCCGGCCACGATGCCCAGGTATTCCCCGAACTCGGCTTGCGAGGGAAAGGCTGCTGAGAGTATTCCTGGCGAGAGTAAGCCCAGGCGGGACCAGCTGTTGGAAGACTGAGGGGGTGGCCTGCTTGCCACCCGGGTCTGCATGGTCGGGGACCTAGGAACCAGCCTTGAGCATAAAGATTCTGCCGCAAACAGGAAATAAAGTTCCCTAGGTAGAAAAGTAAGAGATTTGGAAAGATCAGCAAGTCCACCCATTCAATGATTGAATGAAAGTTTCTTGCAGGCCAGAGACTACTTCCGGAGCAGGACATTCGGCGATGAGCTAGACCGCAAGGGCCTCCCCTCCGTTGCGGGGATTCGCAGTAATAAGCAAGGGGAAACTTGGAAGGCATTGTGGAAAGTATAACATCACATTGAAGGGGGGAAACGGGAGAGGGTTTGTAAATTATATTCTAACTCTTCAATTCTATGATATTCATTTTAATTACCCGTTCTCAAGATATTCCTAAACCTTCTCTCAGCAATTTATAAGCACGTCGGGGAGAGGGGTCAGGGAGTGCATCACAGAGCAGGATAAATCTTTTTCTCTCCTTGGGATAGTGTGGAAAATTGTCAGCTTTCCATCACGGGATAATTGGTTACAGTTATAAAGCTATGGTTGTACTTAGGATTTCCGCAGGTGACATGGCTGACTGCAGCACCTCCGTCTCTCCTGTCTGCTGGGTATTTGGAAAGCAGATCTTCACGTTTTGAAAGAATGTTGTGTAAATGAAGAGCAAACAGGCCCAAACTGAGTTCTGAAGGCTCACCTGTGAAATAATTTTAGTGCAAACATTTAAGGACTCCTGTTTTGACCCTTTTTCTTTATTCCTGGTTCTTGAATAGTAATATTTACAAGCCCTCAATAATTTTTGTAATTGTATAGGCCATGCCCTAAACAAATACATATTTTAACAATTATGACAATCTTATAAAACTGGTATTCTTTTTTATTGGCATTTTAGCGATAGAGAAACAATTGAGCGTGGGGAATAGTACAGAGGATTGCATATATTAGGTTCTCAAATATTTATTTAATTAATAAAGGAATGAAGGACTTAAAGAGGTTAGGTAATTTTCCCAAGTTCACATGCATAGGAAGCAGCAGAATCAGGCTAGGACCCATCAGGTCTTGCCCATGGTTAGTTTTTAGTTTAATATTCCATTTTCACTTAGGCTTTAATTAATATATATATATGATTTTATTGTGTAAAGTTATATATCTGTGTAAAGAAATGAATGAAAGGATAGTTTTCAAAATGTTTGTGGTTTTAGGGTTTTTTTTTTCCTTTATAGTGTTTTTTTTTTGTTTTTTTTTTTTTTTTTTTTTTTGAGACACGGTCTTGCTGTGTCACCCAGGCTGGAGTGCAGTGATGTGATCATGCTCGCTGCAGCCTCGACCTCCGGGTCTCAGGCAATCCTCCTGCCTCAGCGTCCCTAGTAGCTGGAACCACGAGTGCATGTCACCACACCCAGCTAATTTCTTTTTTTTTTTTTTTTTGAGACAGAGTCTTGCTCTGTTGCCCAGGCTGGAGTGCAGTGGCACGATCTTGGCTCACTATAACATCCACCTCCGGGGTTCAAGTGATTCTCATGCCTCAGCCTCCTGAGTAGCTGGAATTACAGACACCCACCACCATATCTGGCTAATTTTTTTTTTTTTTAGTAGAGATGGGGTTTTACCATGTTGGCCAGGCTGGGCTTGAACTCCTGACCTCAAGTGATCCACCCACCTTGGCCTCCTAAAGTGCTGGGATTACAAGTGTGAACCACCGCTCCCAGCCTCAGTCAATTTTTTTTGTTTGTTTTCTTTTCTTTTCTTTTTTTATACTTTAAGTTCTACGGTACATGTGCACAACGTGTAGGTTTGTTACATATGTATACATGTGCCATGTTGGGTTGCTGCACCCATTAATTCATCATTTACATTAGGTATTTCTCCTAATGCTATCCGTCCCCCATGCTAATTTATTATTATTATTGTTATTATTATTATTATTTGTAGAGATGGGGTCTCCCTATATTGCCTGGGCTGATCTCAAGTGATCCTCCTGCCTCAGCCTCCCATATACTTTTATATTAAAAAAAAAAAAAGATTTTTTACCCCAAAACATAATTTAAAAAACAAAAAAGAAATGTTTCAGGGAGGAAAGATTATTTGATACACTGGTTTTGTACTTTTCCCATCTTCCTAGGTGACTTAAATGTTTGTGGTTTTCAAGTTGTATGTTCCCAAAAGTCACTGTACTTCCATATGTGTCTGAGAAGCTAACATACACAGTTATGAACCTTAGGGGAAGCCCCAAATAAGACAGCCTCAAATCCTGGCAATAAAACCTCTGCTTATCAATTTCAGCATTTTTCAAAGAACTAGTTCAAAGCAACAAAAGAAAAACAAAACCATAGAATGACTAATCCTCAGATGTTTTACCAGATTATTGTTCCTCAGAAAATAATGTTCATTTGTGTCATAAATTATACTGAAATAAAATTTCTCTGAGCTTGAAATAAATATTTGAAAGAATTCTTTTTCCCTCAATTTTGTTTTCTCTGCCTCTCATATAGTGAAACTCTCTGGGAAATTGCAAAAGCTGAAGTGGAAAAAAGAGGAATTAATGGAAGTGAAGGTGATGGAGCTGAAATTGGAGAAAAATCTGTTTTCTTCATTGGCAGTAAAAATGGGGTAATGCTTTCTTTTTTTCAATTATTGTGATGATTTAACAACCATTGGTAAAACATCTTTTAATACTTCCATTAAAATGTAGATACTTCAACACTTTAACCAGATGACCAATCTGGTTTAGCATGAATTAGAAAGTGCTTGTTATTAATCTAGGAAAAACTATAATAGTAAATAAAATTTTAGAAAAATATATTTAAACTATTTTTTATTTCATGATTTGAAAATATTCAGATCTTCTACCACAATTGAGTGTAAAAGCTAGGATTCGGCCGGGCGCGGTGGCTCAAGCCTGTAATCCCAGCACTTTGGGAGGCCGAGATGGGCAGATCACGAGGTCAGGAGATCGAGACCATCCTGGCTAACACGGTGAAACCCCGTCTCTACTAAAAAATACAAAAAACTAGCCGGGCGAGGTGGCGGGCACCTGTAGTCCCAGCTACTCGGGAGGCTGAGGCAGGAGAATGGCGTAAACCTGGGAGGTGGAGCTTGCAGTGAGCTGGGATCCGGCCACTGCACTCCAGCCTGGGCGATAGAGCGAGACTCCGTCTCAAAAAAAAAAAAAAAAAAAAAAAGCTAGGATTCATTTAAATATCTAAGTCAGTCTCTAAATCAGTAAGTCAGTATCTTAATAATTTTATATTTTAGATTGTTACTTTACTTTTAGAAATCTCATTAAAGGAATAATTGAACAGTATCAGTGATATTTGTTACAGGGTTATTAATTATTTTGAAAAATGTGGGGAAAATATGGCAGCATTTCCATTGGGCCTCTGATTGGTAGGAAGAGACCCTCCCCACTTGCTATAAGTCTCTGTTTTCCTTCGCCAAGCGTACAGAAGGGCTTGGAAGTGGCCACACAGAGCAGGAATTGTATGCATCATATCTTCATGCAACTTTGCCTGGCCCACAAAGTTCCTGCCAGGAAGGCAGAATGGCTGGTGACACAAAAAGGTCAAGACTTGCCAGATGCAAGATGCTGAAATTCATGTAGTGCCCTAGCTCATTTCTGTGTGGGTTTCAAATTCCTGTTCATTTTCTGTGCTACATGCTTCCACTTAAGTGCATTGACAAATACGAAGCTTTCAGAAACTAAACTCTGCATCAGCAAGGTTACATGTTCACTGGGCAATGTCAGTGCCCAGGCAGCCTGAGCACCCATCTTGTCTCCAGATGAGTCCCAGAAGGCCCTCCCCGCACAACCGGACACCCTCCATTGGGGGGTTTTATATACGACATTAAGATCACATTTATTGGGAGAAATACTTACACAACCATGAAAAAGGTTTTGGTGATATAAGAATATAATGTGAATTGAAAAAGCAGGACATAAATGTCATACATGATATGATCCCAGTTATACAAATATGTAAATTAAAAATTCTAATAAAAGTTAGAAATATGGATAGTAAAATTTTAATCACTTAATGTTTTTATTTTGTTTTTAATTTCTTTATTTTCCGGAGTTTTCATATTGGCCCACTTTTAAAAATTCCAACTTAATTCTTTAAAATAAAATTATCATAGAGCATTTCTATTTTAAAATTTTAATCCAACTATATAAGTATATAGTACATAACACATATTATTTCTTTTTTTTGAGACAGGGTCTTGCTCTGGTTGCCCAGGCTGGAGTGCAGTGGCGCGATCTCGGTGCACTGCAGCTTTGACTTCCCTGGCTCAGGCGATTTTCCCTCAAGCAACTGGGATTACAGGCATGCGCCACCATACCCGGCTAATTTTTCGTATTTTTAATAGAGATGGGGTTTCACTACGTTGCCCAGGCTGATCTCGAACTCCTGGACTCAAGCAATCCACCCATCTCAGCCTCCCAGAGTGCTGGGATTACAGGTATGAGCCACCGTGCCCAGCTACGTGTTATTCCATGAGTTTACTATTATGATATGTGTGATTTTCATATTAGGCATAGTATTAACAGTTTCCTACATTTTATCTTACTCTGCCATGTAGATACATACATGGATTTAAATAAATGAGTAAATAACTAGTACTAGTCTTATGGTACAAATAAATTTCTATTACAGAAAACATTCTATATGCAGAATATTAGATAGAATGGCTTCTACTAATGATACTGGTTACTGACTCCAGCATACAAATGCTCACATACAAAATACCACTACTAGTATCCTCTTAGCGCTCTCTGTAACAATTATTCTTAACTCCTTTGTAGTCATGATACCCTGTTTTTGTCTTGTTTTGTTGGTTTTTTTGTTACTTGTGAAACCACGCCTTTTTCTTGATGGCAATATGCGGCATATACAAGCTGTTTTTCATTTTTAGTAACAAAAGTAATTTTGTGTGTGATGACTTGGGAACTCCCTTAAGATACCTAAAACTTTTGAGGATATTGTTCTTTAAAAAGTTTGTGATTCTGCTGAGTGTGGTAGCTAATGGTTGTAATCCCAGGACTTTTGGGAGGCTGAGGCAGATGGATTGCTTGAGCCCAGGAGTTCGAGACCAACCTGGGCAACATGGCAAAACCCAGTGTCTACAAAAATAAAAATAAAAAAATTAGCCAGGTGTGGTAGCACTCACCTGTATGTAGTCCCAGCTACTCGGAAGGCTGAGGCAAGAGGATCACTTGAGCCCAGGAGGTCAAGGCTACAGTGAGCCACCGTGATTGTGCCACTGCACTTTAGCCTGAGCAACAGAGGGAGACCTTGTTTCAAAAAAGAAAGAAAAAAGTATCTGATTCTGCTTCATGGAGAACCTTATTTTGGAAGATAAAGAGAAGCAATTAATGCTTCTGTTGTTCAATTAATAGTAATTACCCTTTACCAAAGAAGCCAGCTGTCCTGCTGCCTTATCTTTTCTCCTTCCAACCAGCTGTTCATCCATTCGGTTGACATTGAACGAACATCTTTTATATCTAAGCATCCTGCTAGACACTGTGGAAACAGGAGTGAAAGGCATTCTCTACTGGGAAGGAACTTGTGTATCAGGACTTGTATACCAACAATGACAATACCATGAGACAAATGCTACGGTGGAAAACAGAGAGGGCACTTTACTCACCCCAGAAAGTTGGGAGACTAGGAAATCCTCCTGAAGAGAGTGATGGCTAAAGCTTGAAGGGTGAGAAGTAAGGAAAGAGAAGTAATTCAGGTGAAGAGTGTGGAGTATTCTAAGATGATCAAGAAAAATGTATGAAACAGATATTCCAAAATGGGAGAAAGATCATACTAGAGGAATGTAACAGCATTGCCAGTCATCGTTGACTGCCATTTTCATGATGGGTGTTAGTTTGATACTAGTCTGCCCAGCGTACATGGATTTTCTCCACCATCACTCACTTGCATGGGTGCAGGCATGGAGGAGGACGGTGATTACCTGGGGCTGTCTTTGCTGGCTGGGTACAATGCAAAGTGAGGGAGCTCAGGGCATGGCTGATATTTACCAGAGGTGATTGTGATGATAAACTATGGGCTCTGAGATGGAAAAGGAGAAAAGCGAAGGTAGGAAGAGGCTGAGGGAGTAGGAGTGACTGTTGGTTGGGGGGAAAGGGGTACCAGTGGACATTTGAAACCTTTCACTAAGGCCAAGGAATTTTTACTGTGGGGATTCCTGAAGTAGTGGTTAGAGAATGTGTTGTTTGTATATGTGATTTTGGAAGCAGTGCAGTTTCCAGTGAAACTGGAAAGCTTCAAGATGTAACCTTGGAAGTGACCGTGGCAGAAATAGGGTGAGGGAAAAGGCCTCCATTGGGAGGCAAATGCACTGAGAGGTCCGGATGTCAGGTGGATTGCCAAGACCCATGTGGGTGTGAAGAAGATTCATGACAGTAGCTGAGAAGGCAAGGGAGATTGTGAGCCAGAAGAGATGACAGCAACCCTGGTGGTAAACTGATATGAGCCTCTGAGGTTTTTGCAAGAGGAGGGAGGTAGAGTAGTTGTTTGTAGGTGGCACTGGGGAACAAGAAGGACCCTAAAGTATGTAAGGTAGTGAGAATAAATAGCCTCGTTTAACAAGGCTGCAGAGGAAGGGGTCCAAGGTAAGTCATATTTTAGTTAAGGCCAACAGGTGGAGAGAATATCCTGAAAAGGCTGAGATATCGGGGAGTTTGCCAGTCATGGAGTTGAAATCATAGAGTGGAAGGATTTTAGAGGAAGGGAGGACAGAAGGGGATTATTGGGCAAGATTAAGGGATGTGTAGAGAGTTAGGAAATTCAGAGTTCCAGGGATAATGGGTCAGTGGAGAGGGCTGGACATCTGGGGTGATTGAGGCAATGGGAGGGAAGATGGGATTCGTTTTGATGGTCTCTAAGCGAACTTGTACTAGGTCAATGTTTCTTGAATTAGGAAACCTACAAGACTATGGCGACATTCTCAGGGGACTACAGTGTACTAATGAATTTTTAAATCTTGGGTTGTAATTTTGATGATAATCTTAAACTTGATTTCAGTTCCCAGATTAGTTTATGTTAATTTGGAATTGTTACCATATAGTACTATACATTTATATGAAATTATAATAAAAGTGATTTAAGGCCAGGCATGGTGGCTCAAGCCTATAATCCCAGCACCTTGGGAGGCCAAGGTGTTCAAGAGCAGCCTGGTCAACATAGTGAAACCCCGTCTCTGCTAAAAATACAAAAAATTAGCTGCACGTGGTGGTGCATACTGGTAATCCCAACTACCCCGGAGGCTAAGGCATGAGTATCACTTGAACCCAGAGGGGGAGGTTGCAGTAAGCCAATATGGCGCCACTGCACTCCAGCCTAAGCAACAGAGGAAGACTCTGTCTCAAAAAAAAAAAAAAAAAAAAAGAGGGAGGAGTGATTTAAATCAGTACTAGTGTACCATGAAAATTTGAGGAAATTGGCTAGATATTATTTAAAATTCCTTCCAATTCTTATTCTACTTTCTTGTAGAGTACATTACTTTTTAGGTAATATAGCCCTTGTTAATTTAAAACTTTTACAGCATACTACATATGATACCAGTGTAGGAAAATTAGAAAATCTTGATTTTCTTCTTTTTTTTTTGGTTTTGAGATAGAGTCTCGCTCTGTCCGCCCAGACTCAAGTGCAGTGGTGTGATCTCAGCTCACTGCAAGCTCCGCCTCCCGGGTTCACACCATTCTCCTGCCTCAGTCTCCAGAGTAGCTGGGACTACAGGTGCCCACCACCACGCCCGGCTAACTTTTTTGTATTTTAAGTAGAGGTGGGTTTCACCATGTTAGCCAGGATCTCCTGACCTCATGATCCACCCATCTTGGCCTTCCAAAGTATTGGGATTACAGGCGTGAGCCACCACGCCTGGCAGAAAATCCTGATTTTGTTAAAAACATTAATTACCTGCAAATCCATCAGCTAGAAATAATCATTATTAACATAGTGATGTCCCTCTACATTTATTTGTGTGTTTCTTTCTGTGTGTGTGTGTGTGTGTGTGTGTGTACTTCAAGGATGCAGGAAAAGTATTTTTTAATTGAAAACAGAGTCATGCTGATCTATTATGAATGTCTTACTATGTCAGTAAGTATATTTCTACGTTGTCATTCCTAATAGCTGTATATTATTCTATTATATGGATCACCATAATTAATTTAGCCAGTCCCCTAATTGGGGACATATAGGTTGTTTTTAGTTTTTCAGTTTGATGTAACACTAGCCAATAAACATCCTTCAATAATAACATTTTTATATTGTACAATTCCAGTTATTTTTTAATATATCTCATTACAAAAAAATTCATTCAATTTGATAATATTCCAGATATAATGTGGAATAATTATCTTTTTTGTCAAAAACTATGAGTTTTTTAGTAAAAACAAAAACACATATAATAAGTGTTCTGTGTTTTTGGCAATCCAGAGTTTTCCAAATTATTTTCTTTAGAGCTCCATCTCCAGTGGAGCTTTCCCTGCTGTTTCTCTTTTATCTGTTTCCTTGCAAGGGGTATTTTGTTTAAAAAAAAAAAAAAAGGGTTTTACTGTTTTTTAAAAAATGATATAAACCACTGAGCTAGTCCCTGGCTCAGCTGTGAAGTTAAATGGCATGACTAGTGGTAGGAATTAGGCCAGAACCTGTATTTCCTGACTCCTAAAAAGAAACTTGGGACCGGGCGTGGTCGCTCACACCTGTAATCCCAGCACTTTGGGAGGCTGAGGTGGGCAGATCATATGAGGCCAGGAGTTCAAGACCAGCCTGGCCACCATGGCAAAACCCTGTCTCTACTAAAAATACAAAAATTACCCAGGCATGGTGGCGTGCACCTGTAATCCCAGCTACTCGAGAGGGTGAGGCACGAGAATCACTGGAGCCCAGGAGGCAGAGGTTGCAGTGAGCCAAGATCATGCCACTGCACTCCAGCCTCGGCAACAGAGTGAGACTCTGTCTCAAAAATAAAATAAAATAAAATAAAAAATAAACAACTTGTAATAAGTACATCCTCTGGACTTAAATTACTCTAATGCAGTCAGTATCTGAATTGCTTACTTTGAACATATTTACAATGTATCCTTTATTTGTATGTTACCTTTTTCTTTATTTCCACTTCAACAATTGGAATTAAAACATTTTGAAAGACACTAAACATCAGCTTAGCCAGTAATTAACATCGATGAGTAGAGAAAAAATTTAAGACAGCTGCCAAGTTGACCACTTAAGTGAGGTATGATTTGCTAGTATTTGTCATCTGTGGGACTTTATAATTATGATAATAGCAGTGTAGTTACACTGTGATGGAAAGTTGACAGTTAACTTTTTCCACTTATCAAACTTCAGAACAATTCCGAAAGTTTCTAGTTTTTAGTTTCCAGGTAATTTATCATTCAATTGATTAAAAATCTATTTTGGGTCACAATTATGAACAATAATACAATTTTTACATATGAATGACATTAACACAGTATTCCTTCTTTTTTAATTTCCAGGGAAAGACTACTATTATTCTAAGGTGTCTTGACAGGTAAGTGTCATGTTAACCTCTAAACTACAGTTATGCTTATTCTAGTTGTACAGGGCAAGTTAGATCTAAAAGACATAAGGAAGGGGAACAATTTTAAGACCCAAACAAAATATTTAATTCTTAGCAGATCCTTAGTATAACCTTTAAGAGCGCCTTTAAAGATAAAACTAACAATAAGCCAAAAATTATTTGAGACTAATACTGGATTTCCCTATTTGAGGGAGAAATGTTACTGTAATGACCCAGCCTATAATAGTATTTACCCTCTTTTTGGCTATGCTACTCTTGTATTTAAATTATTTTTATTCTACCTAATCTACAGTTATTTGAACATTCATTGTAAGCTTTAGTTGCTCAGGGGTACGTTTTTGAAGCACAGTGTTGGTCCTCAAACTGGATATTTTATCATTTCTTTTATATATTTGCTAACATATACTGTAGAAGCAGGCCATCAGATTAAGATTTAGGATTATGATTGGTAGATGTTGCAGGAAGCTGATGAGGAAAGCCTTCAATCATTTTTGGAAGATATTTCTCTGTTCCCTTCATTTGAATACATATATCTTATAACTTCTCCAAAAATCATCAAAAGAGATGGAATTTGGTGTTAAGATCACATTAAAGAAACATCACTCATTTGAAAAATATTATTAAAGGATACAAATAATAAATTCCTGCTTTGGTGTAATTCCTTTCACCAACAATATTGTTTCTCAGAGAAACTATCAACAGTAACACCCGTTTTATCTTTCCATCTCCAGGAATCATGGATCTTTTTAGACCACATTTAGATGTTTCCTGTCATAAATAGATCATCTAATACAACACCAGCTTAGGATAAAATACTACAAAATAGTACATTAAGTTGAAAAGTATTAATTTCTTTCTTTCTTTTTTTTTTTTTTTTTTTTTTTTTTTGAGACGGAATTTCGCTCTTGTTGCCCAGGCTGGAGTGCAACGGTGCCATCTCAGCTCACTGCAACGTCCGCCTCCTGGGTTCAAGTGATTTTCCTGCCTCAGCCTCTTGAGTACCTGGGATTACAGGCATGTGCCACCACGCCCAGCTAATTTTGTATTTTTAGTAGAGACAGGGTTTATCCATGTTGGTTGGGCTGGTCTTGAACTCACAACCTCAGGTGATCTGCCTGCCTCGGCCTCCCAAAGTACTGGGATTACAGGCGTAAGCCACCATGCCCAGCCCTGAAAAGTATTAATTTCAGTTCCTCAATACTCTACTTAGGAAAAGGTTAATTTTCTAAACTATAGGTTAAATATCAAATCTTATAAATTTTTTCTTAAAAGTAGCATTTTGCTTGATAAAATTTCTATCTTTCAGGAAATATAACCAAACATTACTCTCTGTATAATGTATTCAAAAGATATATGCAGGGGTGATATTCAAAATATTTAATAAACAATTATATAAGTCACAAATTTAAAAATCATTTCTCCTTCTTCTCCAATCTGAGGATAGATATGGGGTCGGGCGCAGTGGCTCATGCCTGTAATCCTAGCACTTTGGGAGGGCAAGGCAGGCAGATCACTTGAACTCAGGAGTTCAAGACCAGCCTGGTCAACATAGTGAGAACTTGTCTGTACCAAAAGATACAAAAATTAGCTGGGCGTGGTGGTGCACGCCTGTAGTCCCAGCTACTCAGGAAGCTGAGGTGGGAGGATTACTTGAGCCCGAGAGGTTGAGGCTGCAGTGAGCTGTGATCACGCCACTGCATTCTAGCCTGCATGACAGAGTGAGACCCTGTCTCAATAAAATAAAATAAGAAAGTAAAATAAAGATATGTACCAATATAATTTGGCCTTAAAAAGGAAGGAAATTCTGTCACATGCTACAACTTGGATGAAGCTTGAGGGCATTATGCTAAGTGAAATAAGCCAGAAACAGAAAAAACAAATATTGGGCTGGGTGTGGTGGCTCACACCTGTAATCCCAGCACTCTGAGAGGCCAAGGCAGGCAGATCATTTGAGGTCAGGAGTTTGAGATCAGCCTGACCAACATAGTGAAACCTCATCTCTACTAAAAATAAAAAAAATTAGGCAAGCGTGGTGGTGGGCCCCTGTAATCCCAGCTCCTTGGGAGACTGAGGCACGGGAATCACTTGAACCTGGGAGGGGGAGGTTGCAGTGAACTAAGATCGTGCCACTGCAAAAAAAAAAAACAAAACACAACAAAAAAAGTGTGTGTGTGTGTGTGTGTATATATATATATAGTATGATTCCACTTATATATCTAGAATAATCAAACTCATAGAAAGAAAAAGAATGGTGGTTACCAAGAACTGGGGGAAGGGAAAACGAGAAGTTGTTTAATGGGTATGGAGTTTCAGTTTTGTGAGATGGAAAAGTTCTCAATATTGGTTATATAACAGTGTCAATATATTTAATACTACTGAATTATACACTTAAAAATAGGTAAGATAAATTTTATTTTATATGTTCTTGACCATAATAAAAAGTTAAATATATATATACACCATAAAACTGCTTACCAGCAATATAAGCTATAGTATAAATAATTCAACAAATTGTTTTAATATTTTCCTAATCATTACTGATTTTAAGGACTTGTTGATATAATTTATTAACTATCACTATCTAAATGATGCCCATATTTGAGCTGTGATTTAAGATAAAGAACTGCTAGAGAACTGCATTAAAGTCTTGCATTGTTTTTGTGTTTTTGAGACAGGGTCTCTCTCTGTCACCCAGGCTGGAGTGCAGTGGCATGATCTTGGCTTATTGCAGCCTCAACCTCCCAGGCTCAAGTGATTCTCTCACCTCAGCCTACTGAGTAGTTGGGACTACAGGCATGTACTACCCTTTTTTGTAGAGACAGAGTTTTGCCATGTTGCCCGGGCTAGTCTTGAACTCGTGGACTCAAGCAATTTACCTGCCTCAGCCTCCCAAAGTGCTAGGGTTACAGGCATGAGCCACCATGCCTGGCCAAGTCTTGCATTGATGTTGTAATGTGACAGTCATTAGATTCCTAGCTCCTCACATCATGGCTGAATATAAACCCAGTGTCACTTTGGGAGGCCGAGGCGGGTGGATCATGAGGTCAGGAGATTGAGGGCATCCTAGCTAACATAGTGAAACCCCGTCTCTACTAAAAATACAAAAAAAGCAGGTGAATGACATGCACCTGGGAGGCGGAGCTTGCAGTGAGCCGAGATCACGCCACTGCACTCCAGCCTGGGAGAGAAAGCGAGACTCTGTCTCGAAAAAAACAAAAACAAAAACAAAACCCAGTGTCAGTGCTTCCTGCATGGCCTGGATGTGGAGATCTTGTGCCCAGCATGGCCATCCACACTGCTAGCCTCAACTCATTCTCTACGTGCCCCAGCAGTGCCTTTAGAGGCTACCATATTATTCATGCGCCATTAAAATCCACTAAGATGGTGTTTTGCAGGTTTATTTCTTTTGTATATATAATTTATCTCAATGCTATTATACAAGGTAACTTCTCTACTAATAAAGTTTTTAAGAGGAAGGAAAAATGAATCAGGTAAGATGGTGGCATAAGAAACTAATACCACCTACAATGATAATACTAGCTGCCTTTATTTTACAGAGATGAGCCACCAAAACCAACCTTAGCTTTGGAATATACATATGGAAGAAGAGCAAAAGGGCACAACACAGTAAGTGTCTTTTAAAGTGGCATTGCTATGCCCATAGATGGGAAAGTAATGCTGCTGACTTTGTTTTACATTTTCCATCTTATCTGTAATCAATAAACATATCCAGTTGTACACTTCATAACTGTCTGCCATTAAACTTGAAATGCAGTGTGGCAGATAGAAGCCAACCCAAACTGTGAAAAGATTTTAGCCTTCTCATGTATTATGTCTTAAAATGCTATAATAAGATACCTTTTTAACTTTATTGTACAGTTCATGAGAATAGTGTTGTGAGTTACTTTCTGTCTCTCAAAAATCTGCTAAAATATAGGTTTGACCTGTGGAATATTTATGAAAATATACTGTTTAAATTACTAGCATTTAAAAATGCATCTTGAAGTTGATAGCACCAGTTGAGATCGTATGCCCTACTTGATTATAATCCTATTTTCACTTGTTTTAATGTCTCTTTAGAGGAACATTATAAACTCTTCAGGATAGAAGGAGGTTTATAGTATATGTTGGCCGGGGGAGGGGTGGGGAATTCCTAAATAGAATCTTTTTGGAGTTGTCACCTAAAAAGAGGTCATTTCTTTTTTTTTTTTTTTTTTTTTGAGACGGAGTCTCGCGCTGTAGCCCAGGCTGGAGTGCGGTGGCCGGATCTCAGCTCACTGCAAGCTCCGCCTCCCGGGCTTACGCCATTCTCCAGCCTCAGCCTCCCAAGTAGCTGGTACTACAGGCGCCCGCCACCTTGCCTGGCTAGGTTTTTTTTGTATTTTTTAGTAGAGACGGGGTTTCACCGTATTATCCAGGATGGTCTCGATCTCTTGACCTCGTGATCCGCCCGTCTCGGCCTCCCAAAGTGCTGGGATTACAGGCTTGAGCCACCGAGCCCGGCCGAGGTCATTTCTTAAATAAAGTTAAGTGTGTAGAAGGACAATCTAGAATGGAGCATCCCGCTACTCCCCTAACAAAGGCACATTTTTATACACTGACTTAGTCCAAATGTTTGCTCATTAGTAGACAGTATATAAAGAGGTAAAACTTCCTATCGTTGCTTCCAGGATTCACCAACGAAAGTGGGTTATTAAAACTGAAATTTAAAGAAAAAAACATAATATATGGAGGTACAGGAGAACTTCATTTTTGTGACTCGAATTTTGACACGAGTAATAAGCCTAGAAATGTAATTATGCTTTTCATTGGAAACTTGGAGACAGCTCTCATAAGCTTAACCGTTAAGAAGAGCTCTAAAAACTTCCCTTTATCAAATTGTGAATTGAGGGAGATTTTCCAGTGAATAATTATTTTCCCCACAAAAATTAATGATTCAGATATGAACAGCCAAACAATTGTAGAGATTGCAAAATGAAATTTTGTCAAAAATCCAAAATAATATATATTCATCTAAAACTTATTTTATTGACATTCTGTCTCTTCCAGGTTCCTGGGAGTAGATACATTAAAACTTGTGTGATTTTTTTTTCCTAAACTTTGTACTGTCAAGTGGGATATTTCCATATTCATTCTGGAAGCATCATATCTTTTTCAGATTTAATTCCCTAAGAGTCCTAAATAGAAGTATTTTGTCAGCTCCTCACACAATTTCAGTGACCTGAAGGGTCTTCAGTGTCAGGACAGAAGCAGAAATGCCATTAGCCAACAATCTAGGAACGTCTTATGGAATAGATGGTCCTATTTCTTTTCTTTTCTTTTTCTTTCTGAGACAAGGTCTCACTCTGTCACCCAGGCTGGAGTACAGTGGCAGGATCATAGCTCATGGCAGCCTCAAACTCCTGGGCTCAAAGAATCCTCCCGCATTAACCTCCCAAGTAAACTGTCCCCACAAATTCACTACAAGCATGCACCACCACACTCAGCTAATTTAAAAAGATTGTTTATAGTGATGGAGTCTCACTGTGTTGGCCAGACTGACCTTGAACTCCTGGCTTCAAGTGATCCTCCAGCCTTGGTCTCCCAAAGTGTTGGGGTTTACAGGTGTGAACCACTGCACCCAACCCTAGATGATCTTATTTCTGAACTTCTTGGCTGCCTAGCCCTGTCAGTTTCCTATTATTTTGAGGGTCCTATAAAAAAGAGAAGCAATTGTTTGATCTCTTGTTGCCCCACCTACCATGTATTATTGTCAGTGGTAGCCTGTCAGATTCTCCACAGGAATCAGGAACAAATCGTCTGCTTATACTTTTGCTCAAGTAATCTTGATCTGCAGCCAGGACTGCCATTTGTTCGTCCCTTTTCTTTATGCCTTACGTGTGTCTAATTCATTCTGCGAGCTTCTGTCTTCCTAAACAGGAATGTTTTCCTATTCACCTGTTTTATTTCTATCTAGAATTATAAATGTTTCCCAAAAGATAATACCAAATTTGCTCAACGGGTTAATTTTTATCTAAAATCTGCGTAAGTGTATGCCACATATGTTATTTACAAGATTAACACACTGTTTATTGTATTACTAGAATTAAGGCATTTGTGTACACATATAGACAATTCTGAATATTTCATCATTTTTCTTTAAAAATAGGTGCTTTGGTGCATTTTGAGGGATGGAATAAAGGAAAAAATTTTGACTGCCAAGAAAGGGTTGATTAAAGACTACAATATTTTATATGTATAATTATTACTGGCAAGTGCTAATGACATGTAAGAAGTACTTAAAATTCAAAAAATCAAAAATTTTTGTTTTTCAGCCAAAAGATATCGCTCACTTTTGGGAACTGGGTGGAGGAACCTCTTTATTGGACTTAATCAGCGTACCCATCACAAGTGACACCTTACGGTAAGTGAGCCAGCTCCAGGAAAAGCTGTAAGTACACAGGAGTGTCCCTAGGAGAAATATGAGTTGGCTTTTCTCAGTCAGAATTTTGGGGCACAGTTTTATGTTGCTGACGGCTTATGCCCACTTCCTTTCTAAATGCCTAAATTGTAATGCTTTCAAAGAAGTTTTAAAAGAACCAAGATTTTGGCCTGTGCTGAACTGAGATAGCTGACATTCCTTCTAGTAACATATTTTGCAAGCTGAAAACAAACAGACAAAAAAAAAAAAAAAAAAAAAAAACATCAAATTACACTTGGGCAATGATTTCATTTTGTAAAAATAAATTTGAAAAGCTTAATTCTTTCCATTATCCATCTCAGTATGAGTTAATTCGGCTCTGAGTTTTTTTCTTCAGCTGAGTATTATAAGCTACCTTTGAATTTAATGCTAATTTACATCCTTGAAGCTTCATTTAAAGGAAGACTATATGTCGGAGAAGAGAGAAAGTCTCTCTGTTTGCTGACCTTAGAGAATTAGAACTTAGGGGAAACCTCAAAACGCTTGAGTGATGTTTTCCTGACAGTGACTCCCACATGTTGGCCAAATGTGTGGAAAATTGTGACATTTCTTACAATGTTCCTGGGAACTGGTCTTAGCTAAGAAAAACATATTTTTTTAATCTGAAGTATTTTGTTCTTAGAGTTTAACATAAACCATTGCTGCTGCCTGGATCAAATACAAAGGGCTTGACAATTAGTTGTTACATGTTGGTCATTAAGCTCCTTGGAGGACGGAATTATTTCTTGTTAATGGGACTGTTGTTTTTCTAGAACTGGCTGGATACAGTTTGTCTTTTTTTTTTTTCCTTTTAATGAAATATGATTTACTTTCTTTCACTTATTACAAAAGTAATATATGCTCATATAGAAAACTTGTAAAAATACTGAAAGACACAAAGAAAGTAAAAGGAACCAGAATCACATTAAAAAATAACCACTTGAACATGTTGAGGTATTTCTTTCAGCCTTTTCAATGTCTGTAAATATACTTTGTACAGGTTTGGGATATTTTATATACATATTTAGAGCTTGCCTTTCCACTTTTAAACACTTTTCCCTATGATATTATTTTTCAGAAACATGGAATTTTATAGTTAGATAGTTTTTCTTTTGTGTCTCTTTAATGGAGACAAGTAAGTGAAGCTGCCTGGGAATAGTGCCTAGTGGTGTGGTTGAGAAGAGATGGTGAGGGGCCAGGTGCGGGTGACTCAGGCCTGTAATCTCAGCACTTTGAGAGGCCAAAGCTAGAGGATCACTTGAGGTCTGGAGTTCAAGACCAGCCTGGGCAACATAGTGAGCCCCCATCTCTACAAAAAAGTTAAAAAATAAAATTAGCCAGGCATCATAGCATGCCTCTGTAGTCCCAGCTACACAGGTGGCTGAGATAGGAGGATTGCATGAGTCAGGGAGCTTGAGGCTGCAGTAAGCTATGATCATACCACTGTACTCCAGCCTGAGTGACAGAGTGAGACATTGTCTCTTTAAAAAAGAGAGAGAGAGAGAGAGGGCGATAGTAAGGGGAGGAGGAGCTTCCAGTTAGAGTGGCCAGAGGCTGAAAGGGTGAAAACACAGTAGCTGGCTCTTACCTGGGTCGGAAGTTGGCTCGTATTCAGCTGATTTGTTATATTACCTCTCTCCCCTTCTCAAAGCCCAAAAGGTTTTGGCCTGCTGGGATTTTGGAAATTCTAGGTTCTGCAGGAAGCCAGATCATCCCGAGGATTAATACCTCATTTGTGAGGTCTTGGTCTTCCTTTCCCTGGAGCCCCAGGACAGCTGGGACCTGCTTTAGGAAAGAGGAAGGGTCAGGGTTATGATCAACAGAGGGAAAGGGAGCCGTAGGCTTGGGTCTAAAGTAGGTTGCTGAGTGGTTAAATAATTCATGGAAAACATTTCATTCTTCGTGTGGTTGCTAATCTCAAAGTGTTTTTGACTGGAATTCGTTTGACACATAATTTCCTTGTGTTGGATGAAGTCCCACAACTTGAGAAAACAATGTTGCCAAATACTGTTAGATACTGTTTATCTCTGAAATAACCGCTTATAGAATTATAAATGCATTGAACATTTCCACAGACTTCAGACAATTGGTAATAGAACATTTCCTGTAGTCTGAATCTCTGTTTTAAGAGTTTATTAAAAAAAAATTGGGGGCTATCATTTGCTATGAAATAGGTAAAAAGTAACAAAAGTATTTCCAAATATACTGTAAACAAAAATTTTAATCTTAGAAAAATTTGAGTAATTTAGTTTTCTTTCACTTAAAATAATTTTTCACTTAAAAAAATAATAAATTTTACATTATATCCATTTCATCACAATGAAAAAATGTTAAATCATAGTTGAAACAAAACCATACCAAAACCCTAAAAATAAAATTAGTACAATTAAAAATGTATATATTATTTTTACAGTTAAGCAAAACTGTTTATGAGCTTATTAAAATGACATAAATATAATTGCCTAGACCATGTAATAATGCAATAATTTTTAGAAAATTTGATAATTTATATATAAAAGACCACTTTCTGAATTTAGACCAACAGAATTGTTACTGTTTTGCTTGAATTATACAAAATAGCCTGTTTACTTGAACTAAACAAAATAATTAAATAACATTATAATTTTGTGCTATGTCTTCTAGCAGAATGTTTGCTGTGTTGATCAAGGATATATTGGCTATATTGGAGATAATCCTAAACCGTCAAGGATTATGGTTCTATATACTTACTGTAACCATTTTTTAAAATACTCCTAGATTTATATATGTTTAGTTTTTATTGTGGTAAAATATACATAGCATAAAATTTGAGTCATTTTTAACTGTGCAGTTCAGTAACATTAAGTATATTCTCATCACCATCCATCTCCAGAACTTTTTAATCTTCTCGAACCGAAACTCTTTACCTATTAAACAATAACTCCTTATTTTTCCCTCCCCAGCTCCTGGCAACCCTCATCCCTACTGCCTGTCTCTATGAGTTTGACCACTCCAGTACCTCATATAAATGAAATCATTCATTATTTGTCCTTTTGTTATTTATTTGTCTTATTTAGCATAATGTCTTCAGGGTTCTTCCATGTTGTAGTATGTGTCAGGATTTCCCTCACTTCTAAGGCTAAATAATGTTCCATTGTGTAAACAAATAACCCCAGGTTAGTTACCCATTAATCCATGCAGGAACATTTGGGTTGTTTCCATCTTTTGACTATTGTGAGTAATGCTGGTATGAACACTGGTGTACACTATCTGTTTAAATCTCTTCCTTCAGTTCTTTTGGGTATAGACTCAGAAGTGGAATTGCTGGATCATCTGGTAATTCTATGGTGAATTTTTTGAGGAATCACTATACTATTTTCCACAGCGGCTGCACCATTTTACATTCCCATAAGCAATGTACAGGGGTTCTAATTTCTCTGTATCCTCACTAATACTTGTTATTTTCTCATTTAAAAAAATGTTTTAGGCCAGGAGCGGTGGTTCACACCTGTAATCCCAACACTTTGGGAGGCTCAGGTGAGTGGATCACCTGAGGTCAGGAGTTCGAGACCAGCCTGGGCAACATGGTGAAACCCCGTCTCTACTAAAAATATGAAAATTAACCGGACATGGTAGTGCACACCTGTAACCCCAGCTACTCGAGAGGCAGAGGCAGGAGAATCGCTTGAACCCAGGAGGCAGAGGTTGCAGTGAGCTGAAATTATACCAATGTACTCCAGCCTGGACGATAGAGACTCCTCCACCAAAAAAAAAAAAAAAATGTTTTGATAGTAGCTAGCCTAATGGATAGGAAGTTGGACATCTTTTCATGTGTTAATTGGCCATCTGTATACCTTCTTTGGAGAAATGTCTATTTGAATCTTTTACCTTCTTTTTTTTTTTTTTTTTTAATGTAGTTGAGATGGGGTCTCGCTATGTTGCCCAGGCTGGTCTTGAACTCCTGGCCTCAAGCAATCCTCCTGCCTTAGCTTTCCAAAGCTCTAGAATTACAGACATGAGCCACCATCCCTGGCCTCTTTGCCCATTTTTGAACGGGAATGTTTGTTTTCGTTGCTGTGTTTAGGTTTATGTTTGATGTGCATGAACAGAATACAAGTGCATATGGTGATGGTGGTGGTGTATCTGGTGGTCAGGAGTGTGCTTTCAGAGAGACAGAATGGTATTGCAGAAAAACATGTAACTTTGGATCTAAATACCAGTTCTACAATTTACTAATTATGTAAATCTGCACCTTAGACTTCTTCTAATCTATGAAATGGACATTATAACATCTTCTGGAGAGGGTTATTGTGGAGATTAACTAGGTAGTTCCCTAGCAAGGTCCACCCATAAATCTATTTTCTTCTCCTTTACCTGATTATTGTGTTATTGTTTTTGCTTCTTTTATTATTTTTGCTTCCCTTTTTTGGAGCACACAGTAAAAGTGGATGTAAACATGGCATTGTCGGCCCAAATGCTTGCAGCTTCTCTATTTGAACTAAACTACTTTTAGTTCAAACAGAAACTTAGTTCCACTATTGTAGCACTTAAATATCACTAGAGGAAAGTATTGGAATAAATAAGGCTATGACTTTGGTTTTTTGTTTTTTGTTTTGTTTTGTGTTTTGGGGTCTTAGAATAATGCTATGGGGTTTTTTTTTCCCCTTTAAGGTATATTTTCGTTATTCTTTGATAAATTTCAGTACATTAGGGTTTCAAAGTGGTAATTATTTTGAGTCTTTTTTGAAAAATGTTTTTATTTCTTTAGGACGTTTTCTCTTGTTCTCGTTCTGGATCTTTCAAAATCTAATGATCTTTGGCCCACCATGGAAAATCTCTTGCAAGCCACAAAAAGCCATGTAGACAAAGTGATAATGAAACTGGGAAAGACAAATCCTAAAGCAGTTTCTGAAATGAGACAGAAGATCTGGAATAATATGCAGAAGGATCATCCTGTGAGTTGCTGTTTGGGATTATTACTGGACTCCTTAGTCCCGTATATAGTTAATGATAACATCACAAACAGCTTCTTTAGATTTTTATGCATGACTTGAAATTCATTTGATGTAGATGAACCTGCTCACTGGAAAATTACAGCAATTTATTAAAACCTCAGTAAGAGCAAAACAAGAAAGAAGATTCCTTGTATCTTCTTGTTAGACATCTTCTGTGATTGTTATGGCATATTACACCAATCAGAGAAATAGAGTTTTAAAGTAGTGGTTTGATATTGATTTTATAATCTCTGTAAAAATGAAGATAAAAAGCCAGATTGTACAAAAGTCACCTGAGAAAGACTAGATGAAGCTACAACTTTAAGCAAGAGGTAGAGTTTTAATAGCCTTCACCATCACTCTGTATTTTACATTCATTTGTTTCTGTCACTTATTCAGGATCTTTTTATCATCTGACAGCTAATTATATTATAAAGTTGCTATGATAGTAACACAGCTTCCTCAAAAACAATAATAAATACCAGCATCTGGAAAACTAAGAGCAGCATTTTATATTATCCAGAGTTTATAAGAAAGTGTAGCCAGGTGCGGTGGCTCATGCTTGCAATCCCAGCACTTTGGGAGGCCGAGGCAGGCGGATCACGATGTCAAGAGATCAAGGCCATCCTGGCCAACATGGTGAAACCCCATCTCTACTAAAAATACTAAAATTAGCTGGGTGTGGTGGTGTGTGCCTATAGTCCCAGCTACTCAGGAGGCTGAGGCATGAGAATCGCTTGAACCTGGGAAGCGGAAGTTGCAGTGAGCCAAGATCGCGCCACTGCACTCCAGCCTGACGACAGAGTGAGACTCCTCCTCAAAAAAAAAAAAAAAAGGAAGAAAGTGTTTTACATAGGAAATAATGAAACAAAACAAATCTATGATGAATAAATGCTATTCCAACAAACAGTTAACATAAAATAGAAAAAAAACCCAGGAAGGTAATATATAAGGAAATAAAAGGGTAGAAAAAGGAAAATAATAAATATCATAGTAATTTAGGGAATTGCCATTTCTAGTTTTACACTTATGAAATATAGCTTAGGAAGTGAAAGTTAAATATTGGAACAAATTCTATGTCAAGCAAATTAAGTAAACATCTATGAAGAGACTGAAAATGGAATGGTTTTTGGAAGTAAATAGAAATTGCTAAGCACCTAGCATTGAAGAATTATAATAAATCAATGAAATATGTTTATTAACAGGATCGTGAATTAATTGACCCATTTCCAGTACCTCTGGTCATAATTGGAAGTAAATATGATATTTTTCAGGTAAGCTCTTCCACTTCTAGCTGAGTTTGTTGTACATACATGGCTGTGCTTTTTATGAGGGAGGTACAAAAATAATGTCAACATAAGAAAAATAATTATTGAAGGAATAGATTAGTAAGTCATACATCTTAAAGATTTTGGAAAAGAAGACAGTTGGGACAGAAAAACATAGGTAAAGAAAATAAATGCAGTGATTGGAATGGGGATAAGGCAGATTTAGAAAACGAATCCTGCTGGGCACAGTGGTTTATGCCGGTAGTCCCAGCACTTTGGGAGGCTGAAGCGGGAGGATCACTTGAGCCCAGGAATTTGAGGTTACAGTGAGCTGTAATCACACCACCGTACGTCCAGCCTGGGTTACACAGTGAGACACTGTCTCTTAAAAAAAAAAAAAAAAAAAAAGTCTTCAACCCAGTCACTGGGGAATAGGACTTACTTCTCAACTTTTAAATTGAAGAAAGTAGAAAATTAGTTCCTTCTTATCTTTGCTTGTCAGAGAATCGTTAGGGTATTCCACACTATGAAATGTGCGCTTATATCTAAATTCTGTTGAGCTAAGTATTTAAACAAAGAAAGATCTGATAGCTGAAGCTCTAAGAAGGCTGCAGCTATTGTTCAACTCTCTATGAAACAAATATCAAGGTAATGGAATACTATTCCTGAAGGTGAGTTTAAAAAAATAAGAAATAATCTATTTCTACATTTAATAATTTGAATCTTCCTGCTATAGATATTTGGTTATCTTGACTTTTTTTAATAACATATTTCTACAGGATTTTGAGTCTGAGAAGAGAAAAGTAATATGCAAGACACTTCGATTTGTTGCACATTATTATGGAGCATCATTAATGGTTTGTACATTTCTTGTCCTTTGGGCTTGAATGGACAGTACCAAATTTGGGGAAATTAGCAACTTGATGCACAACTATGAGGAATAAATGCTTTTGCTAATGCACATGGTCCCATTGCTCTCCCACTGCTGAAGACCTCTCCTTACAGAGCGTTTGATAATGCATCTGTTGAACATGTGCTACTAGTTGGTCTCCCCCTTCTTTGGAACAAAAGTTCTAAATTGTTTATATCCATAAATCCCAACTAAGTTTAAAGAGACAAGTTGATTATCTATTTATTCATTTTTGGTATCCCCTTAAGAATTAGAATCTGTATTCCCTTAAAAGAAAAACAAAAAATAACTCTAACAGTGTGTGTACGGGGGATGAGGGCTCTTTTAAAAAGTACTGTTTGTTGTAAAAGTTAAAAACATGAAATCTGAAGTCACGTGCCCTGGGTTCGAATCTCAGGGTGACCATTTATTAGACGTGTGATCTTAGGCAAGTCACTTAATTTCACTTAAGCCTCATTGTCCTCCAGGGTAAAATGGAGAAAAATAGTATCTTCTTCATAGGGTTGTTGTGAGGATTCAAAGAGGGAGTACATGTGAAATGCTTAGCACAGGGCCTAGAACAGAATATTACTCAATAAATGTTGGTTTTTATAATCACTGTTATTATCTCCCATAGCAGGACTAAACTTCACTAAATGTCCTTTAATGCTATAAAATATAACAACTTTTTTTTTTTTTTTTTTTTTGAGATAGTCTCACTCCATCACCCAGGCTGGAGTGCAATAGTGTGGTCTTAGCTCACTGCAACCTCTGCCTCCTGGGTTCAAGCGATTCTCCTGCCTCAGCCTCCTGAGTAGCTGGGACTACTGGCGTGTGCCACCATGCCCGGCTAATTTTTGTATATTTAGTAGAGACGGGGTTTCACTGTGTTGGCCAGGCTGGTCTCGAACTTGTGACCTCGTGATCTGCCCTCCTCAGCCTCCCAAAGTGCTGAGATTACAAGCATGAGCCACCATGCCTGGCCAAAACATTTTTATTTAAACAATTTCCAGCTGGGTGCAGTGGCTCACGCCTGTAATCCCAACACTTTGGGAGGCTGAGGCGAGAGGATCATTTGAGCTCAGGAGTTTGAGACCAGCCTGGGCAACATGGCAAGAACCTGTCTCTACAAAAAATTTTAAAAATTAGCTGGCCATGGTGGCAGACACTGGTTGTCTCAGCTACTTGGGAGGCTGAGGTGGGAGGATCATGTGAGCTCGGGAGGTCAAAGCTGCAGTGAACCATTATCACACCACTGCACTCCAGACTGGACTTGTCTCAAAAAAAAAATTTCCTTTACATTTGAATAATTATTTAATGGTCTCTTTTTTCCTCCAAATTAAAGCACTCAGAGGAACCTAGAGACAACATGGTCTAGCCCCTTGCCTTCATGGCTAGAATATTTTGACTGAAAGTAATATTTACAAAGTATGTATTCTCAGCTTTTATACCTTTCAAAACATTATACATACATTTCATTACGTATTTTCTTAAAAATGATCACCTTTTATGTTTGAATTGTATTTGCTTACGTATTAGGTTGACACAGTACTTTGGGAAATGTTCTTCTTTACTATTTTGAGAGGATATGGGGAATTTAAAGTGAATGAGTCATCCAGGGTACAGAGGTAAAGATCTTGCAATTACTTATTTTTGCCACCAGAGAGGGTCACACATTTACTTCTGGCTATCAAGTTAGCTGAGGGAAATCCCTGTATTTCTTTAGGAACAGATTACATTTGATGGAGGGCCCAGTCTGGTCTCACGGGTACAAATTTAGATGAAGTCAGGTCAATGCAGGCCACAGCAAGCCTGGGATTCACTGTGGCCCAGGAGATGGAACAAGATCAGGGACCAGGGAATGACTTTGAGAAGGGCTTCATCTCAGCTTTCAGTAAGCCCAAAGGAACAGGGTTTGGGTTAGTGGAGTACTTCTGGACCATCAAAGAAACCATAAGGCCTTTTGGGAAGAATGTAGCCAAAGTGATCAAAGCCCCATCTTTCAGTTTCACATCTCCTCTTACCCTCTGCCCCATTTAAGGAAGAAAGTTGGGTACTGCTTTGCAAAATTCCATGATATTTAGCAGGGTTTTTTTCCCAACACTATAGTTGATCCTATACAGTGCAGTTGAGAATATTGATTCAACATTATGAACAATCTAATTAAGTTAATAAAAACAAAACACAGGCCAGGCGTGGTAGCTCTTGCCTCTAATCTCAACACTTGGAGGGTGAGGTGGAAAGACCACTTGAGGCCAGGAGTTCAAGACCAGCCTGGGCAACAAAATGAGACCTTGTCTTGACAAAAAAAAAAAAAAAAAAAATTTAATTAGCCAGTCATTAGCATCATAGTGCATGCCTGTGGTCCTAGCTACTCAGGAGGCTGAGGCAGGAGGATTGCCTGAGCCTAGCAGTTCAAGGCTGTAGTGAGTTGTCATCACACTGCTGCACTCTAGCCTGGGCAACAGAGCAAGACCCCATCTCTTAAAAAACCAATATGCTCCTCACCCCCCAAAGAGAACAGGAGAAGACTGGTAAGTAGAACCAGATTCAGAGGAGAGCCATCAGGATGGCAGGGACTTAAAATTATTATATATGAGGACCAGTAGAATATCACCTAAAATGTGATAACTCTCTTATATAGTTGAAGGAATGTTCCATAGAAAAGTGACTAACTTCATTCTTTGCTATTCTAAAGTCCATAAAAAGGAATCAATAGAGTTTACTCAAAATATGAAAGCACTTTCTAATACTACCATTATCTGAAAACAGAATGAATTATTTGGGGAGATGAGTTCCCAGGTATTGAGTTTGTTTAAGCAGAAGGCTTACAGGTCTTTGTGAAGGGTGTTTCAGAAGTGATTGATGCAGCAGATAGAGGAGTTGGGTTAGAAAACTTCTAATGTTCTCTCAGCCCTATGTTCTGTGAAATATGTTTGTGAAAATTAAACAGAGCAGTTATATTTCTAAAATTCAGCTAAAGTTTTCTATATGTATTTTTAAACATGGTCTCAGTAGAAGCATTACAATTATTTTAATGCTTTCTTTTAAATAAATGTATCAGATCTTATATATACACATGAGTATTCTCATTTGAATACTTTCTCTGAGAGCATTAAGAACTTTCTGTTCTTAATCCAGAATGAGGCTTATCTTGTGGAATTGCCATTGGAACCATAATGCTGATGTCTTTGCTTCATAATTAGATTTCATTTCAGTTTAAAATTGTTCTTCTCACTTCCATACCTCTTAGTCATTTTGACTTGACTGTGAATGACTTTTGGTATTTACAGAAATCCAGCCTAGTTTTTAAAGATTTGTAGAGTAACCATATGTCCTGGTATTCATCTAATGTCACAGCTTAATGATTAATAGTACCCAACCTTTTTCATTCTCTGAAATGTTCTAGTTATGGTTTCCCTAGTTATATGCCAGCATTGAAAATATTCAGTAGCTTAGGCACCAAAAGCAATTTAAAAAGAAGTTTAAAAATTACTTTAGTGAGTATCAGCATCATTAGACCAGTCTGCAGTCCCACAGTGACTGTTTGGAAGGCAGCAATACACCCTTGGATGTGAAAGCTACTTTTGAGGTATACCTCTCATTTTCTAACCAACCCAACTGCATTTTGGAAAATTTTCTTTTAGACCATAATGAGTATGTTTACACACATACAGCCCATAAACATACATTCATATATACATTTTAAAGAAATTATTTGACAGTGATTATGATCCATTTGTGTGGGTAGCTGAAATGATTAGTACATAAACACAAGTCCTTTCCACATCATGTGCTCATTAAGTTTGAAGAACACGTTAAAGTTACCAAGATTTCTTTATTCAGGTTTTGTTTTGTCTACTCAAACAAAAGTATTTGTTGGGCAACTAAATAGTGATTCTCTTTGCAATCTGTATTTGTTCAAAGCCATATTTATTTTACCTGTTTCTGTGATTGGAAAACAGAGCATATAATTTGTTCTCCTGATTTGTTTAAAGTTTACCAGTAAATCAGAAGCTCTATTACTAAAAATACGTGGAGTTATCAACCAGTTGGCATTTGGCATTGACAAAAGGTACTGCTAAGATATTTTTTATATCATTTATTGAGTGATTGATTTAGCCAATGTTGTCTCATCTGATTATTGTTCCACTCAGTCTGTTGTGTCTTGACCAGGAAAGTGACCTCAATGGCTAGTCTTAAAGGGATAATTTCTTTTTTTTTTTTTTTTTTTTTTTGAGACGGAGTCTCGCTGTGTCACCCGGGCTGGAGTGCAGTGGCGCGATCTCGGCTCACTGCAAGCTCCGCCTCCCGGGTTTACGCCATTCTCCTGCCTCAGCCTCCGAGTAGCTGGGACTACGGGCGCACGCCACCATGCCTGACTAGTTTTTTGTATTTTTAGTAGAGACGGGGTTTCACCATGTTAGCCAAGATGGTCTCAATCTCCTGACCTCGTGATCCACCCGCCTCGGCCTCCCAAAGTGCTGGGATTACAGGCTTGAGCCACCATGCCCGGCCAGGGATAATTTCTTTTTAAAATTGTTTTTATTATTATTTATTTTGTCATGACTCAACATAAAGGGGATAATTTCATATTATTTCCTGCTTATATTCTTTAAATATTTCTCAAATTTTGCAACCAAAATGTTACATAACATTTAGTTTGAGGCTGAAATAAAATAATGATAATATTATACTTGCTCCCTGATTTATTTTACTTCCTTTCCCACACTTTGGTAGCTTCCCTCTATTATTACTTTCTTTTATTGATTTGAAATGGAATTGAAAATTTTGGTATGTATCTTCTTAGCCTTGCTACTTCTCTTAGTTTCAATTTAAGGTAATAGGGTCTGTCACTTTTTTCCTATAAAATGTTTATTTATGCTATATTTTAATTTTTGAAATCACTTAAATTGATAGTCATTCATTTGGGGCAATGCTCTCAGTAGTGGCTAAATGTAAAACTAGTCCATAATATTGCTCTCATGTTTATGGGAGAGCATGGCAGCAAATTTAATGGCTAAACTAATTTAGAATCTTTTTTTCTCTACGTAGCAAATCAATATGTGTGGATCAGAATAAACCACTGTTTATCACAGCAGGATTGGATTCTTTCAGTCAAATAGGTTAGTGAACTTATTAAGGTTGTTCAATCTTTTTTTAATTGCTTATTGATTTTATCCTACTCCATGTTCACTTTGTCTCCAACATACTCCTATTTCTGGTTTCATTATCATTGCTGTTATTTCCTGTGTGTTTGTTTATATGCCCAGTATTAATGTAACATGCATCACATTGACATGTTTGTGATGGAAGGGATGTCACCACATAAGAGACTGATTTCTCATTTCTGATCTCTATTCCACTGAAAAACAAATTGCATGTATTTTCTTTCCCCCACTGATTTCCAGGTACTTTTAAATTTTAGCTCCTTGGATTTAAGGAAGCTAGGAGCATAGAGTAGTGAGGAAATTCAAAGCTACATATTACGGGCAATTAGCAAGTATATGAGAGATTGAAAAGTAAGTCAAAAAGAACACGTTTGTAACAATTAGGTATGATTTGATTTTTTGTTATGAAATAGCATGCCTCATCTAATGGAATGTATTTCATAAACTCATAGACTCTACAGGCTTTTGAATCAAAAGGAAGTTTAAGAGTTTATATCTCAAGCCCCTTACCTTCCCACAGAAACTGTTTTCATTGTGAAGCTCTTTGAACCTCGCACTTCTTTATCCTCTGCAGGTGGCATAGTTTGCTTTTAACACTCTAATGGGCAGTAGGGGATTTTTTTGTTTTGTTTTGTTTTGTTTTGTTTTGTTTTGTTTGTATTCCCCATCCTCTATTAGTCTTACAAGCTAAAGGTGACTTGACTTCAAATATAGAAATCTTTGTAATGAGATTATAGATTAATTGGAATGAAAGGAATGGAGGTGATTTTGCTTAATGAATGGTCATGGAGTCTGATGTTTATGATTATCATTAATGCCAACTTAATTCCAGTAGCAGTGAGAATCGCTATTGTACTGATAGATGATGCTGATGGAATTCTTTTGCCTCTATGAATAGTTGGAGGCCAGAATAGAGTTCATAATTACTGAATTTTGAAATCATGGAGCTTAGATCTCATCAGAATTAAAAACTTTTGCTCTGTGAAAGCCCATGTGAAGAAGATGAATAGACATGCCACAATCTGGGAGAAAAGAATTTCAAACCACATACATGACAGAGGACTAGTGTTTAGAATATATGAACGCAATGGAAAAATAAACAATCCATTTAGAAAGTGGGCAAAAGACATAAGCAGACATTTCATTTCAGAGAGGACATAAAAATAGCAAAGCAGCACATAAAAAGGTGTTTAATATCGTTAGTCGTTAGGGAAATGCAAATTGAAACCACAATGAAATATCAGTATACACTTAACAGAATACCTTAAATAAAAAACAGTGACACCACCAAATACTGGCAAAGATGCAGAGAAACCAGATCTCTCATACATTGCTGGTGGGAGTGTAAAATGGTACAGCCACTCTAGAAAACAGTTTAACAGTTTCTTATGAAACTAAACCTTTATGACCTAAAAATTGTGCTGTTGGGCGTTTATCCAGGATAAATGAAAACTTAAATTTCACACAAAAAATCTCTAGGCATATGTTCACAGCAGCTTTATGTGTAGTAGTCAAAACCTAGAAACAGCCCAGAAGTTGTTCAGCAGGTGAATGACTAAACAAACCGTGGTACATCTGTACCAGAGAAAACTGCTCAGCCACACAAAGGAACAAATGACTGATACACATAGCCTGGGTGAATCTCCAGGGAATCATGCTGAGTGAAAAGCAGCCAATTATAAAAGATTACATACAGTGTGATTCTATTTATAAAAAATTTTGAAATGAAAAACATTTTAGAAATGGAGGCAGATTAGTGGTGGTCAGAGGGTAGGGATAGGACTATGGATGGGGAGACGAGGGGAGGGCTCAGGAAGGAGGAGGTTATGTCTATAAAAGGGCAACACAGGATCCTTGTGCTAGTGGAATTAAGTTGGCATCTTGACTGTGGTAGCAAATACATGAACCTATGCAGGTGATAAAATTGTATAGAACTTAACATACACACAGACACACAAAGGAATACAAGTAAAACTTGGCAAAGCTGAATAACATCAGTGGAGTGTATCAATGCTTTTCCCACCAAAGTGGCAAGGATGTCCTGGAAGATCACCAGCAAAACAGTTTTGGTGAACAATAGATGTTGGAAATAGAAAGAATGGGAAATATCCAGTTACAAATTGTAAATGGCAGCAAAGTTTTAAATTTTTCAAATTAAATTATACAAGTAATACATAAAGATATCTCCTTGTAAAAAGGGAAAAGAGTATATACAAGGAGCAAATCTGTGTTCTTTCCAATTTCCTGTGCCTTTACACATGTGTATATAGTGTAGAAAAAACTATTTGCTTTAAACATAATTATATGTTCAGTCTATATCATTTTGGAATTTCCCTTTTTTATTAAATATACCTTATTATTCAATACCTTTTTATTCAATATACCAATATACCTTAGTAGTTTTTCCATGTTAATGCTACATATGGATCTATTTCTTATTTTAACTGTTGGATAGTGTTACAGAGCATGGGTGTGCATAGTAATTAATGCACCATTCACCACTGATGAATATTTTGGTTGTAGGTCAATTTATTCAGTGATAACAAATGATGCTGCAGTGTGAAATCCTTAATACAGTACCAGTTTTCAGGTGTTTCTAGGGCAAACACTACCAAGAACTGGAATTACTGGTTAATGGGATGTAGATACAGGTATAGATACAGGGTGTGGAGAGTGAGAGTTACAGTTTACCAATTACTCTTTAGCTCCTCTTCTTTCAGTATTAGAATCTGTCCCAGTGACCTTGCTGTGCTGGGTAGGGTAAATTTTCATGGTGACTATATTAAGGAGAGGGAAAATGAGTGATCTGAGATGTATACCTTTGTTAGTGTCATTTCTTTTATTGGCAGAATTTGTAATATTTTAATCAATGCAGTCATTTGAAGTGAAACTTGCTATTTTAGGATCTCCTCCTGTTCCTGAAAATGACATTGGAAAGCTTCATGCCCACTCACCAATGGAGTTGTGGAAAAAAGTGTATGAAAAGCTTTTTCCACCAAAGGTACATATTTCTAATTTTTTAAAAGCAAGATTTTTAGCACCATCTAACAGTTATAGGAAATGTGCCAAAGGGCCTATTATGATAACTTTATTTTTATCTCTTCTGCTCAAAAATCAATTAAACATTGCTGAAAATGTAAATGGGCACTGTGGTGATTTAAAAAAAAAGTCAGACATGGTTCCTGCTCCACTTTCAAAGATAGTTATCTGGTTGTTAGAGAAGGGAGAGACAACTGAAAGGGGACCTGGTGGAATTGGAAGCGGGCCTCAGTGGTGATGAAAAAAGCTTGAAAGATCACAGAGAGCCTTTGTGGTAGGCTGAGGAATGGGAGCTTGGTTTATTAGGCAGATGGTAGCCATTGAATTTTGGGTTATGGGCATGAAGTGATTTGGAGATTTGTAATTTCAGAGTATTAACACACTGAAAAATATCAAGGACCCTGCAAGAGATCCTCAGTATGCTGAAAGTGAAGTCGATGAGATGAGAATTCAGAAGGATCAGGTATTATCTTAAACATTTACTTAATTTCATCTGAAGGTTTTTCTTGTTGTTGTTGTTGTTGTTGTTTTGAGATGGAGTCTCACTCTGTTGCCCAGCATGGAGTGCAGTGGCGCAATCTCGGCTCACTGCAAGCTCCACCTGCCGGGTTCATGCCATTCTCCTGCCTCAGTCTCCCGAGTAGCTGGGACTACAGGTGCCCACCAGCATGCCTGGCTAATTTTTTTTTTTTTTTTTTTTTTTTTTTTTAGTAGAGACGGGGTTTCACCATGTTAGCCAGGATGGTCTCAATCTCTTGACCTCGTGATCCGCCCACCTTGGCCTCCCAAAGTGCTGGGGTTACAAGCGTGAGCCACCGCACCTGGCCTTATCTGAAGTTTTATCACAAAACCTGGAGTGCCTTGGGAATTCCTTACATTTTTCTCAATGTATTTACTTAGTGTTTCTTTTTTACTGTTAAAATTATTTAAGTAGTACATCTATTTAAATAACATACTAATAGTATACTGTAGAAAAAAATAAAAATTTGATATGAATAAAGAAAAATTTTTAAATCACCTGTCATCCCACCACCCAGACATGACCTGATGTTCACATAAACCTTTTTGATTTTCTAGTTTACATTATATTAAAGATGAGTAGTGATTCTTACCTTGCTGCTGGAGAGACATTTTCTTAATACTCTTTGGTTTGTGGAATTACATAGAAAGTTTTGTTTTTGATTAGGAAATTCAGACATACCTATACTTTCCTTGTACCAGAAAACGTATCTCGCCCAGTTAAGGACTGAAAGCACAGTCTGAAAGCACACAGACGTACCTGACAGAACCCAGGATCTCTCAGGAAAATGCTTAAAAGTGGACACTACCATCCCGTGTATCCCTAGATAGCCCCATTTGAACACACAAATCTGATGTAAGAATGTCAGAGTTGGTAAACTCACCATGACCCAAATACTTAGAGTTTTCTTTTCTTTTTTTTTTTTTTTTTGAGACGAGTCTCACACTGTCACCCAGGCTGAAGTGCAGTGGCATGACCTCGGCTCACTGCAACCTCTGCCTCCCGGGTTCAAGCAATTCTCTGCTTCAGCCTCCTGAGTGGCTGGGATTACAGGCACCGCCACCATGCCCAGCTAATTATTTTGGGGTTTTTTAGTAGAGATGGGGTTTCACCATCTTGACCAGGCTGGTCTTGAACTCCTGACCTCATGATCCACCCACCTTGGCCTCCCAAAGTGCTGCGATTATAGGCGTGAGCCACCGCGCCCAGCCAAGATTTTTCTAAAAACAAACAAGCAAACTTAAGTTTTAGTTTGATTTGATAAAATGAGACATTGTACAGAATCTGTCCTTATATGAGTAAACTTATGTATGGTAAGCACTAGACTGAAAGCCCTGGCAACTTCTCAGGCGGCAGCCACATTTTTTCAAGGGTAACCTGAAAGCAGCTATCAGCTGGGAGCAGGAGCCAGGGCATTTGTCTCAGCATTCACCTGCAGGGGGCCCTTGGAGAAGTCAGCAAAACATTTTATGTAAACGGTCCAGAAGACTTTTGAAAAATATGCCATGAATATTTAGAGGTTTTGTAGCTATAGCAAAGTGAGAGGCATGTTGTAGAAACAGTAAAATGACCTCATGTAACCCTTATTATGTTTCCAGTTTGGATGTAAGGATTAGTTGGAAGTCATCCCTGATTAATATTTATCTAGGGGTCAATGATTAACTGTTGTTGTTGATAAGAATATCTGTTTATATTGCATAATGATCACTTTGATTAAGTTCATATACATCAGTATTATTAAAGGATTAGGGTATTTGTGAGCATCATGAATTTTCACATTCAAATCTGTCTTCTCTAAATGACTTAAAACCGTAAGAATTCTGTGTGGAAAAGGAAGGCAGCCCCACAGTACACATATCACCCTTCATTCATCTCTTAGGTCTCACTGCCAGCAGATCACCAATTCCTATCATCTCTTGGTTCAAGATGTTTTTTAACCTACCTGAAAAGTTATGCTATCCTAAGTTTGCCTCTAACCCACTTTTATTCGTGTGGTTTTAGATGAATTGCATTGATTCCAGATTGCACACATAGGACCTTAGCATAATTTTATGCTTTAGCTTTAAAGATACCCTAATGATTATCAGTGTTGTTGCTGTTATTTCATTGATAATCTGAATCTAAAGTTTGACATTCTACTATACAGCATTTTTAATTTGAATATTATTTCATACTCTTTCACGCGTAGTTGTGAGACCTTAAGTTGTTTCCAGTTGTGTGCTGTGAGGTCAGTCCTCAAGGATCTGAGGATTGGTAGGAAGACCCCTTTCATCTTTCCTGCAGACTTAGGGTCTTTCGTGATTAGCCCTCTTTAATTAAAGTTCTGTCTTTGCCAGACTTCACATGGGCACCAGAAAATACTTCAGTAGTATTTTCTACTTTTTAAAAACCCTCTAGCTTTAAAGCAGTCCCGATTTTAAGGGAATGTCAATGTGGAAAGCACTTGCTGAGCCCTTCTACCTCTTTTGTGTTTTTTTCTTTTTCTTTGATACTGTGTCTTGCTCTGGCATCCAGGCTGGAGTGCAATCGTGAGATCATGGCTCACTGTAGCCTTGAACTCCAGGGCTCAAGCGATCCTCCCATCTCAGCCTTTCAAGTAGCTGGTACTACAGGCACACATCACCATGTCTGGGTAATTTTTTCCTTTTTTGTTGCCCAGGCTGGTCTTGAACTCCTCGCCTAAAGCAGTCCTCCTGAGTTGACCGCCCAAAGTGCTGGGATCACAGGTGTGAGCCACTGTACCCAGCTTCTTTTCTATATTTTTGTTAAGGCAAAAAAAAAAAAAAAGTTACAGTTAACATTTATTTTTAAGGTCTTCTTGGCCAACCACAGATATCTTTTGAAAATTTTCTTTCTTGCTATCCCTTTAAAACATCAATGTATTATTTTGAGGCCATATCATTGTATTGAAGATCTAGTGGACTTGGTGGGTTCTGTCTCACACTGGTTATTCCTTTTCCTCCCTCTGGCGTGGCCTGCGTGATAGCCCCAGTTTCCTCACAGTCTGCTGTCTGCAAAAGGGAGATACCACTAGCAAAGGATCTCAAAACGTTTTCACCTTTGTCCTTGGTAAAAATAACTTAACTTCCAGTTAAAGACAAAGTTTGCAGTAAACAATTTGTTTATTCTTTATGAGTTAATCTTTAAAACCACAGTGGTAGATAACTGGTGAACTGAATTAACTTTATTAGGAAAAAATAAAACAAGCTGTAAAGAGTACATATGATTATTACCATGAAAATTCTTCCTGGAATCCAGTAAGGAAGTTAAAAAAAAAAAAAAAAAAAAAAGGAAAAATTCTTCCAAAGTCTGTATACCATTTTGAAACATTTAACATTCAAATTTTAGTAACTTAGAGTATAGGTATGAAAGGGACGATCTGTAATTTTTCTGAAAATTAGAATGGATTTTCTTTTCATAGCAACTGTGAACTTCAGTTATGTTAGCCAAAGGGCAGTGATTGCGTTATCTTGCAGAGTAACCACATTTTGTTTATTTGAAGCGGTGATAACCTTTGTACAGTTATTTAGATATTGAACAACATGTAGGAGGCCAAGAGGCATCCCTTCAGATGGCCCCTTTTACATGTCAGTTGCCTTGTGCAGGATAGCCACTTCCACTAAAATTTATTTATGAATTGTAAAGGTAACATACTCATTGTGAAAAATTCAAAATATATAGATAGATGTATATAAAATAGAAAATGGAAGTATCCCGCCCTCTCCCTAGCTGTGTGCTTTTTTCATGTGGCACATACTATTTTTTCATGTGGCCACTTTTGTTTTTGCTGGCTGCCTTGGAAGCCACCTGTGAATGAACGCTAATTATTTCATCAGTCCTTACTGGGGGACATCAAAGTTGTTTCCAGTTGTGTTCAGATAGAGCAGTGAGCATCCTTGTGCATTGCTCTATTGTTATGTATGATAGATTTCTAAAAGTAAAATCACTGGGACAAAGGATACACACACACACAAACATACACACATACACACATTTTTTTGTGGAATTACATAAAGAGTTTTGTTTTTGATTAGGACATTCAGACATACCTGTACTTTCCTTGTACCAGAAAACGTATCTCACCCAGTTAAGGACTGAAAGCACACAGACATACCTGACAGAACCCAGGATCTCTCAGGAAAATGACAAGTCTCACTCTGTCACCCAGGCTGGAGTGCAGTGGCGCAATCACAGTTTACTGCAGCCTTGACCTCCTAGGTTCAAGCAATCCTCCCACCTCAGACTTCCAAGTAGCTGGGACCACCACACACACCACCATGCCTGGATAATTAGTTTTCTTAGGTTTTGTAGAGACACGGTCTCCCTATGTTGCCCAGGCTGGTCTGAAATTCCTGGGCTCAAGCAATTCTCCTGCCCCAGCCTCCCAAAGTGCTGGGATTGTAGGCATGAGCCACTGCACCCAGCCTGGGTATATGTTTTTAAAATATTTTTCTAATTTCAACCAAGTTTTTGATAAGAACTGAACAGCAAACAATTAAAAATAAGAGCACTTTTGAATACTTGAAGGATGACAAATGTCTAGTTCATTAGTTGAAAGACGATTCATATGTATTATGTAGTTTATGTATATAATGTTGTCTGAAAGTTTAATAAATTCTCTGAGTGCTGCTTCACAGCACAGAAACTCTAAAGACTATATTTCTAGAAAATAAGTCCTAAGCATAATCATTTACAAAATAATTGTCAAGAAATCTTTACAATGATAATGCTACTAAGGATACATTGTTATATCTAAAAAATGAGAAAGCAGTTTTAACGTGCCTCCTTGAATTCTTAAGTTGATTTTTCTTAAAGTAATACATATTTTTGTTTTAGGAACTGGAACAGTACAAAAGAAGTTCTTCCAAGTCTTGGAAACAAATCGAGCTTGATTCTTGAACCTAATTCAGTTGTTGTATATTTATTTCTTCTTTTCCAAATACAAATAAGATTATATTATGAATTAACTATTATGGCAATATGTGAAGAAAGTTAAACTGTATAATTTGTGAAAGGACAAGCTGGATTTCTTGGACTAGTGCTCTCCCTGTATATCTTGAAGCTTTTTAAAAGGAAAAAATACTGTAGAACCATGTGTAATTTTTTTTTTTAAATAAAAGAATCTTCTACTACCGACCTCTAACATGTTTAAGTGGTATATACTCAATTCCGCATGTATAAGTTTCTGCTTATATGTTTTTAGGAATATAAAAGTAAGAGTATCTGGTTACAGTTTTAAATGCAAGGTTAAGTGCCCATGTTAGACACATTCTTTCTAAGAGGCGTTCTCAGCTGTAGCTGGGAGGAAACCGGAATTGGGTTCACAGATGTCAAAACTTTACTCTGAACAGTGAGGCGCAAGAAGCACCTGAAATAGGAGATGCACATTCCTGGGTCCCCACACCTAGAGAGTCGCCATCCGTGGTCTGGAATGGAGCGTTTTTAATCAGCACCCATTGCACCCCTCTGTGAGACTGACACATTTATTTTAAATACCACTTTTTGAAGAACAGGCACATTTAATGAGATATCCTATCAAGAAGCAGGACAAAACATCACGTGTTAGGGATAACCAGGATTATTTCCAAGGTGGGATAGCCTTTAAGAAGCTGTTCCAATCTGTAGATTTGTGTACCTGCTAGCCAAGTTCATTTTGAGTAAGTATAATTGCTGTGATTAAAAATGATTTATTCTGTGTTCTTCCATATCCACATGTAAAATATGTTGACTCCCAGCTTCAGATAAACACATTTACTACCCCAAGGGAGTGGTGTCTGAGCAGACAGCAAGCCATCTGCTTATTGCAACGAACCAGGACTTCATAAATTATTTGCAGTATGTATGGTTCTGACACCCTTGAGAACAGTTTTCAGCATGTTTCCAAGGAACCTCAGTCTTAAGCACAGGTTTCTTGCTGAGTGCTATGGAAAAAGAGATCCCTTTAAATTTACAGTGAACATTATGATCTCAGAAACATCACTAACTTGGTGGGAAGAAACAGCCTGTTCCACAAGAGTAATAGGAATTGCTGTTATATACTTTGATTTTCTTACACATCACTGTCCATTTTTGACTTGAGACACAAACTGTCACATGTTGAAAGCCATTGTGTTTTTCTAAGGTGCTATCACTAACATTTAATAGCTTGCAGTCACGTGTGATGTCAGTTTTCCAAATGTTTCTGAGCTAGAATGAAATTCATCTGCATATGAATAGCAGAAAATGTTTCCACTTATGTTGTACACCCATATCTTTAGTAAGTTGAAATCAGTGATTTCAAAAGAGGTTCCTGTGGGACTCTCTTTGAACTACTGTAATAGATTATCATCTCCAGAATTGTCTATAACTGATGTGACATATATAATCTGTAAGACATTGTGTAACTATTACACCATAATCATCCATGTCAAAGACCTTTTATAAAAATTGACAATACTAGTCTGATAATTTACCAATGCCTCCACATCCTTAAATACTGTTCTGAGAAATAGAATTTTACTGTGGTTTCCTTAATGAAATGATCTTTCCTACTTCAACATGAGACATTTCAAATGCTATAATTTATCTTTCTTCACAAGTTAGGTCACAGTCAGTGAACAAGTTCATGCGCTCTCTACCATATTCTCACCCAATGTTACCATAGTAACATTGAGACAGTTTCATTTCGGGTTCTTACATGGAATTACTGGAAGATCAATCAGAAGCAGAATCAGATCAGTCATTTTAATACAGAACCCAATTTTTTTTCTTTTTTTTTTTTTGAGACAGAGTCTTACTCTGTCGCCAGGCTGGAGAGCAGTGGCACAATCTCAGCTCACTTCAACCTCCACTTCCCAGGTTCAAGTGATTCTCCTGCCTCAGCCTCCCAAGTAGCTCCTGCCACCACGCCCAGCTAATTTTTGTATTTTTAGTAGAGACAGGGTTTCGTCACGCTGGCAAGGATGGTCTCGATCTCTTGACCTCAAGATCCACTCGCCTCGGCCTCCCAAAGTGCTGGGATTACAGGCATGAGCCACCACGCCTGGCCAGAACCCATTTTTAATAACCTATTTATATTATTTTATCCTTGAAAATATGTAATACAGGTGTCTGTATTTATACATATCAGCACCCTTTACAGTTCAAGAATGTGAAATTTCTAGGGTGTACCCTGTTCTTTGTAAATAATATGTCAGCACTTTTTTTCTTTCTTTTTTAGAGACAGAGTCTCCCTCTCTCTGTTGCCCAGGCTGGAGTGCAGTGGTTCCATCATAGCTCACTGCAGCCCCTACCTCGTGGGTTTAAGCGAGCCTCCCACATCAGCCTTCTGAGCAGCTGGGAATACAGAGGTGAGACACCATGTCTAGCTATGTCAGCATTTTTTCTATATGGACTTTAACAGCTGATTTCCAAACTTAACAAGGTTATTTCTCAGTGTATACACTTCAGTAACATTTACTTGTAATTCTATAAGTAAACTCAGCTGAAAGTGAAAAGTAGCAAACGAATCTTTAAAAACATAACCAGAGGTTTGTCTGGTGTGCTTTGTTCACTGTTGAGCCCATTCCTATAGTTTTTTATTTTAATCCTCAGTAAAATTACTGGGTGCTCTGTTGCAGTGTTGCTCACCATTCATCTGCCCAGCATTCTCTCGATGTGATCAGGTAACTCCGACCCCTCGGGTGGAGGGGTCTTTTAACTCTGGGTCTTCCAGGAACAGAAGCATTCTTCCCCAATTCTGCATGATAACCTTGCTTCATCTAAACCCACAACTCTTTTTTTTCTGTCACTTACAGTCAGTAATCCTTCAAACCTTTTACTTTTGCCTAACCCTTTATCAAATGTAAACATATTTTTAAGATGACCTATTTTTTTCTGTGCCTACAACAAGGAAAAAAATAGTCACACGAGTCTCCCATAGGTTTATGAATGATTATTATTTAATTCTTGGGCCAGCTCAGTCACAATTTCCAAATACCACATGTCCCTGCAAGTTGTAACAGGAAGGGACTATGAACCACTTCCATTGCATTCAAGGCCTGCATGGATCCAAGAGGCACAAATAGAGTCTTAATGGTTAAAAGACCTGAGATGTCCTATCAAGAAAGAAATACATGGCACCCTCATTTCAGACATTCAGAGCAGTCATGCACAGTCAGCAGCTTCACTTCCATTTTCCCAGCCATAGTTTTCACTACCTGCTAATGAGATGATCCCTTATTTTGAAAACAACTATTCCTAGGATGACAAGAGCTGGAATAAATGAATACAAAATCAGAAAGTTCATTGTGAATCTAGATGTCGCACCTGGGCTGGTTTCCTCAATGAATTGAATTCCTTGAGTGAAGGCACACATTGGATTAGTTGCCACAGAAACATTTGAGCTGCCTGTCAAGGAGAAGATTGACAGTATCAGGTGTGGTTTATCTCAGGTAATTTAATCAACAAGTATTTACCAAATGCTTGCTAAGTACCCTTATTAATGAAAAATACAGGACACTTTAGCAAGCACAGAGTTTACAATTTGAAGAAGCAAGAGTGAGCAGTTCTGGCCTTTGGCCTCATTTGAAGATGGACATGCTTTTGTTTCTATTTTGAGTATAGATTAATTACCATATTTGTGATAAAAATCATGGTCCCTTAGCAAGGCTATGCTAAAGTTACTGACATTATCATTTAAAATTATTTAAAACACTACTAAATTCAGCCATATTATTTGGTTGTCTTTGGAGTGGCCCTGAGATTTTTTTGGTGGGTTTTTTTTTTTTTTTTTTTTTTGAGACACAGTTTCACTCTGCTGCCCAGGCTGGAGTGCAGTGGCTCGATCTTGGCTCACTGCAACCTCCCCCTCCTGGGTTCAAGTGATTCTCATGCTTCAACCTCCTGAGTAGCTGGGATTACAGGCACGCACCACCATGCCTGGCTAATTTTTGTATTTTTAGTAGAGACGGGGTTTGCCATGTTGGCCAGGCTGGTCTCGAACTCTTGACCTCAAGTGATCCACCCACCCCGGCCTCCCAAAGTGCTGGGATTACAGGCGTGAGCCACTGTGCCCAGCCACCGTGAGATTTCTAATGGCTGTGAGGTCCTTGTCCTGGTCCTACTTCTGACTTTTGCCAAAAGTGGCTTTACTTAGCTGTGTACGATGTACATTTTGGGGAAAAAGAAGCCACTTCAGCCTGCTTGAATGTGTTCAGTAGATACAGAAACTGAGTCTATCCCGAATATACTAGAGTTTACCTCAGTGTACATAAGGTCTGTCATTTTCTAACAACATCTGAATGTCCCTTACCTATTGACCTTTGACAGGAGACTAACTTGACTACTGCTTATTTTCTTTCATTTTAAAAATCAGAGAAAATGGACCATATTTCAAGACAGAATTTTAACTTGAATTATTATGAAACACAGCTTTTATTTCAAAAATACATTTCCTCCAATAAATTGCTTCCTCAGAGTAACATGCAAAAATAATATCCCCAAATAGAATACTTACCACAAGTGAAATTCAGTCCGTAGAACTCATTGACTAAAAGAATCTCACTGCAATATTTTTGGAATGTAAAATAACTGATGATTTTAAAAGGAGTGGGCATTTCTTGTATGTTTCTTAAGAAAAAGAAAACAAAAATGAAATTCAGTGGGCTCTGGCAATAGTCCTACCAAATAAAAAGAAAGGCAACCCTTATGTTTTCCAACATGAATATGGTTTTCTATCTCTTTATTGTAAAAATGATGCTCACTATAAAAAAAAACCTTCAAACAACATTGAAAAATATAAAGAAATACCATTGCCTAGAAATAACTATTGTTAACATTTTGATAATATATATAACATATGTGTTTATAAAGTTTTATATAAGTGGAATTAAACTCTTCATGCTCTTTCCCAACCCACTCTTTCTGCCAAACATATGTTTCAGACATCCTTCCAAGTCAGTAAGCATAGTACTTTGTCATTTTTAGTCACAGCTTGGTAGCCTGTTATAGTGAAGACCTTAATTTAACAGTTCTCTCAAGTAGACGACTACTGTCTACTTATTTTGGTAAGCACTATTGATATAAACATACAAGAAAATACAGACCTAACACATACCAATTGGAGGAGGAGATTTGTGATTACACAGAAAGTTGAAGGTACCAGTGTAGAAAGTTAGAACTAACCTAGAATACAAAGGAAAAAGGAAGGAGAGACCGAGCCAACATTCATTGTGAAAATGTAATATGTCTCCACTCCAATCTATTTCAGGTGAAACTTTATGCTGACACTGTGGTCTTTTTAGTCTACCATATATTTCCTGTCAATCAAAAGATTTAAAATTCTTTCTGGTTGCAAGACACTAGTTCTAGGAGCTTGAGAACTTCAAAGACATATCCTATCCCTAAAGAACTTGTAATGTAGTTGGAGATATAGACTATATCCTTAAAACTATAAAAATACACAGTAGTGAACTATTTGTGCCAAGGAAGTATTAAAATGTGTACTACACATCCGTGCTGTTCTTGTATTTAGTATTTATGGTTTCACTTATTTCCAAGTGGTCCTCAAACTTTCAGTTACTGTCAGTTTCCTAAGGCACAACATTGAATTAACCACATTGAGAGGTTACTAATTGAAAAGGATACGTGGGACTCTGGGAAGGAATTAGGGGAACAGAAAGGAAATTCTAGGAAGGCAGAAACGGTATGAGTACAGGCATACCAAGGGCGGCATATTGGACTGACTGGACCAGAAAGACTGGGGGAGAGGACGTGAAGGAACAGTGGGAGGGGAGCTCGGAACAATAGCCTGAGACAGCTATTTCAGGGCCTTGCCGTGAGTTGAGGTTGAATGACCATGAATGAGAAAGGTCATGTTGAAATCAGCATTCTGAGAAAATTAACGTGACTTCAGCAAGAAGGATGACCAGAATGAGGGCAGAGTAAGAACAGAAAAAAAAAAAAAAAAAAAAGCAGACTACAACAAAAGTTCAAGTATGAGATGACAAAGGCCTGGAGTAGGATGATGGCCATGAGAGGGTGACTGTCTAGTGGCTAGGGTGGTATCTTTTTGAGGTAGGAACCGTGCACCTTTGTTTCTCCCTATACCACACAGAGTCAAACACAAATGTTCCAAATGCACCTATGGTTTGATATCAGAAAAGAAAACCAACATGATTTGGTGAGTGATGCAGTGTGTATACAGTTCAAAGACAGAGTCATTCACTTATTCACTCAACAAATAATGTTTGCAGGCCTGATGGTCCAAGGCCTAATTGGGCTGGCTGCTGAGAAGGTCTAAAATGATGAATGAGACACAGCTGCTGCCTTCAAGAGGCGGATAATCTATTACAGCAAAGGAAGACCGTGACAGGAGGTAGCGTGTGATAGGCTGAGAGAGAAAACAAAGGGGGCCTTCAGGGAGAGTGCGCCTCTAGCCTTGGGAACAACCAACAAACTGTGCAGGTGGCAGAGAGAGATAAATGGATCAGTGAAAGGCACAGACAGAAGGAGAAGCAGCGGGAGGAACCATAGATCTAGATGTATTGACATGACATTGTCCACATTATGTTGGTTTGTGCTTTTTTTGTCTCTTTTTTTGAAACTGAGTCTTGCTCTGTCACATAGGCTGGAGTGCAGTGGCGCGATTTTGGCTCACTGCAGCCTCTGCCTCCTGGGTTCAGGTGATTCTCCTGCCTCAGTCTCCTGAGTAACTGAAATTACACGCACGTGACACCACACCCAGCTAATTCATATTATGTTGTTAAATGGAAAAAACGTATGCATATTTTATATCTTATACGACAGGATGATTTCATCTTTGTTAAATTTTATATAAAATTCTAGCAAGAACTACAACAAAATTTAACTCTGGGCTCTGATACTTCAGGTAACTTTTACTTTCTTCGTCATCTGTGTTTATATTGTGAGCATTTCTTCCCCCAAGAACTTGCATGATTTTGTAAGCAGAAAAAACAGCAAAGCTAATTTTCTTTGTGTTTAAAGGAGAAGGGAGCCAACAGCACAAATGCCACAGGCAGTTCACCTAGAAAGATGATGACTGGGCAGGAAAATGGGTAAACGAAATGACTAGCAGGTTGATATGGCCTTTAAAAGCAGAGTTTTAATTCAGTGATGAAGTGGAATTCATGTGAAGCCTTGGGATGTTCAGATTTTGCAACTAATCTGAGAGCATTTAGTATTCTTTGCCACTGCCTACCTTTTAAGAGCAAATTAACCACCAGGCGCAGTGGCTCACACCTGTAATCCCAGCACCTTGGGAGGCCGAGGCAGGGAAATCACTTGAGGTCAGGAGTTTGCGACCAGCCTGGCCAACTTGGTGAAACCTCATCTCTACTAAAAATACAAAAATCAGCCGGGTGTGGTGGCACGCACCTGTAATCCCAGCTATTCAGGAGGCTGAGGCAGGAGAATCGCTTGAACCCAAGAGATGGAGGTTGCAGTGAGCCGAGATCGTGCCACTGCACTCCAGCCTGGGTGACACAGTGAGTGAGACTCTATTTCAAGAAACAAAAAAATAAATAAAGAGCAACTAACCTCCTTTTCCTAAAAACCCAATACAAATGCTGCTTATGATGGGGTTACTTCCAGATAAATCCATCATAAGTTGAAAATATTGTAAGTTAAAAATGCATTTAAGGCCAGACGCGGTGGCTCACATCTGTAATCCCAGCACTTTGGGAGGCTGAGGTGAGTGGATTACCTGAGGGCAGGAGTTTGAGACCAACCTGGCCAAAATGGTGAAACCCCATCTCTACTAAAAATACAAAAATTAGCCAGGCATAATGGTATGTTCTGTAATCCCAGCTACTCGGGAGGCTGAGGCAGGAAAATCGCTTGAACATGGGAGGCAGAGGTTACAGTGAGCTAAGATCATGCCACTGCACTCCAGCCTGGGTGACAGAGCGAGATTCCCTCTCAAAACAAACAAAACACAAAACAAAACAAAAACACATTTAGGACACCTAGCCTAACAAACATTACAGCTTAGCCTGATCTGCCTTAAATGTGCTCAGAACACTTAACATTAACCTACAGTTGGGAAAATTCATCTAACACAAAGCCTATTTTATAATAAATTGTTGAATAATGTAATTTATTGAATCCTGCTCTGAAGGTAAAAAACAATGATTGTATGCCTACTCAAAATACAGTTTCTAGGCCGGTTGCGGTGGCTCATGCCTGTAATCCCAGCACTTTGGGAGGCTGAGGTGGGCAAATCACTTGAGGTCAGGAGTTCGAGACCAGCCTGGCCAACATGGTGAAACCCCGTCTCTACTAAAAATACAAAAATTAGCCAAGCATGGTGGCACACACCTGTAATCCCAGCTATTCAGGAGACTGTGGCACGAGAATCGCTTGGACCTGGGAGGCGGAGCTTGCAGTGAGCTGAGATAGCGCCACTGCACTTCAGCCTGGGCAGTACAGTGAGACTTCGTCTCAAAAAAAATAGAAACAAAATACGGTTTTACAGAACGAGTATCACTTTCTCAAAAAATCATAAGTCAGGGATCATCTGTACATGAAATGGCATCAGATTAACTGAAACAATGATTCAAATAATATAAAAGAGGAGATGCTGCCCAGGGTTGGCTCTGTACATTGCTGGCTTGACTCTGTACTCTTGGCTTGATTTGATTTCTGCATTTTTCATAAATAGTAACAATCCACTTAAGCAGCATGGACAAATACAATGTGATGGTCTTAGTGTGAAAAAATATCCTCCTTGATTGATCAAAGCCTAGTTCACTTTGCTTTATATAATATCTCACCTTCATATAACTCACTACAATTTATAATGTGTTTTCATATTGATTATTTTCTTTCCTTCTCATGATCCCTTGAGGTATCATGGTGGGGCTGAAATAGTGATCTCTTTTTTTGTAAATGAGGAAACTAATTTAGATAGAAAAGAGACTGGCAAGTGGTAGAGGAAGTTTCTGACTCAGGTCAGCCTCTCTCCAGGAAGTCACATGCATCACAGCCTTCACAGTGGTGTGACTTGAGCAAAGTCAAGTCTGAGCTTCATTTTCTTTTCTGAAAATGGATTGCTCTAAGAGTTAAATAATTAAATACACACACATATAATTTTATATAGTAGACGCTCAGTAATGTTTTTGCGTTTTGACTTGAGTTTTTAAAGTTTCAGTCAAAGAAACAGCCTTCATGTTTCCTTGGGGACCCAGAGATTACTTACTAGATCCCACTCACACCACCTGCCTGGGATCATTTTTTAGCCTTTTAAAATTTTCTGCCCTTTTTGCTGCTGCTTTTTAAAAACGTGTGTGGATGCATTTTTTCCTAGTTGTAAAATGATACTTGTCCATTATAGAACATTGATAAAATACAGAAATATGAAGAAAAAGTTAAAATCAATATCACCTAGAGATAATTACTGCTATCATTTAGTGCATGTCCTTTAAGCCTTGATACTCTTTGGAGGAGTCTTTTATCCTGCAGGCTCTTTTTTTATCTGACTAGTCTTAATTCCTAAGAATAACTGGGAATTGAGAACTGCAGTACAAAATCAACAGTACCAGGTCAGAAATGAACTAATATATGCAATTTATTTAGCCTGTCACGTGGGCTGTGAGTTTTTCCTGGAACATCTGGACTTGTTTTCTTCTCTTGGTATAATGGCTTATTACATGTGAATCATATCATAACATAAACTTGTCAGTTCCTGATTCCCAATAAAAAAAGACATTTTATTGGACACATGAACAGTTCAAGGTCTAAGGCGATAATGATTAACAAGCAGTACAAATGCTCCAGACTATAAGGTAATATCCATAACCACTATCAGTTCTCTGGTATTCCTTTACTTCAGTCATTATTAGGTGATCATTAATAACAGGTTATCCCAATCTACATTTTTTGAATTATGATATCTTACCTGACCAATCCAGATCCAACAAGCACCCCCGCAATGGACAGCAGAGCCACTACACTGTTGACTATATTTGGATTTTGGATGATACCAAGTAGCACAAGAGTTAGAAATTCACCAATTAAGTGGGGGGCCAAGACAGCAGCAGAGAAATATCCAAATCTGGCAACCTCAGGATGTAAGCCCAGCGTCCTAGAAAAGCATAAGCTCTTCAGTTTCCTCTCCAAGGGCTATCATTTAAGAAAAATACTGTACTTGCCTCTATGAATAAATCCTTGGTGGTGAGTGGGTGGGAGGCATTTGCAGGGCAAGCCACACTCCCTTTTGAAAGGCGTTTTCGGAACGGAGCCAACATGAGACTATTTATTACATCAAATTGTTCCCATTGGCTGCAACTCATTGAGAGCCACCTTTTCCCTTTCACAGCTCCTTCAGCTCTCATAGGAAAACATTAAATTACTTAGACAATGGTCACAACTCACTGCAGGAAGCAGGCTTCTTGAACTCTACAGACTTCTTCATAAATAACCATGTTCTGCCTACCCAGCAGCACACCTACCTTAATGTTATGGGCTCACCCAACCCACCTCCCAGCACCCCTTCCCTGAACCTCATCTCTGTTCTGTGGGATTATTGCCTGTGTGAAAACCCCTCACTTCTTGTGTCCTCGATCAGGTTAGCCCTCCCCAGGCCTACTCCATTCCATTCTTGTCTTTTATTCTACCAACCCCTTCCACTGATATGACCTTCGTTTTCTTTTTTGAGACAGAGTTGCACTCTATTGCTCAAACTGGAGTACATTGGCTCATTGCAACCTCTGCTTCCCGGGTTCCAGTGATTCTCCTGCCTCAGCCTCCCAAGTAGCTGGGATTACAGGCGTGCGCCACCACAGCCGGCTAATTTTTTTGTGTTTAGTAGAGATGGGGTTTCACCATGTTGGCCAAGCTGGTCTCGAACTCCTGGCCTCGAGTGATCCACCCACCTCAGCCTCCCAAAGTGCTAGGATTACAGGCATAAGCCACCGTGCCTGGCCTGACCTTCGTTTTCTGGCAAACAAACCACCCTATATCCATGTACTTTTCCTCTTATATTCCTTTCTCCAAATTACATTTCCCTGGTGATAGCATGTCTTCAACGACCATTAGGCATGGCTGCTCTTTATCCCATTTGTAGAGTAAGCAGAAAAGGTTGGCATGTCTTATACTCGCCCCTTGTTACCACTTCCTCTTCAAGGCCATCTACTTTTCCTCTATACAAATCATGAAGTTTGCCTATGCTATCAATGCTATTCCTCGTTGTTGTCTTCTGTGACGTTTAAAACATCCTCTCACCTTTGATTATTTTATAGCATCTGAACCAGAGTCATTCTTTCTGCTCCTCTCCACTATCATTTTCCTCAAGCTCTTTAGCCTTCTTGATGAGCCATCCACATCAGTGGTTCCTAATTAGCTAATCTCAATTCCAGTGGCTCCAGCTACCTAATCTCACTCACCATGTCTTGGACTTAAATATTACTCAAAACAGTTCCACTCCCAGGATTTCAGAGTCTGAGGACACCCTCTCTGATGATGGCCTCCTGCTTCTCACTTCCCCACTGCCCTCACTGCCACAGATGCTGGGCCCCTTTTGCCATTCTTTACCTTATCAGTTCCCACATCTGGGGACCCTATTCTGCCTTAAGCAATGGAAGGTGTGCTGGACAATGCTTATTGCCACACTAACTGGATCCCCTCTGCCACCTTGCCTCAGTTGGCCCCTGGACCCCTAAGATTTCCTCATTGTGTCTTGAGTTCTAATAGCACGTCCCATTATGACTGATACAAACCTCTACTTTAATAATTTCCCCTCCCCAATTGCAATCTCTCTCCCTAGTGCTCAGCAGCTGAATCCACCTCCCATTTTATGAATTTCTTGATATCTTCATCATCTCTATTTTTCATTCTCTCTCTCCCCCTCTCTCTTCCCGCACGCCATCTTTGAAAGTGTGACCCTAGCTGCTTGCATCCTTGATCCCATGTTATTGATTCCCCTATCCCTACCTTGGTCTATTCTGGAAGCTTCCTCTTTGACTTATCCAAATTTTGGCTGCATTTTCATCTACTCTCAATCTGATGTTTTTTGATGGTCTTATCTACCACATCCTAAAAAACCATTTTTTGAACTTGATCATGATTAAAGTAACTGCCCCTTTCATCCTACCCTGTAACACCAAGTTTCTCAAAACAGTATCTGCTTCCTCCATCTTACACCTTACCTTCTTGTAAACCTGATTTACACCCCCATGACTCTACCAAAGCTCTTTTTTGGAAAATTGCAATGGCCTCCTCCCCTTGTGCCTCACCTCCTTTAACCCCTGCAATATCAAAGTGTTTACAACACTTCCTTGAAACTCTCTCCTTCCTCATCCTCTCTGATGCTGCCCAATCCTGCTTCTCTTTCTGCCTCCCTGATCATCCTCTGCCTCCTCTGTTGGTTTGCTGTCCTCTTCCCACCCTCTGAATGTGTCAGTTTTAAGGTTTTACACTCAGGCTGTTTTCTCCCTGCCCCTGGGCCCTCCGTGCACCTGGGTCCCAGCCACTTCAGAGCCCTCTTCTCTGGCCCAAGCCCTGCCATGAATGTGGGACAGGCCATTCCCAGGCATGTGTCGTCTTGTTGGTTTGTTCTCAGGTCTCCTCCAGCCCACAGTTGGGCTATTTACAATCACATTAATGTCCTGGAAGATAGGACATTGCACTAGACACTGATGGGCAAAGTGTAGATCCTCCGGAGCAGAGAACTTCACCCTGGAGCTCTCCCTGCACAAGTCCCACTAGCTCCATGACTCCATGGGAGCCCGGCCCTGGGTGAACAGAACAACCCCTCACCAGTAGCACACACTGCTGAAAATCATCGTGGCAACGACACTGAAGGGGAGCACATGCAGCACGTAGGCCAGCAGCATCTGCCACTTCTGGTAGAGGCCGTCCTGACTCTCCTGGTCGCTGACAGCTCGCAGCACAGGAACTGGGAATGGAAGGCAGGTTTCAGAAGTCAGTCACCACCCAGCTGAAAGAGGGAGGGCTAGCCCAAGCTGAATGTGAGGTCTGTCAGGGCTGGATGGTGAGGACCAGCTATGGGGAGTTCCCTAGTCATAGAAGGAGGGGACCTGCCATCCACAGGACAGTAAATTCCCACCCCAGAAATCTACACTCTACCTGAACTGCAATACAATTGCAAAAGATGTCATTTATTTCCTTCTCTCTAAAGTGAGGAGTTATCACCAATTCCAGAAAAGTACATGCAAAAGGGGCATGAATAAGTGATTTGAAGCATTTTGTCTTCTTTCTGTGCAGGACTCCCCCTGCTCCGCCCCACCCCGCCCCCGCCACCAGCAGCCTGCATTTTAGACTTGCTCTCGGAAGGCCAGGCAAACCCCCAGATGCAGACACTTAGCATTGCCCCTCATGTCAAGTTCTAGGGCAACTTCACAATAGCTAAGTCCTTCCGTCTTATTCCCTAACAGTGTTGCCCTTGGGGAATCCCTCTAACGCCAGCTTCCTGCAACGTTAGGCAACCAGGTGTTGTCTTTGGAATTCCACTGAATTTGAAAATTAGGTGCTGGCGGTCCTAAAATCAGCTCCAAAAAGAAGCTAATGGCACGCAGTTGGCCTGGTCACTGAGCCCCCATGGGCCATGCATTCGAGGTGACCAAGAAGAGATAGGAGGAATGATCTTTTGAAAAACCCCTCAAACTCTCCCCACCAGTGCATTGTCACTTCATGTTTCCCTGGATCCTTAGCCCTCAGAGAGATCCATCTGGTGAGCTCATTCATATTAATGTGTTGGTAACTCAATAGTTGCCTTTCCCCAGAGAGGGAATCCGGAGAGGGCCGGGTTGAGCTCAGAGAAATACCCTTATAATGGTGGACTTTTGTAAGGTTACAACTGGAGAAGGGAGGTATTCAGGGAGAAAGAGGTGGACCTCCAGCACGTGGGCACTTACACAGATTCACAGCGTTGAGCATGCCTGTGTACGGGGTGGAGCCCACAAACATGTAAAGGAGACCCACGCGGTCCTGGATAGCACCCTTTAGCACATTGTTCTGGACCCGCAGAACGAAGAAGAGGAGGAACAAACCCATGGTCAGATTCTGAAGGAGACGCATCATCACTGCTAGCTTATTTCTCACCAAGTTTCTTGTCACTCTCCTGAAAATAAACAACCCTGTTTTAATTCCTTTTCAGAACTGTTATTGGGGGATGGCTAAAGACCTCCAATGGGCATTGCTCACATTTGTGAGCCTCTTACCTCAGGAGAACACCCAGTTTGGAGAAAACTCCGGGAGAATCTTTGGTTTTGAAAGGAACCATCGGTAATGTTTTCAGGTGTTTCGTTCTTTCAATATTCTCCAAAGTTTTATGACAAATTGCTGATTTCTTGTAGGCAGATTCTATCATCTGGACTCTCTTGTAGGTTTCTATTTCCCGTTCCTTGCTTTGGGTATCCACTGACGTCAGGTCCACTAAAAGTTTTTCCCAAAAGATGTCACCCATGTGTTTTTAAATGCATGTATGCACATGGATATACAATTAGTACAGGAGTACTGGCCATAATACCTCATCCCATCAAGATAAAATTTGTGGTTAATGCCCACCTATAAAATCAGAATACTTTAAAGCATCCCAGCAGAGCTTTGACGATCCCACTGGGATTATCTGGGAGAATTCCCAAGCTCAGCTAATTATGCTCTGATAAAGTAGTAGCAATGCGCCAATTTGTTTGAGAGAGAGCCCCGACCTCATCCTGATAGTCATCTCTGGCAAGTTAATTGACCTGGCCAAATTAATTCCTTGAAGAGTATAAAGCACAAAAACAAAAGCAAAAATCAAACCCATTAGAGCTCGTGTCATCCAGGCAGAAGTCTGAGATGAGAAAGTTTAAAAAACATTCACGATGGGGAATGTGAAAGAAAAACTTACTATAGAAGTCGAAAGGGTTTGAATGTTCAGGACAAGGGTAACCGCAGTCACTGAAGAAATCAAGCATTTCCACTGGTGTGCCACAGAAAATCAGCTCTCCGAAGCTCAGGATGGCAATTTTGTCAAAGAGCTGATCAGACAACAGACGAAGTTAGTGTGTGATCACAAGGGTAGCGATGCACTTCGAATGTCTCCGGGAACACTGATGCAGGCCCAAGGTCAAGTATTCCTTACGGTCACCATGTCCTTATGGGAAATGCATTTCTAAGCAGTCAGTCCTTCGATGACCCTGGCCCTGCATCAGTATTCTTGGAGACATTCGAAGTGCATCGCTACCCTTGTGAGCCTAGGCTACCACTGTGGGTCACGCTGCCTCCCATCCTGAGGTCCAGTTTCATATCTGGGAGAGACAAGCATGACTGGACCTGTGGTTAAGTCCCAGCCAAGCCAAGTGAGTGACCTCGGACGAGCTGGGGTGGGTCTTAGTTTGTTTTTTTTTTTGTTTTCATTTTAAATCTCAGCTCCTCCTCTATAAAAAAACAAATAAAAGCTAACTAAAGGGATACTGGGTGGAGAAAGTGAGATTTTTTTGGAAGGAAATCTGTATGATCTCATGGAAAAACACAGCCTTTGAAGCCAACTTGGCTGTGAAAGCCTAATGCTAGCTTTTTACTACTAATAACTGTGTGATCTTGGCTCAATTAGTTGTTGTTGTTTTGTTGTTGTTGTTGTTGTTTTTGAGACGGAATCTCACTCTGTCACCCAGGCTGGAGTGCAGTGGCATGATCCCGGCTCTCTGCAACCTCCTGGGTTCAAGTGATTCTCCTGCCTCAGCCTCCCGAATAGCTGGGATTACAGGCGCACACTACCACGCCCAACTATGAAGTTTGAATCATTGCTAAGTTTCACTCTTTTCCTCCATAAGGTGAATATCCTGAAACACACCTCATAGGAGTGTTGTGGAGATGAAATGAGCTATGTACAGAAAGTATCTGGAACATGGTAGGTGCTGAAAGAAGTGAATTTTCATCCTTTGCTCTTTCCCTTTCAGGAGCTGTTGGCTCCAATTGCTCTAGTACTAATTTTGTTTGTTGGTTGGTTGGTTGGTTGGTTTGAGATGAGGTCTTGCTCTGTCACCCAGGCTAGAGTGCAATGGCATGATCATGACTCACTGCAGCCTTGACCTACTGGACTCAAGTGATCCTCTCACCTCAGCCTCCCAAGTAGCTGGAACCACAGGTGTGCACTACCATGCCTGGCTAATTTTTCTTTTTCTTTCTTTCTTTTTTTTTTTTAGAGATGAGGGGGGTCTCACTTTATTGCCCAGCCTGGACTCAAACTCCTGGCCTCAAGTGCTCCTCCTGCCTCAGCCTCCCAAAGTGCTGGAATTACAAGTGTGAGCCACCGTGCCTGGCCACTGGTACAAATCTTACCCCTGCCCCTGCGATTCCCAGCTCAATACACCATAGACCCGGCCTTTACGAGTTGAATCCCTTACCTGAAAAAGCTCAGAACGGGGCTGGTGAATGGTGAGAACCACAATTCGGTTCCTGCGAGCCAGTTCCACCAGGAGGATGACAATCTGATTAGCAGTCATGCAGTCCAGGCCTGTGGTCGGCTCATCAAACAGCATGACCTCTGCCAGCAAAGAAGGGCCAGACTTCTGAGGCACCGCAGAGCCCAGGCTCTGTGCTTAAAACTCGGAGTTCTGAGCTGTTCCTTATTAGTTTGCACCACATCCAAACAGTGTGCAGTGGGAAGTAAACATGTAAACTAGCTTTCAGCCTGAGCTCAGGAGAAAGGATCTGGTGTGGAAGGGCCTAGTTCCAGCTCTGGAGCACATATGGGGCCCAAATCCTCGAGGGTACAGGGAGTAAGGAGATCAGGCCTCTTATAGGGTACTATGGGCCATCTGCGCTATGCTCAGGGCACCCTGCCAGAGAACAACAGCTGGCAGGCTGGCATCAAGTTGTTTTAAAACAAGACTGAGAGGAGGCTGGTCAAAAAGACAACCCCATTTCATGTCTGTAACACTTTCCAACACCAGCAGGGTCTTTGCACAGAAAACAAAAAAAATCTGACCAATAAAACAAGGTCTGAAGGGTGGCAGGCATTTGGGTTCTTTAGAGGGTTTAAAGTAACTTATTTCTACCTATACAGTGACAAGGGGGCCGGGCGCAGTGACTCACGCCTGTAATGCCAACACTTTGGGAGGCCGAGGCAGGCAGATCACCTGAGGTCAGGAGTTCGAGACCACCCTGGCCAACATGGTGAAACCCTGTCTCTAGTAAAAGTACAAAAATTAGCCGGGTGTGGTGGTGGGCGCCTGTCATCCCAACTACTCAGGAGGCTGAGGCAGGAGAATCACTTGAACCCGGGAGGTGGAGGTTGCAGTGAGCCGAGATTGCACCACTGCACTCCAGCCTGGGTGACAAAAACAAGACTGTCCCAAAAAAAAAGTGACAAGGGCTCTTAAAAACATCTCTCTTATTTGCCTTCTAGTGACCAAGCACCATCTGAAGAACAGGCAGTCCTGGTCTACTACAGTGCAAAAAAAGGATCCAGATGCAGTTTGTCCTCTCCAGCTGCATATAAGTGGCGAGGTTTCCCCAGGTGATGGGGAAAATGACCAAACCAGGCAGAGGATCGACTACTCTGTTTTGATACTCCCTTCCCCACAACATACACACTTTTGAGTTTATTGTTCAAATTCCTATTTTAATTCCTGCCATTTCATGAACACCTGTGGTCATACCAAAGCTCACTGGGTTTCCCCAGGCCACACAGTGGTATTCCCCTGGTGAGGAGAAATGATTGGCAGGGCAAGGCTCCGTGTTCATGCAAAATCCCAATGGAACACTCCAACACCAATGCAACGCTTCCGGGTCCAGGAGCTGTTTTGTTTGGATGATGGAATCACATCAGGAAATGAACTACACAGCATTTCTGAAAAAACTGGGTCCCCAGTTTGAAAAATCTATGATTTCAGTTGCACACAAACCCCTTTCCAAATGAGGACTGTGAAGACAGGGCCCAACGTATCTGCAGACACACAGAAGATGTCCAGACAGCAACTAGTAACAGTTCTGGGTGCCACTTACTGGGATCCTGGAGCAGCTGGGCTGCGATGGAGACCCGGCGCCGCTCACCAGTGGAAATGCCCCCCAAGTTGTAGTTGCCAATCAGTCGGTCTGCCACATGGCTCAGACTCAGCTCTGCCATGATGGCCTCCACCTGCAGGAGACACAAATTACAGGAAGGCTGGGCGTGGCTGTGGGTGCTATTTCAATTCACGGGCTGGGAAGGACATGAAAGAGGCAACACACTCCCCAAGAATCCAAGGGCCACTTCCAGACTCACCACACCCTGGAGAAAGCACGTCTTTGATAATAATATGATCCAATTTGGCTTAAATCATAATATAATACATGTGTCAGATTTAAATAAATAGTATGCATTTTTTAAAACGTCCCCAGAGGCTGGGTGCAGTGGCTCATGCCTGTAATCCCAACACTTTGGAAGGCCAAGGAGGGAGAATTGCTTGAGGACAGGAGTTTGAGACCAGCTTGGGGAACAAAGAGAGACCCTGTCTCTACAAAAAAAGAAACAATAAATTAGCCGGGTGTGCTGGCACATGCCTGTAGTCCCAGCTACTCGGGATGCTTAGACAGGAGAATGGCTTGATCCCAGGAGGTTGAGACCACAGTTAGCCATGATGGCACCGCTGCACTCCAGCCTAGGCGACAGAGCAAGACTCTGTCTCCAAAATAACATAAAATAAAATAAAATAAAATAAAATAGGCCTGGCATGGCGGCTCGTACCTGTAATCCCAGCACTTTGGGAGGTCAAGGTGGGTGGATCACTTGAGGTCAGGAGTTCGAGACTAGCCTAGCCAATATGGTGAAACCCCGTCTGTTCTAAAAATACAGAAATTAGCTAGGTGTGGCAGCGGGCACCAGTAATCTCAGCTACTCGGGAGGCTAAAGCAGGAGAATTGCTTGAACCCAGGAGGCCAAGGTTGCAGTGAGGCAAGATGGCGCCACTGCACTCCAACCTGGGTGACAGAGCAAGACTCCGACTCAAAAAATAATAATAATAAACAAATAAAATAAAATAAGATTCCCTAGAACAAAAACTGCTTACACTTGCTTGAGGAAAATCAGCCAGGAAACAACGGATACTTCATTAAACTCCTATTTGCGGGAGCCACAGTCACTGCAGCCCATACAGAAAAATCCCCCAAAGTCACAATTACAATATCACTTACTTTAAGTGTTTGGGTTTAGAAACTTCATTATAATAAATGCTTTATATGTTTAAAAAAATCCAACCTGATTTGAACTAAACCTGTTTCCCCCTGTATAACCCAAATAAGTGCTGGGGTCCCGTGTGGTACAATCTTCGTGTGATTTCGCATCAGAGACATATAATCCAGCCTTCAGAAGCAATTAAAAATAATTCCACTCTTTATTTGAATTTATTTAAGGACTTTAAGAGGAACCCAATTTATAACCCCCAGCCACATCTAAAATTCCTTTCTTCCAATTCTCTTCACTCTGCTTAAACCCTGCAGCTCCCTGAAACCCTTTTTCCTCCTCATTCTCAACGCCCCCAAAACAATAACAACTAAAAAAAAATTCTTTACTGACTTTCCAATCAAGAAGCTTGGCTTTTTTCCTCCCTCTCCGTCATTCCTTCCCCAGCTTATCTCCTCTCCAGAGACCTGTTCACAAATCTGTTTCTGTCCTCCCGTACTGATTACCTCTATCTGCAGAAACCCCAGGGGGAAAGCAGAAAGAGACGGAAGATACTCATATGGTAATGAGTTTTGTTTCCAGACACCCCTAATAAGGCCGTGTTATGAAAATGGAAACAAAACCATTGCATTAAAAAACAATAAGCTAGATTGCAGAAGAAGAGGGAATGACTTGTGGACCTACATTCAAGAGGAGTCAGGGAGTGGGGTTGACAGTGTAGATGTAGCTTTGACCCACCCGAAGAATGGACATGTCTGAAATAGGTACAAAGGAATAACGAGAAGGTAAAAAATGCATAAATAAACTAGCATGATATATTCTGGAAAAAAAGAAAGTTCTTCTCTTGCCATCAGGGTAGAAGGATCCTGGAATTAAGCTTTGCTTGACACTGTGAGATTTCTGTGCTCACCAGCCAGGGTAGATTCCTGAGCCTTCTTCTCGTCTCTGTAACATCTTAAGGAGTAAGCGTGCCCCTCTTGGCTTGGAAGAGATGGACAGAGAAGATATTTACTTAATTTGTCTCAGAGGTTTCACACCCCAGCAGCAATGCTCTCCCGTATTTTGGAAACACTGTTGGAAATGGAATTCAGAGTCCTTGTAAGGAATATTGTAAGGACCTTGTAAGGATCATTGGGATGATCAAGTCCAACCCTCTATGCTCTGTGCTTTCACATAATCTGATGTATTCCTCACATCAAACCCAGGAGAAATGCATTCTTATTGTATTTTTATAGAGGAGAAAACAGAGAGAGGTCCATAACTTGCCCAAGATAATGCCATTAGCAAATGGCAGGACCAGGATTGAGAGGACTGTCTGGGCTCTCTCAAGCGGTCCAGGAAGCCTGAGCCTTAGCCAACAGCCCTGCAGACACAGCCTGCTCACATTGGCCATGCTTTATTTCCAGGTTCTTCCAAGGACAGAAGCAGATCTGCCATGCTGTCTCCTTTATTATAATCAGCACTTCCTTCCCACTGAATTACTTGTCAGGATTTTACACGCAGTGGGCTGGATTTGCTCAGAAAGGACTCACAATTGGAGAAAACTCTGCTATCAGGAGTTCTGCTGCTCCCAGGGAGCTGTGCCCCTTGAAGGAGGCACGTCCACCTGTCATTGGTTCCCTGGGTGCTTGTGGGCCTTCCCAGTCTAGAGAGAAATGAAGCAGTTTCCAGGTAAGGTCCCCAGTGGGTTTACTTGTGACTACTTCCAAACTGGAGACATTTAAGAAAGAGATTGGAACCTAGAAGGAGTTAACAATTCATTCGTTTCTTCCTTCATTAACTCAGTCCAGTTTGGATGAGGCATATTCAAGATGTCTCCAAGCAAGCCGAGAAAAATCAGTGGCAAAAATAACTATATCTGCTCAAACAGGGAACTTGTAGAACAGCATGGTCCCAGAGAAGGGTAGTGCAAGCCACAGACAGAAGTGAAATATTTTAGTAGCCATATTTTGAAAAGTAAAAAGAAACAGGTGAAATTTTAATAACATATTATTTACAGCCAAAAATACCACTTCAACCTGTAATCAATACTTTTTGAAATGTATTTATTTATTTATTTATTTATTTGGTTGGTTGGTAAAGACAGGTTCTCCTTTCGTCCTTCAGGCTGGAGTGCAATCGTGTAATCATAGCTCCCTGCAGCCTCGACCTCCTGGGTTCAAGAGATCCTCCTGCCTCAGCCTCCTGAGCAGCTGGGGGTGCAGGCGCACACCACCACGCCCAACTAATTTTTGTATTTTTTGTAGAGACTGAATCTCGCTACGTTGCCCAGGCTGGTCTCAAACTTCTAGACTGAAGAAATCCTCCCGTCTTGGCCTCCCAAAGTGCTGGGATTACAGGTGTGAGCCCACCCTGCCAGACCTAAAAATTCTTAATGGGCTTTTTCACATTCTGTTTTTCTCAGACTCAGAGTCTGAAATCTGATGTGTATTTTGCGCTCAGAGCACGTTTCAGTCTGAACTAGTGACATTTCAAGTCTTCCAAAAGCACATGTGGCTAGGGGTTGCCCTCTCCGGCAGCACAGGGTACACGGTGCAAGGCGCAGGGCGCGCTCTAGAGTGAAGGAGTGACGAGTAAAGGGGAGTAATGGGCAAGCGTAGGCGAAGAGAGGAGGGCAGCGGGGGGTGCAAAGGTACTCAGTTTGCCCGCTGTGAGCGGGGGGCTGCACGCACCTTCTTCTGGAAGAAGCCGGGGTTGCCACAGCGGATGGCCAGCAGCGCGGTGTAGCGCAGCGTCTCGCGCACGGTGAGGCTGCTCAGCAGGGTGTCGTTCTGCAGGAGACTCGGGCGTCAGTGTAGCCCGAGCCCCCGGGGCGGACGGGGGGGCCAGGGGTGTGGGGGACGCGCCCACCTGCAGGACGTAGGAGAAGCAGTCCTGGAACTGCTCCCGGCGCAGCGCCCGGCCGTTCACATACACCTCCCCCAGGAAGGTCCCGGTGCGCCGCAGCCTCCCGGACATGGCGTCCAGCAGCGTGGTTTTCCCGGAGCCTGTGGGGCGACAACAGAAGGCCCTGGAGGAACCCCTCTATGCCGGCCTTGGAGGAGCTTCACGAGACCCTCTGTGTGGGCATGACCCCGCGTGCCGGCAGTGCTACGTGACGGATCCTGTTTAGGTATTAAGGATACAGCAGGATACAGGCCCTGCCCTGTGGAACGCGCACTGTGCATGCAGCAGTCTCACGCGCAAATGAGTCTCTGGATTGTCCCCTGAGTGAGAGGGGACATGCCATTTCTTTCATCTGGGTCAAGACCGAAGGTGCTTTCTCTGCTTGTTCGTTTGCCTTTAAAACTGTTGTGGATTGAAAAACAAAATACCTATAGGTATCAGTATAAGAGGAAAGCCAAGACTCTTGGAAACCTTTGGATCCTAGGACGGATTTCTTTTTGTGGCCCCCCTGGGGCGGTCTGGTTGTACCTGGATGTAGGTGACATTGTCTAGAGCCTTGCTCACAAAGCAAGGAGCATCAGCAACCCCTGAGAGCTTGCCAGAAATGCAGAGCCCCAGGCCCCACCCGCGACCTGCTGAGTCAGATCTGCTTCAGTCGAGGTTGAGAAGCACTGGCTTGGTAAGTCCTCTGGTAAAACCAAGTTGGCCACAGCCTACACTAGAGCCTGGGGCACAGCCTAGCTGGATGTCACTAGGAAGGTTCCCACAGAGGGGTGGTGGTGAACTGCCTGCCTGCTGGAGGTGACTGTGGGACAATGCTTGCCTTGGTTTGCTTTTTACTTTTTTCTTTTTTTTTTTTTTTTCTTTTTGAGTGAGAGTGAGTCTCACTCTGTCACCCAGACTGGAGTCCAGTGGCACAGTCTCGGCTCCCTGTAACCTCCACTTCTCAGGTTCAACCCATTCCCCTGCCTCAGCCTCCTGAGTAGCTGGGACTACAGGCATGCACCGCCACACCCGGCTAATTTTTGTATTTTTAGTAGAGACGAGGTTTCACCATGTTGGCCAGGCTGGTCTCAAACTCCTGACCTCAGGTGATCCTCCTGCCTCAGCCTCCTAGAGTGCTAGGATTACAGGCGTGAGCCACCGCTTTGTTCTAAGGTTAAAGGTTAGGTGATGCCTTTAGACAACAGCCTGATGGCCCCTCAGTCATACTGGGCACAAATTTACCACAGACCCAGAGTTCATGGAGACAGAATAGACCTCCCAGGCCTTTCCTATCCAAGGAGGCTGAGAAGTTGGGATTCATAACAGAGAAATAGGCAGGAAGTTCTGAACTATCTGGGAAGATAGCAAGAGAAATCTGCTGATGAGATGGCTGTGCAGAGTCAAAGAGATCTTTTGTTGAAATATTATTATCATTATTATTATTATTATTATTTTGGGACAGAGTCTCACTCTGTTGCCCAGGCTGGAGTGCAGTGGCACAATCTCAGCTCACTGCAACCTCCGCCTCCCAGGTTCATGCCATTATTCTGCCTCAGCCTCCTGAGTAGCTGGGACTACAGGTGCAAACCACCACGCCCGGCTAAGTTTTTTGTATTTTTAGTACAGATGGGGTTTCACTGCATTAGCCAGGATGGTCTCAATCTCCTGACGTGATCTGCCCACCTCGGCCTCCCAAAGTGCTGGGATTACAGGCATGAGCCATTGCGCCCGGCCCTTTATTTATTTATTTATTTATTTATTTATTTATTTATTTATTGAGATGGAGTCTCACTCTATCGCCCAGGCTGGAGTGCAGTGGCAAGATCCCAGCTCACTGCAACCGCCATCTCCTTCAAACAATTCTCCTGCCTCAGCCTCCCGAGTAGCTAGCATTACAGGCGTCTGCCACCATACCTGGCTAATTTTTGTATTTTTGTAGAGACAGGGTTTCACCACGTTGGTCAGGCTGGTCTTGAACTCCTGACCTCAGGTGATCCGCCTGCCTTGGCCTCCCAAAGTGCTGGGATTACAGGTGTGAGTAACTGCACCTGGCCCTTGTTGAAATATTTTGAAGAAACTTGCTTGTTGCTATGAGAGGTACAAAGATGAATCAACTCCCTTAGCAGCTGTCTTCTTTTCTAATGCATAACTGACAAAACTCAGAATTAGCCCCAGCGTGTTCAGGGGGTGGTCAGAGTGGGGAAAGAGAGGAAAACCCATGACAAAGAAACAAAATGTGACTTCATTGGGATTGTCTTTCAAAATGTGCCCTGTCATTTCCCAGTCGTGCGGTTCTTCTCACCACAGCCACCCTGGCTTTACATTTTTCGATCCAATCTGAACTCTGGCAGAAGCTGCAGATATCCTGCAGCCTGAGTCCCACCCCACCACTTCATCAAAACTGGCCTCCCCAGGGATGTAAAATCCACTTTATTGTCGCCACATCCAGCATATACTTCTCCGGGAGGGATCCCAAGACAGAACTACCCAACCGAGCCACTTCCAGAGTTCTGATTCATAGACACTCTGAGAGATCATGAATGGTGTTGTTTTAAGCCACTAAACAGTGGGATACTTTTTTTTTTTTTTACAATACATAATGAATTTAGTTTTTTAAAAAACATGTCAAATATTTATTACCTCATTAATTAGGGAACCAGCAAGATGACAAAGCTCATTCAAAAGAGGATATGAGAGGCTGGGCATGGTGGCTCATGCCTGTAATCCCAGCACTTTGGGAGGCTGAGGCAGGCAGCCTGAGGTCAGGAGTTCGCGACCAGCCTGGCCAACATGGTGAAAACTGGTCTGTACTAAAAATACAAAAATTAACTGAGTGTGGTGGCGGGCGCCTGTAATCCCAGCTACTCAGGAGCTGAGGCAGGAGAATTGCTTGAACCTGGGAGGTGGAGGTTGCAGTGAGCTGAGATCGCACCACGGCACTCCTGGGTGACAGGGTGAGTGAGATTCCATCTCAAAAAGAAAAGAATATGAGAAATTGATATGTATAGACAGTGGGGGAAAAGAAGGTTGGAATAAGATAACAAAGTTAGACACAAAAATGGTTAATGCTCTAAAGGGCAATAAAACTATGACATTTGTAGTTTTCTTTTCTAACAGGACAGAAATCATTTGCAACTAAATAATCTGCAAAGAAGCATCCAATCCAGAGTCTACGCCCTCCTCAACAGCAAATAACAATTCAAATAAGTTTCAGTTGGAGTTCCCCTAGAGTCAGATGGCTCTAGGCAGGCTTGCTTTAGACTACGCTCTAGTGAGACTTTGAACATATATGTCATCATCTTTTGCCTCACTAATAAAGATTTGATAGATAACACTGCTTGAGATAAGACACCAATGAGATTGTCATTTTATGCAATACTATGGAGTAATTCATAAAATTATTTTACTCCTTTATTCAACAAATATTTATTAAGCACCCACTATGTGACCGACCCTGTTCTAGGTGATAAGGATACAGCAGAATACAGTCCCTGCCCTTGTAGAACTTGCAGCCCACTGTGGATTCATTTCAGTATAAAGGGTAGGCATTGTCCAAAAGCCATGATTAGGCATCTCATCAGAAACCAGCCCACACCCCCACCCCAATCAAGAGCCCCTCCCGCTGTCCTGCTGTATGTGCGTGAAACACAACATTGGCCTTTGGAGTGCACTTCTGAGATGGGGGGTTCCATATCTTGTTGTTCTTAGAAGTGGGACACACTTCTGAGAAGGGTGCTAAATGTCACCCTGTTTAATTCTTTATAAGGACGACAGCAGGTGACAGTTTGTTAAAGGAGAAGAGGCGGGTTTTTTTTCTTTTTAAAGAAGCGCACTGTATTTATAAAAAGGAAGCTGAGAATGACCCTGAATGTTACAGTACATGTGTACAGCTAGATATTGGTTAAAAATGGAAATGAGAACTGACAGAAAGTCTTTGAAAAGTGTAACAGCTTTAGTCAGTGCTATGGTCTGACTGTTTATGTCTCCCTAAAATTCATATGTTGAAATATTACCCAAGATGATGGTATTAGGAGGTAGGGCATGCAAGGAGGTGATACTAGGAGATGATTAGGTTATGGAGAGCTCTTACAATTGGGATGAATGCCTCAGAGAGCCCTCCCCACTTCTGCCACGCAAGGTTAGGGTGAGAAAATGGCTGTCTAGGAGGAAGTCTTCCTCACCAGACACCGAATCTGTTGACCCCTTGATCTTAGACTTTCCAGCCCCTAGAACTGTGAGAAAAAAATTTATGCTTTTTATAAGCCACCCAGTCTATGGTATTTTGTTTTAGCAGCCTGAATGGACTGAGACAGTCTGGGAATTTCTCTTTTTTTTTTTTTTTTGAGACAGGGTCTTGCTCTGTTGCCCAGGCAACAGAGTGCAGTGGCACTATCTCAGCTCACTGTAGTCTTAACCTCCTGGGCTCAAGCAATTCTCCCACCTCAGCCTCCCGAGTAGCTGGGACCACAGACATGCACCACCATGCCCGGCTAACTTTTGTATTTTTTTGTAGAGATGGGGTCCCACTATGTTTCTTAGGTTGGTCTCAAACTCCTGGGCTCAAGCGATCCTCCCACCTCAGCCTCCCAAGCTGCTGGCATTACAGTCGTGAGCCACTGTGCCCAGCCTATTCTCTATTCTTGATTGTATGTCTAAAATATACCATCATAAAACAGGACCAGTGGAATCAAAGATAGGGGCTTAATGGGCATTTTTGTGCTTATTTAATCCTTTTCCTTTCTCTAGGCAGTGTACAGATAGGGGAAATGGTGTTTTCTGAGTACTTTTATATGCTATGGAACTGTGGGGCCTTTTTATATTTTGAAATATGAATTCACGTATATGTTAGGCAGGATTTTATACTCTTTCAAGGATCTTTCTAAAGATTTCACGTTGGTAGCAGGTTCCGTTCACAGTCAGACATCATTAGATTTCATTCTAATATCAAACCTGTGGCTTTCTTGCTACAACTTAATCTGTTTCTTCAATGTGGAGTTTAACTCAAGCCAAAGCCTTTTTAAAATCCTCCTTCCCAAGCTTACCTGAGCTTCCTAGGATGCACATAATCTGCCCGCTCTCCACGTACAAGGAGACATCGTTGAGGATCTGCCTGGTCCACTGCTGCCGGCAAGATGTGATGTCCCACCAGGGCCTCACGCGGTGGCTTTAAAGGAAACCCCAGGAAGGCAAAGGCAGCTTGGGGCCCTGGAAGGGACTACACCTGGGTCCCCAGCATTGATCCCACCTGTGCCCCACCCCAGTTGTCTCCGGACAGGCTCCTAACGTGTTTCAGCCCCAGCGCCCTCCTCTGTAGAACCTGGCAGATAGCGACGGAGGCTGTCTGTCACATAGGGAGGGGGCCTGTGCTGGAGTTGCTCCGAATGTCCTGTCCGTTTGGCTGGGAGGTGGCTGTCCCTGCATTCCTTCACCAGGTTTCAAGATTCCTTGCATTCTCAGTACCCCCATTCCCATCCACAGAGGGCAGGCCATAGACACTGGGGTAGGCAGGGCACTGCTGCCGCTTTGTTTATGCCCAGGCCCTTCCCTGGGCAGGGGGAGGGGCCATTCACTGTCGCTCCACGTTTCCCAGCACAGCCCTTCTCCCTCTCCTCTCTCCACCCGATCCACTAAAGAGGGAACCCAAAGTCCCCAGGCAGACACCTAAAGCGTGAAGAAAGGCAGCAGAGGGTTGAGTGCAGAGCCCCGTGCTCCTGGGGGAGCAGCAGCAGCAAGGGCTCTGCCTTACCTGACACTGTAGGAGGCATGGAGGATGCCCAGGCTGTGAGGCTTCAGGGCAGTGGCAGGAGCCCCCTCCAGGGAGCTCTGGGAGCCCCTGTTTACTTGGAGACCCGTGGACCCTCCGGGGGTCAAAGATGAGAGGTCACCCATGGCCAACAGGCAGCAAAGCTGGGCAAATTTTCTGGTGGCCTGACCCTCCCCAGAGTGGCTTCAGTTGGGGAGCCTGGGGCAGACTGCCCTGCCTGCTCCACCTGACCCCGGAGTCCCTCGGGATGGCAGGACTGGGACTTGGCCACGGAGACCATTATCTGATGTACCTTTAGCCAGCGCGTCCTTATCTTGACAGTGGGCAGAACACACACGTTTGTAGGTGGGCTTGCCAGAGAGGAATGCTGGGAGAGACGGGCCCAGGGCAGGAGGCTCCAGGAAACAGAGTGAAGACACTGGCCCTGGCAGCTGGGTCTAAGAGAGCTGCAGCCCAGGGGCACAGACCTGTGGGCCCCATGGCTGGGAAGGTGGCAGAGGAGAGAGGGCTGCCGAAAGGGACCGCTGCCCAGGATGCCTCGGTGAGTGAGCGATGGAGAGTCAGCCCAGGCCTGGCGGGCGGGCAGGAGAAATCGAACCTTTCTCTCTTCCCTCAGGGGCCTTCTGTCTTAGCACCACCCGGATAGCAAGCAATGTGAGGACATGGCCGCGGGACTGTTTCCTGCATGGCAAAGGGCTGAGGGAAACAGATTCAGGGTCCCAGAGGCCTCTGAGGTCACTTCCTGCCCTAAGAAACGCTCCTTTAGGGAAATCATGTCCTTATGTGTGACGTGGGACAATTTCACTTTTTCTTTCTACTTTTTTTTTTTTTTTTTTGAGACAGAATCTTGTTCTGTTGCCCAGGCTGGAGAGCAGTGGCGCGATCTCGGCTCACTGCCAGCTCTGCCTCCCGGGTTCAAGTGATTCTCCTGCCTCAGCCTCCCAAGTAGCTGGGATTACAGGCACCTGCCACCACACCAGGCAAATTTTGTATTTTTTAGTAGAGACAGGGTTTCATCATGTTGGTCAGGCTCAAACTCCTGACCTCAGGTTACCCACCCTCCGCAGCCTCCCAAAGTGCTGGGATTACAGGCATGAGCCGCTTACCTGGCCAGTTTTGCTTTTTCCAAATGAGACTCCATCACAGAAACGTGCCCACCCATGCCGGGGGCTCCACTGGTGTCTCCTCTGCCCGTGTGGCTGTCAGGGTGGTCTCAGTAGTAAGTGATGGGTGAGACACGGTGACAGACGGCTTTTGTGGGAACATCAGCATGTGTGGCTCTAGCAGGCAATCGTAAGGTCTGGGAGAAAGCTGGAAGGAGTAGAAGCAGCCAGGTGGCAGGAGGTGGAGGTATGTTTCCTTCCTCATTTTACCTGAGAAGTGTTTACTCAAGAAATAGCCTTTGACTGAAATCCGGGTGTGGCAGGATTTGAAGCAGGATGCTAAACTGGAAGACAGGCAAGAAGCCGATCCCCACTCCCACCACCTCACCCCATCCCACCTTTCCATCTTTGCCTGTTGTGGGTAGGAGGGAGGAGAGAAAGATAAGCATGATTGAGGACTCCACACCCAATGGGGAAAACCGTCTGGACTGGCCTTGAGTTTCCAGGACTTGACTCGGCCAGACCCAAGGAGCCCACCATTTCTAGTCAGTTCTGCAACCACCACACCTGACCAGCTCTGCTCTCTGAATACCCTGTGGGGCCCACCACTTTGGGGAATGGTTAAAGCCTGAATAGAATAGAAAGCTAGCAGGGCTTTGGGAACACTTTCTGCCTGGGAGGGCTGACGATTCAGCCACCACAGCTTGAGAGGCAAAGAAATGCTAGGACCGCACCAGAAATGCACTCCAGCCCTGCCATTTCTGCTTCCCTTCTGTCCAATCCTGTCACTCCAGGTGCTGAGCGAGGGTCTGCCCCTAACACGTGTGGGGCTTGGAACATGAGAATGAGGGTCACATTTGCTATGTCTAGATATATAAAAGTCATCAGTCAAGCTATAAGAACAGTCGAAGATACCCACACTCCTCAGCCTCCCAAAGTGCTGGGATTACAGGTATGAGCCAGCGCTTCTGGCCAGTTTTGCTTTTTCCCAATGAGACTCCATCATAGAAACGTACCCACCCATGCCGGGGACTCCACTGGTGTCTCCTCCGCCCATGTGGCTGTCGGGTTGGTCTCAGTAGTAAGTGATGGGTGAGACAGGGTGACAGACGGCTTTTGTGGGAACATCAGCATGTGTTCTCTAGTTTCTATCCTCTTGTCTCGACATATCTTCCTCACAACCTGAAAGGTCAGGTGTAAATTGAGAAATTCTAAGGCATCTTGGGTAGAATGCACAGGTATGGAGGAACCACTTCTAGCCCAAGCCACAACCTGTCCCCCTTTTCTGCCCCGCCTCAGCTCCATCCCACTCCATGGGGCCCTCAACACCCTGGGTGGTCACCCTCCTGCCTACCTGCATTGCAGCCCTGCCCTGCACAGACATATATACCTCTCTGGCCTAAAGGTCCTCAGGAGGTGGGGCTGGGGAGGAAGTGCACAGACCCTGGGGATGGACTTGGGGCCATTTGCACAGAGAATTCTGGCAGCTTAGGCACCTGGAGTGGTAAGTGCCCTTAACCCACGCACTCTTCATGCCATGGGCAGGAGAAGCAACAGAGAAGGACAAGAGAGACCCTGCAGCAGGCAGAGCTGTGTGTGACCTGGGCTGAATGTTTCGATAAAATTCCTTCAGCCAAAAACAAGTCCTGCGTGTCCCCTCGCCAACCCTCCAGCCGCGAGCGTCAGTACATCACTCCCCGCGAGGCACAGGCTCCTCATCTCAGAACTAGAAACATGTGCACTGTGAGTTTCCTTCTTGCCTAGGCATCTGACTCAGGAATTCGATCAGAAGTTAATACGGGGAGAAATTACAATGTAGCCCAGCAGGAGCAGAGCTGGTTACCTACAAATAAACCTGCTTTTGCTTTTTTGGGTGTCGCCTGTCGGAAATTCAAGTGATGTTCTGACAGGCGTACTGATTAAGATGTCAGCCGAATAGATATTTAAGTATTTGAAAAATACAGAGAGTTTGTCAAAACCTCAGGAAGAGTCTAACAAATCCTTCCTGGGAGCCAAGGAAAATATTTTAAAATGGAACAGAGGTCGTCCCCAACCCAGGCGCTAATTTTCTTCCTCCGAAAGATGAGCTGCCTATGCCGCCTAGAAGGCACGATCCCTCAGTGGTGGTTGGAGTCCGGGCTGGCCCACACCTGCCTTCCCAGCCCACAGTGAAGGGGCTTGGGGCGAGCCTTGGAGCAAGGAACCAGGCACCTTTCCCCTTCCTCTTATCCAGTTTCTGCTCTGCCTCGTCTTTCTGTCAGCTCCCTCCCCTTCTCAAAGTACCGCACAGTGGAACCCAGTTGGGCTGCAGGTCACCTCCACACATCGCTCCAGACTCCAAACGTCTGACCTTCCTTCCTCAGCCCCTCCTCCATGCCTAAATCCGACCTGGGGGTGTTTGGGCCAGCAGAAGTAATTTCTCAGCTCATTTACATTGTCTAATATCCCTCCTGCAGATATTTGTTTTAAAAACAACAGCAAGATGCATGTTAGCCCACATAGTCTCTTAGCAATGGATAAGATTTTTTTTTTTTTTTGACAAAGTCTCACGCTGTGGCCCAGGCTGGAGTGCAGAGGCATGATCTCAGCTCCCTGCACCTCCACCTGCCCAGTTCAAGCGATTCTCCTGCCTCAGCCTCTCGAGTAGGGTAGCTGGGACTATAGGGGTGCTTCACCATGCCCGGCTAATTTTTTTATTTTTTATTTTTAGCAGACACAGGGTTTCACTGTGTTGGCCAGGCTGGTCTTGAACTCCTGGCCTCAGGTGATCTGCCCGCCTCAGCCTCCCAAAGTGCTGGGATTACAGGCATGAGCCACCGCGCACAGCTGGCAATGGCTAAGACTTTTTGATGATTCAACAACAAACAAAAATGGGACAACGAAGCAATGTGTACAGTGATGGTGGAGAGGGCGAGTGAGGGGCAAGGCCAAAGCGCTGATCTGCCAGGAGTCCAGCATCTGTCTGAGCTGTTTTCAATCTCCCCAGGAGCTTGGGTCACAGACCTTCTTACCTCCTCTCCCCCAACCTCCCTCCTGCTTTGGGGCTTTGGCAGCTGGGGTTGAGGTGGGAATGGAACTCTGGAGTTCTACTCACTGGCTTGCTCTCTCAATTTGACAACATATTGTGAAATATTATACACAAATCAGCTTAAAGAACTCTCATGTACACGCCACCAATTACCAAAAGCTTTGAAGCCTGATCCTGCACTCCTACTGTGTCCCCTTTCTCCTTTCATCTCTTCCCGCTCCCCAGAGATAACCCCTCTCCTGAATTAGGTGTTTCTCTTTCCCATTTTTTTCTGTATAATTTTGGGTCTTTATGGTGAAAATTCAAACATTAAGCAATGGAAGTCACTTTGGTCTGCTGCTTTTCACGCTCTCCCAGAACTCTGGGGGTTCCCCACAGTACGCCTGCAGCATACTGTCACCAAATTTCTTTCCCTCCGCCGCCACTGACCTGGAATGTTCTTTCCAAGGAGTTCTGGCCCCCATCATTGCAGGGGTACTTTGACAAGAAGACTGCTGTATGGTATTTGTTATTTTCACGTAAGGCATACTCATGTTATTTTCACCTACAGCATGTGTGTGCGTTGTGTACACAGTGAAAATAAACCCACCAGCCTCCTTCTCTGCCTGATCTGTCTCGCTCCATCCTAATCACCTGTCTCACCTGCTGAAATCTAAGCTTTTCAACGGCCTTTTCATTGTCACATCCCAAATTCCAAGCCTGAAGGGTGTTCTGGACTCTCCATAAGTGTTTGTTGGGTGCGTGGTTGATTGAAGGAATGTATAGTGTGAGAATGGTAGCTTGAGGAGGAAAGTCTGTGGGAACTTGTTAATGAAAATGTACTTGTTCCTGCCTGACAGAAATGTAAGAAAAATTGAATGCAGTAAAAAATGGACATCAGGCGAGGTGGTTCACGCCTGTAATCACAGCACTTTGGGAGGCTGAGGTGGGTGGATCACTTGAGCCCAGGAGTTTGCGACCAACATGGCGAAACCCTGTCTCTACGAAAAATACAAAAATTAGCTGGGTGTGGTGGCGCACGCCGGTAGTTCCAGCTGCTTAGGAGGCTGAGGTGGGAGGATTGCTTGAGCCTGAGAGGTTGAGGATGCAGTGAGCTCTGATCGTGTCACTGCACTCCATCCTGGGTGATACAGCAAGACCCAATCCAAAGAAAAAGAAATGGTGGGGGACTTTCTAGTTGCTTCTTTGTTTGGGCCTCAATGATTTAAATGATAGAATTGTCAGAATAGGAGGAATTCAGGTCTGCAGATGGTTAATACCTTTCAAAGGTATCAGCTGACACCATGAAATGCTGATTTTTTAATGTACATTCAAATATACCACCACTTCAACAATAACAACAACATGATGGTGACGATGAGAGGCACTACCTCTCAAAGCTCCCAGCAGCATTTTCAGTTGCTTCGTTGCACGAACTCCTCATCAAAATCAGATGTGAGGAGAAGTATGCCAGATGTTAGTGAGGACTAAGAAGTTGGTTAGGACTTTTCTCAGGGTGGTGTCTTCATGAGTATTGGGCATTAACTCTCGACAGCTACTTCCCTCTCATATGCTGCATGTGTCATGTCTGTTTGGCATTAGGAGATATGAAGCCAGCTGCTGGGAAAGTTAAAGGCAAAGGGTCTGCCCGCTCCAGTCAGATCTTCTCAGAGCACAGAGGTTTGTTTATAGAACTCTCTCCAGTCCAGAGTCTGGGTCTCTTTACCGTAAGCCGCTTGGCTTCAGGCTCCACCAGCCTGAGGTTGAGGTTCTCTGGGGCAGGTGCCTCAGGAGAAGCCCCGAAGCTCTCTCTGAAGGGAAGAGGAGATGGGCCCTTGTCAGCGCTCCTACTTTCCCAAAGCGCCAAGGCTCCACCTGTTGCAATCCCATCTCTTGCCAATTTGAGATTTCAACTACGTCGGCTCTAAGAAGTTGCTCTCACCTGTCGATTTCCTCCTTGTCTTCTCCTATGTTCTCAGCGGCTTCCAAAGGAGCCCCTCACCTGTCCTGTCTCCTACAGGGCCTCCAGGATAAATTGTTCTCCTCTGAAACTGACAACAGCCTGTACTTCACCTACAGTGGCCAGCCCAACACCCTGGAAGTCAGAGACCTCAACTACCAGGTAGAGGCACACCTGGGTTCAAGGGGAGAGGAGCAGGCAGGGACAGCCAGGAAATTCCCCAGGTGGAATAAAAGGGTGGGCCCACCTTACAGGCCCTCCACCCCCAAGGACAGAGTCCAGTCCACATTCATGCCTCACGTGTCAGGTGCAATAGGTGTCATCGATGGCATATATCAGAGCTGGAGGTTGAGAGGCTTGAAAAGAGAATAAAATTGTTGTATAAACATAAAGCAAAATGTGTGAATCTATAGAAAAATGTCTCTGGGACTCTTTTTAAACTATATTTTGAAATAACTTTAGATTTTGGAAAAAATTGCAAAAATAATACAGTGTTTCCATATACTCATTGTCCAGCTTCCCCGAATGTTAACATCTTACATACCCATAGTATAATTATGAACACTAAGAAATTAAAATGTACAATGCTATTAACTACAGACTTTATTCAGATTTCATCAGTTTATATATATGTGTGTGTGTGTGTGTATATATATATATATTCTTTTTTTGTAAAATGTACTATCCCTGGAGCTTATAAAACATCCAGAGTGCAAAGACAACCACTGACCTTTCAGAGGCACCCAGGAACCCCCTGGTCAGATTCAAGGATCCATATTCCCTCACCTTCCCAAGGACCCAGATGGAACATGGTGGGGCCTGGGGTGGTGAACTTCAGAGGCCTGAGTCTGGCTTCCTGTGGGTGTGAGTTGGGACAAGCCAATGAGCCTTTCTCTGCTCTGCCACTTACCAGCTGTGTGACCTTGAGCAAGTTACTTAACTGCTCTGAGCCTCATCTGTAAAACAAGGATTCTGATCGTGTCTCTGTTATAGGTTTGCAATGAGGATTGAATAAGGTGATGGATGTTAAGTGATTAACACAATGTCTTGCACATAGTAAACATTTGATAAATTATTAGTAAAGACATTTTGCTTCATGTTTTATTTTTATTTCTGTACCACTATTGCACATGCCTTTCTTTTTTCCTTTTTTTTTTTTTTTTTGAGAGTCTCACTCTGTTGCCCCAGGCTGGGATGCAGTGGCGCAACCTTGGCTCACTGCAATCTATGCCTCCCAAATTCAAGTGATTCTCCTGCCTCAACCTCCCGAGTAGCTGGGATTACAGACACCCACCACCACACCCGGCTAATTTTTGTATTTTTAGTAGAGACAGGGTTTTACCATGTTGGCCAGGCTGGTCTGGAACTCCTGACCTCAGGTGATCCACCTGCCTCAGCCTCCTAAAGCGCTGAGATTACAGGCGTGAGCCACCACGCCCGGCCTGTACATGCTTTTCATTCCTCTTATCTTCGGACCTGGAAACAGCAGCTACAGGTTCTCAGCATGGATCCCGCTTCTGTGTTTGTTAAAACCTGGGTTGGGGCCTATTGTGTGTAGGTGAGGACACATCCTCTGTGGAGAGGGGCCACCTGGGGAACGACGATGCTAAACAGAAGTTGCTGAAGCCCTCTGAACCATTCAGCTCTCTAAGGAACCTTCTGATGTCTCCCCACAGGTGGACCTGGCTTCTCAGGTCCCTTGGTTTGAGCACCTGGCTCAGTTCAAGATGCCCTGGACATCTGCCAGCCGCCGGAATTCTTGTGAGCTAGGCATCCAAAACCTAAGCTTCAAAGTCAGAAGTGGGCAGATGCTGGCCATCATAGGGAGCTCAGGTACCGGAAAGGCCAATTGCTGGGCAATGGTTTCTCTCCTGGGATGCAGAATGGTCCTTTGGACAAATGGATGCTTCTTGTGGAGCTCTTTGCTGACTAGTAGAATAATACAGCAGAATGGTTGAGAGCACAGGTTCTGGGTCAGACAGACCTCGGCTCAAATCCTGGCTCCTCCATTTGCTGGCTTTTGTGGGTAGGTGCTGTTGTTAAGAGTCATGAGTGTGCCTCTTGTCCACCCGGGGCTGTGGCCAGAGCATCTGACTTTGGCTAACACCTGGACTGAAAGATCAGCAAACAGCTTCAGCATGTGATGTTCTTTTCAGACTCCTCCAGCCACGAGGGGCATTGGTTCAGGTTGTTCCTCCGCAATCACATTCTGATTATGGCCAGAAGCCCGTGCCACACTCTCACCTCTCAGCCTCTCCAGCGTCTTACTTAGCACAACCTTCACTCGTCTGCAAAGAGCCACGTTCTTGGAGTGCCTCAAATTGTCATTTCTACAGCCAGTTTTAAAATGAGAGAATGTCTGAGCTGAAAGGGGGCTTGGGGAACAGAGTTCATTCTCATTATGTTCCACCTTTCTTTCCCCTACCAGTTTGGAAGCATTTTCAGAGGAAGGTGTTCAAACTCCCTACTCCTTAGTGTGTCTATTCTCTTGCACGGGATCACGTGCACACACACACACACACACACACACTTCCCTCCATTTGACAGATGAGGAGCCTCAAATCCAGAGAAATTGAGGGATTCTCGTAAGGACACATATTTAATGCAGAGCTAGAACTAGAACTTTGGTTTCATGATTCTCGGATCAACGCATTTCTCCCTGTGACACCCTTACATAATGTTAGAGAGAGAATTTTATATCTTTTAATTAATCATTTCCAGAGGTAGAGATCACTCAATTTTTTAAACATCCGCTCCAAACTTTTACACCCGTCTGGTAGATAAGTTCTGTTTACTGTATAACCAAAGATCAAATGAAATCTTACGTACAAATGCACTTTGTAACTGAAACAGCATCACAGTCATGAAGTTCCTCTCACTCTGTCCCTGTCCCTGCAATCCTGACCTAAATAAGAAAAAAGTAGATCCCAGCCGGGCGCGGTGGCTCATGCCTCTAATCCCAGCACTTTGGGAGGCCGAGGCAGGTGGATCACAAGCTCAGGAGATCGAGACCATCCTGGCTAACATGGTAAAACCCCATCTCTACTAAAAAATACAAAAAATTGGCCAGGCATGGTGGCAGGCGCCTGTAGTCCCAGCCACTCAGGAAGCTGAGGCAGGAGAATGGCGTGAACCCGGGAGGCAGAGCTTGCAGTGAGCCGAGATCGTGCCATTGCACTCCAGCCTGGGCAACAGAGTGAGACTCCATCTCAAAAAAAAAAAAGGAAAAGACAATGAAAAAAGAGGATCCCTCATGGGCCTACTATTGTATTTTTATTTATAACATCTAGTAGTGTTTCTTGTTGTATCTACTTTCTCTTCATGAATCCAGCATCTAGGGGACACATGGGTCTTTACTTAGGGTCATATCATGGTTAATACTTTGCACATACAACCCTCTAGCTGTCAGTATCCCTAATTTGTGGTTGAGGAAAGTTCAGAAAAGCAGAGCAAGAATTATATTGAATATTTGGGAGGTTGAGGCAGGAGGACTGCTTGAGGCCAGGAGTTCAAGACTAGCCTGAGCAACATAGGGAGGAGACTCCATCAATAAAATAATTTTTTTTTTTAATTTAAAAAATTAGCTGGGCAGCGTGCCATGCCCCTGTAATCCCAGCTACTCAGGAGGAGTGCTTGAGCCAGGAGTTCAAAACTGAAGTGAGCTATGATTGTGTCACTGCATTCCAGCCTGGGCAACAGAGCAAGATCCCATCTCTTAGAAAGGAATGAATAAATTATTTTGAATAGTCTTCTGGTTTTTTGTTTTTGTTTTTTAATTGGTTTTGTTTTGTTTTGTTTTTCTGAGAGTCTCGCTTTGTCACCTAGGCTGGAGTGCAGTATGTGATCTCAGCTCACTGCAACCCCTGCCTCCTGGGTTCAAATGATTCTCATGTCTCAGCCTCCTGAGTAGCTGGGATTACAGGTGGGTGCCACTATGCCTGGCCAATTGCTTTTGTATTTTTTGTAGAGATGTGGTTTCGCCATGGTGGCCAGGCGGATCTCCAACTCCCGGCCTCAGGTGATCCGCTTGCCTTGGCCTCCCAAAGTGCTGGGATTACAGGCGTGAGCCACTGCATCCAGCAGCTCCTGGTTGTTTAACTATAGATTCAGTGTTGTTTGACTTCAGGTTTACTTGCCTGTGTAAAACAAAAAACAAAACAACAACAACAAAAACTTTAGACAAATAAACCGTAGAGTTATTTGAGCAAATAGTGATTAATGAATCTGGCAGCACTCAAAAACAGGACCAGTTCAGAGAGCTCCCCCAAGCAATTTGGTCAGGTGATATTTGTAGACAGAAAAAGCAAGTGCTCTACAGAAATAGCTGATTGGTTACAGTTGGGTGTTCACCTTATTTATTTGTGGGTGATGTGATCAGGTGTTGGGTATGGACGGGATCTCATCAGTCGGTAGGTTGAGGCGGTGATTGTGATTGGCTGATGCTTGGCTGCCATGATTGGCTGAGACTCAGCAACTTGTCTCAGCCAATCTCTGTCTTAAGGGAATATACTGCTAAGATAAGTTGCAGTTTGTTTACATATTAAGTTTGCTTGCAGTTTGCTCTGTGGGAACTCAAAGTATGCAGGCAGTCTCAGGCCAAATTTAGTTTAACTGAGCAACTGAAATTATTAAAATGATTTATTAGAAAGGTTCATCAACTACACTTCCTGTGACTTTTACTGCCATCCCCTCCTCCACCTGCCCAACACACACACAAAAGAACGCTGGCCATAATTTTTTAAATATAAAGAAAACAGCCTGGCTGGGCATGGTGGCTCATGCCTGTAATCCCAGCACTTTGGGAGGCTGAGGCAGGTGGATCACCTGAGGTCAGGAGTTTGAGACCAGCCTGGCCAATATGGTAAAACCCTGTCTCTACTGGAAAAAAAAAAAAAAAATTAGCTGGGCGTGGTGGCACATGCCTGTAATCCCAGCTACTCGGGAGGCTGAGGTGGGAGAGTTGCTTGAACCTGGGAGGTGGAGGTTGCAGTGAGCTGAGATTGTGCCATTGCATTTCAGCCTGGGCAGCAAGAGCAAAATACTATCTCAAAAAAGAAAAAAAGAAAGAAAAAAGGAAAAGAAAAGATAACAGCCCTAGGCATTTTAGTTTCTTTTATCGATTCAGCAATGCCAAAAGTGGTTTCCAATTGATGAGTTTACTGATTCGGAGATTCCAGCCATTCAATAAGGGTCTTGAATGCCAGTGGGTGTTTTGTCTTAGTTCATGGAGGGTGTGTTAGTCCGTTTTCGCTCTGCTCTAAAGAACTACCTGAGACTGGGTAACTTATAAAGAAAACAGGTTTAATTGACTCACAGTTCCTCATGACTGGGGAGGCCTCAGGAAACTTACAGTCATGGTGGAAGGCAAAGGGGAAGCAAGGCACATTTTACATGGTGGCAGGAGAGGAGAGTGAGGGGAGGAACTGCCAAACACTTTTAAAACATCAGATCTCATAAGAATTCACTCACTATCATGAGAGCAGCATGGGGGAAATCTGCCTTCATGATCCAATCACCTCCCACCAGGTCCCTCCCTCGACAAGCGAGGATTACAATTTTGGATGAGATTTGGGTGAGCCATACCATATAAAGAGTCTCCCCAGATACCACAGGCATCCTCCATTGGAAAGGCTCCCCACCGCTCTCACAAAGTTTTGCTCAGAAAACGTGGACTTCCTGCTTTCTGAGTGGGAATCCGTGGTCCCTGTGAATGTTGGTGAAGTCCCCGGTGCCCCTGGAGCCTGGCTCTGAAGCTTCTCTCCCAGGTTTCTCTCCTGGCTATTTTGCTCCACTTATGTTCTCAGGGATCTTAAATGAGGTACACCCAGAGGTAGCGCACAGGCCCCTTCTACCCTGAGATCCTCTGCACAGTAACCAGAGAGATCATGTGGGGAAGCGTCTTGGTTTTTGAGGTTTGCACTGGGTGCTGTGGGGCTTCCTGCAAGAAGCACATAGTGTGTGGCAGGAAGGACTTGTCACATATGTATTGGCTCAACATGTGACAAGTCTGTTTGAACACAACTTGGAAAACTTGCTCTCCAGTAAGGAAATCAAAACTCCGTCTGGGGCCGGGCACGGTGGCTCACGTCTGTAATCCCAGAACTTTGGGAGGCCGAGGCAGGCAGATCACCTGAGGCCAAGGTTCGAGACCAGCCTGGCCAACATGGTGAAACCCTGTCTCTGCTAAAAACACAAAAATTAGCCGGGTGTGGTGGCAGGAGCCTGTATTCCCAGTTACTCGGGAGGCTGAGGCAGGGGAATCTCTTGAACTGGCATGGCAGAGGCTGCGGTGAGCTGAGATTATGCCACCGCACTCCAGTCTGGGCCACAGAGTGAGACCCTGTCTCCAAAACAAACACGCAAACAAGCAGAAGACACTCCAGCTGGGTGAGTGGAAAGAGCTCATTCCTAGCTCCACGGTAGAAAGATGTTCTGAGCCTCAGCCCAATCCGCACTCACATCTTAAACAGCTGTCACAGAAAGAGCCTCATCGAAAGCCTTTGGAAACTAGATCCAATCTGATGCTGACTTTCTCAAATCAATAATAATTAGTACATCATTCGGAAGAGGGTGGTGTTAACTCAAGTGCAATGAATCTTTTTTAACCGTTATTTTAGGTTTGGGTGTACACAAGTAGGTTTGTTTTATAGGTAAACTAGTATAATGGGGTTTTGTTGTATAGATTACTTAATCACCCAGGTACTAAGCTTAGTATCCAAGGGATTTTTCCTGCTCCTCTCCCTCCTCCCATCCTCCACCCTCAGTTAGGTGAATCTTTTCTTTAAAAAAGAGAATTAAAAATACCACTGATGCACTTTGGGAGGCCAAGGCTGGTGGATCACTTGAGGTCAGGAGTTCAAGACCAGCCTGACCAACATGGTGAAACCCCATCTCTACTAAAAATACAAAAATTAGCCAGCCATGGTGGCAGACGCCTGTAATCCCAGCTACTCAGGAGGCTGAGGCAGGGAGAATTGCTTGGACTTGAGAGGCAGAGATTGCAGTGAACTGAGATCACGCCATTGCACTTCAGCCTGGGCAACAGAGTGGGACTCTGTCTCAAAAAAAAAAAAAAAAAGAAAGAAAGAAAGAAAAAGTACCACTGATGGAAAGAAGAGAGAGATGGGTGTGGATACAGTCAGAACATATGTGTACACTGTGCTGTAGTTTTAAAATCATTTCTACTTCTATTATTTCTCTATATTTTCCTCCATTATTTCTCAAAATAGATTTGGTTTTGCATTTTTAAAAGACACTCTATAAATGCTCCAAATTAGTCCTCACAAAACCAGCTTCTGAGCCAACCGACATTGAATAATGAGAGATTGCTGGCATGTTTGCCAGCCAAAAATAGTTACGTTAACACTAGCCTTGCTTGGGGAGAAAGGGCCTTGGTTGGTGGCAGGAGGGGACAAATGCTCCAGGCACCACCTGGCCCTGTGGCATCTAGGACTCTAGCCTTCTCCTGTCAGGCCACCACTGGCTGGCCCGGCCTGAACCCCCAGCGCCATCAGGCCTCACAGCCCCACAGGGGTGCTCACACTGGCTGCAGACAGAAGGCCTGGAGCTCCATGACCTGGGCCCACCCTATCTAGGTCCAGGGACTATGCCACCTCTCTAGGGGCTGGTCACATCTGCACCGACAGAGTAGTCCAGGCTCCTGGAGAGTGTGTGGGGAGCAGTGGCTGCCAGGCTGGCCCCCACAGAAGCTCTGCTCTCAGGGATGTCTCTGGTGGCTTTGCAGGTTGTGGGAGAGCCTCGTTGCTGGACGTGATCACCAGCCGAGGTCACGGTGGCAAGATCAAGTCAGGCCAGATCTGGATCAACGGGCAGCCCAGCTCGCCTCAGCTAGTGAGGAAGTGCGTGGCCCACGTGCGCCAGCACGACCAGCTGCTCCCCAACCTGACTGTGCGAGAGACCCTGGCCTTCATTGCCCAGATGCGGCTGCCCAGAACCTTCTCCCAGGCCCAGCGTGACAAAAGGGTAACTGGCCCCAATGGTGACCCCCAGGGTCCAAGAAGCCACAGTGTCCATGACCCCCTCTTCCCCTGCTGCGCTGCCTCAGGACCCAGCCACAGGTTGAGTTTGAACAACTCAACTTGCGGTCCACCCGCCCTGGGCTGCAGCCTGCCCTGCACCCTCCTTTCAAACCCCACAGCCTGCCGGAAGCTAGCTCAGTCCATTGGTTCCCTTCATTGCACTTTTTAAGACGTGGGATGAGTGTATTTGTTTGTGTGTTTTCTGGGCCTCCATGTGGGTAGAGAGCCATGGTCCCCCGTACACGGCCATGTTCCTAGCATGGGGCACCATGCCCGGTACGTCGAGGCTGCTCAGGACCTGTGGAAAGAATAGGGGGAACCAATGTTGCAGCTTGGAACTCAAGTGCGGGAGCTGTCTCCCTTTACTTTCAAACCCAGCCAGAGGAGCAGTTGCCTTTATCCTTGGGGTCACAGTGTGTCCAGCCCTGAAGGAGGCCCCCGGGGTGGTCTCAAAGCTCCTTCTGGCCCACAGGTGGAGGATGTGATCGCGGAGCTGCGGCTTCGGCAGTGCGCTGACACCCGGGTGGGCAACACGTATGTGCGAGGGGTGTCGGGGGGCGAGCGCAGGAGAGTCAGCATTGGGGTGCAGCTCCTGTGGAACCCAGGTGAGGGCCTAGGGGGCAGATGGGGGCAGAGGGACCTGTGTGGTCCCCTCAGGCTTGGCTTGGTCTGGCCAGAGCCCCACCGACTCACCAGGCTCCTCTCTGTGTTGGGAAGGAATCCTCATTCTCGACGAACCCACCTCTGGGCTTGACAGCTTCACGGCCCACAACCTGGTGAAGACCTTGTCCAGACTGGCCAAAGGCAACCGGCTGGTGCTCATCTCCCTCCACCAGCCTCGCTCCGACATCTTCAGGCTGTTTGATCTGGTCCTCCTGATGACGTCTGGTACCCCCATCTACTTAGGGGCAGCCCAGCACATGGTCCAGTATTTCACAGCCATTGGCTACCCCTGTCCTCGCTACAGCAACCCCGCTGACTTCTATGGTGAGTCACCAAGGCCAGCAGCCAGGGCCCTGGCACATGGGGCCTTCCCGATGCTTAAACCCTGCCCAAGCTTGCTGAAAAGATTCAGGGGAGAAACTCCCAGAGGCTTCAGGAGAGGAGGAGCAAGGATGGAGAAGAACAGGGGGTGATTTGCCAGCTATCAAATGCTAGATATGAGGGCCTGGAAATAGAAGCTTCTGACAAATAGCCACCCTTCTGTGCATGATAGATTAGAAACTTGCAAGCTCCAAAGATGGGGGGGCATGGAATCCAAGAGGGTGGGGATCAATAAAGATCAGAGTCTTTATTCAGACTCGGTAGGGAAAGAACCTTTAAGGTCAAGAAGTCACCAGATCTTAAAACATGTCCTGGTGTTCCCACAGTGGCACGGAGCCTGAAGGTGCAGGGTGGCAGAGAGGGGCCCAGGGTGGTGGCCTTGGCCAGAGAATCTCTAGATATGAAAATTGCTCTGGCAGCCCCAGATTTGCCCTTTGCTTGGCTCCTGAACCCTCAGCATATTACACTCAGGGAGTGTGAGCCACTTCCTTCATTCTGCAGGGGACAGTTGCCTTCCCAGGTACCTGGCCTGAAATCCTGAGTGCTGAGGAGGGGCATGGCTGCTGGACAGGCGGCATTGTTGTACCAGGTCCCAGGGAGGCAGCTGTCATGGCTTGTCCTGTAGGTCACCTGAGCCCCCAGCTTCCACCCAGGCTGGCAAGCTGTAGCAAAGACCCCACCAGTAAACAGGACAACAGTGATCATCTTGAAGGCAAACACGGGGCCCAAACATGCCAGGCCCAGAGGGTCTCCTGTTTGACTCTCAAACCCCTGCCAGGCCAAGGCCATCTCCATCTTTACAGATGAGAAGCCTGGAGCCTGCAGAGCTAAACACCTGCTCCAGCACAGCTGTAAGGCACAGAACTGGGACCGGTGCCCAGCCCTGGCCCTGACTCCTCATCCAGCTGCCCATACCCTCCTCCTAGTGTCCCAAGTTCGTCACCATCCTTACCCCAGGACAGGCCACCCCTCACCCTATGTACTCACATTCTGCACAAACTCACAGAAAGGTCACCTCCCTCCCTGTGCTCAGGTGGCAGCCTGGCTTCCTGACAATGTGTCATTCTCAGGCCAGCTATCCCCAGAATAGGGGCCAAAGGGCACCTGCCAACCTGGCCACCAGGGAATAATTTTAAGTAACCCTGGAGAGGGGTTACCAGAAGTCAAGTGTCCACAGCAGACCTGAAAACTCTTTTTTACATTTTATATTGTTATTGGAGGGGGCTCTGGCCTACAAGCCCTGGGGCAGGAACCCCTCACCAACCTGGGATGCAAGAGCTACACGGGGCCTGGGGTGCCCAAAAATCTGATGTTTTGAGCCACAGTGCTGCACACTGGGGGGCCACATCATGGTTTATAAGACCCCACCTAGACATTATCTTGTCTTGGGATGTGTTATGAAAAGGGGAGGGAGGGCTGGGCACAGTGGCTTACGCCTGTAATCCCAGCACTTTGAGAGGCCAAGGCAGGCAGATCACCTGAGGTCAGGAGTTTGAGACCAGCCTGGTCAACATGGCGAAACCCTGTCTCTACTAAAAATATAAAAATTAACTGGGTACAGTGGCTCATGCCTATAGTACCAGCTACTTGGGAGGCTGAGGCATGAGAATTGTTTGAACCTGAGAGGTGGAGGTTGCAGTGAGCTGAGATCGCACCACTGCACTCCAGCCTGGGCGATAGAGTGAGACTCCATCTCAAAAAAAAAAAAAAAAAAAAAAAAAAAGAGGATATGGGAGGAGGGAAGGGGGAGAGAGAGGAGTAGGTCACCTCTAGCCAAGCCAAGGCTCTGGGAAAGGAATGGAGGGAGGGTGGGCAGGCATGCATGGGTCTAGACTGAGCTGGGTATAGGGAGATCCTGGCTGTGGCTGGGCTCAGTTTGCCTTTTGTGGCATTGCCAGGGCCTTGGAGATAGAAGGCAGAGGCACTGCAAGAGGATGGCTGTGGTGTGGGGCTGCTTGGTGCTCCCCACAGGTTAGCATCCCTTGGATTTAGGAGGCAGGGCTGATCAGATTGGGTCTCCAGCCAAGTGTGCTGTCTCCCTCCTGGGGCAGAGCAGCCAACCAAGGGGTCAGTGAGAAATCTACCTGAAGTTGGCCAGTCCCTGGAACCCTCCAGCCAGACATCCTCCTGCTTTGGGCAGGCTGCCTGGGAGGCCAAGTTATTAATTTTCAGTGAAAGCGAGAACTCTCACTATCTGGATAGAACTCTCACCATATGGATAGAACTCTCATGATCTGGATAGAACTCTCTCTGGATAGAACTCTTACTAACTGGATAGAACTTTCACCATCTGGATAGAACTCTCACTATCTGGATTGAACTCTCACTCTCTGGATATAATTCTCACTCTCTGGATATAACTCTCACTCTCTGGATAGAACTCTCACTCTCTGGATAGAACTCTCACTATCTATCTGGATAGAACTCTACCTCTGGATAGAACTCTACCATCTATCTTCTGGATAGAACTCTCACTCTCTGGATAGAACTCTCACTATCTATCTGGATAGAACTCTCACTATCTGGATAGAACTCTCACTATCTGGATAGAATTTTCCCCATCTGGATAGAACTCACACTATCTATCTGGATAGAATTCTCACTCTCTGTATAGAACTCTCACGATCTATCTGGATAGAACTCTCACTATCTACCTGGATAGAAGTCTCACCATCTGGATAGAACTCTCACTATCTATCTGGATAGAACTCTCACCATCTATCTGGATAGAACTCTCACCATCTATCTGGATAGAACTCTCACTATCTATCTGGATAGAATTCTCACTCTCTGTATAGAACTCTCACGATCTATCTGGATAGAACTCTCACTATCTACCTGGATAGAACTCTCACGATCTATCTGGATAGAACTCTCACCATCTATCTGGATAGAACTCTCACGATCTATCTGGATAGAACTCTCACTACCTACCTGGATAGAAGTCTCACCATCTGGATAGAACTCTCACTCTCTGGATAGAACTCTCACTAACTGTGAACCCAACTACTCAGCCTCCCCCTGACCAGCCCAACTTCTCCCCATGGAGGGGCACTGAGTCCTCATCAAAAGCTTCCTGGACAGCTAGAGTTGGAGCCAGAGCATGACTGTGATGTGGCCCTTGGCTCTGAAGGCTCTTGCTCTGTCCTAAGATATCCTCAAAATGAGCCTGGGTAGTAGGACTTGGGTGGGGCCTCTACGGTTGCCCATTTTTTGATCCACTGCCCTTCCCCTGAGGCTTCTGCAGATGTGGTCAGGCCTGGCAGGGTGAAGGCCCAGCCCTTGGGGTCCCTCTGCCTCCCTCTGCTCTGCCCCTTGCTTCGTGGCCGAAGGTGGAGAGCATGTCCCAGAGCCCCACGACGGGCGATCAGCATTGTGAGCTGGGCGTGCGCCAAGCTCCTCACCTGGGAGCAGGTGCCAGGGAACAGGCCACCCATGACTCCACATCCCCTGCTTGCAGTGGACCTGACCGGCATTGACAGGCGCAGCAGAGAGCAGGAAGTGGCCACCAGGGAGAAGGCTCAGTCACTTGCAGCCCTGTTTCTAGAAAAAGTGCGTGACTTAGATGACTTCCTGTGGAAAGCAGAGACGAAGGATCTTGATGAGGACACCTGTGTGGAAAGGTAATGTGGCGGGCGGCTCTGAGAGGAGAGCTCCCTGCAGAAGGTGGCTGCCCCCGTGACCTGGCCACATCTTCTGCCTCCCAGCAGCCTGACCCCACTAGACACCAACGGCCTCTTGATTCCTACGAAGATGCCCGGGGCGGTGCAGCAGTTTACCACGCTGATCCGGTAATTATCTGTCTTTTTATTACTGACCCCCCGCCCCCACCAAGTCTTTGTATATCACATTAAGCCTTTTCTATTTAAGTGAATTTAAAGGAGAAAATGAGAGATAGAGTTATTTGAAAAAACAGCATCCAGCGGGGCATGGTGGCTTATGCCTGTAATCCCAGCACTCTGGGAGGCTGTGGCGGGTGGATCACTTAAGTTCAGGAGTTCGAGACCAGCCTGGCAACATGGTGACAGCCCGTCTCTACAAAACAGCACAAAAATTAGCCAGTTATGGTGGCGTGGGCCTACCTGGTAGGCTGAGGTGGGAGGATTGCTTGATTCCTGGAGGTGGAGGCTGCACTGAGCCATGATTGCATCTTCACTCCAGCCTGGGCAGCAGAGCAAGACCCCATCTCAAAAAAAAGAAAACAGCATTGTTGGGACCAGCACTAATCTTCAAGGGACACAGAACACCCCTATTGCTTTTATTCTTTAAACAAAATTAAGATAACCTCACCAGCTGGAAGATCGTATAAATAGCATAGGGTCATTGAGAAAAATGTAGACAATAGGAGAGAATCTCTAGTAAAAAGGGAAGTCCCAGTCACACCAGCCCTCAAAGAAAACCAGACGGCACTATGTGGCGTGTCTTTCCTGATGTTTCCATGCACACACGTGTTTTTAAACGTGGTGGGATCCTACTGTGCATGCTGGTTTGTAGCAGGTTTCTTTTCAGTGAGGGCAGTGCCTCCACCTCTTGTCTGATTGGGTCTTCCCCGGCATTCCCGTCAATCTAGCCATAATCACCCACCCGTTAAGTCCATCTTGATGGCCAGATTATCTTCCGGCTTTTACTACTACAAGCAATGAGGCAGCAGACATCATTGAGCACACATCTTTTTTTTTTTTTTTTTTTTTTTAAACACAGAGTCTATCTCTGTCACCCAGGCTGGAGTGCACTAGGGTGATCTCGGCTCACTGCAGCCTCCACCTCCCAGGTTCAAGTGATTCTCCTGCCTCAGCCTCCCAAGTAGGTGGGATTACAGGTGTGCGCCACCATGCCCGATTAATTTTTTGTGTGTTTTAGAGATGGAGTTTCTTCACATTGGCCAGGCTGGTCTTGATCTCCTGGCCTCAAGTGATCCACCTGCCTCAGCCTCCCAAAATGCTGGGATTACAAGCGTGAGCCACCATGCCCAGCCTATCTGTACATCTTCACAGACCTAATTGATTTTTTCCCAGGGAGCATTTCTTTAACATTGCCAAGCTGATACATTATGATAAAAGTAACAACCATTTATTGAGTACCTACAGTGGGACAGATGCTGCCATCAGTTTTCTGATTTAATCCTCAGAGCAGCTCTAGGAGGCAGGTATTACCGTCCCCATTTTGCATATGAGAGAAACGAGGCGTACAGAGACTGTGACATTCCCAAAGTCACAGGTCTGGTGTATGTTGTTGCCTGAGCATCTCTTCCTTTTGGTTTTTAAGTCGTCAGATTTCCAACGACTTCCGAGACCTGCCCACCCTCCTCATTCACGGGGCAGAGGCCTGTCTGATGTCGCTGACCATCGGTTTCCTCTATTTTGGCCACGGGAGCATCCAGCTCTCCTTCACGGATACAGCCGCCCTCTTGTTCATGATCGGCGCTCTCATCCCTTTCAATGTCATTCTGGATGTCATCTCCAAATGTGAGTGTGGCCACTGGCATGGCCTGCAGGACCTCAGCCACCTCTGAGCTGTGTTCCTCTGAACTCTGGGTTTGATTTCATTGTGATTATGATATATAAGACAATAACGTTTTTAAAGTTTGCATGTTAATATTAGTATGCAAATGAAAGCAAATTACCGAGTCTTAGCTCTTCCTATCCTAGCAGGATTTATATTTGACAGCAGAATACGAGCTACAGACTTGCAAAACCAGAAGAGCCTCATCAGACATCTAAATTAGGATGGCTTTACTGTGCCTATTTTTTAAAAAAACTTAAGAGACTTGGGCAATATGATAACTGCTTTGAATTGTATTAAGAGAATCTCCAAAACAGAAACACTATAGATTTATTCTACTTTTTCATTCTCTTTTCCTTTCCCTTATTTTTTAGGTTACTCGGAGAGGGCAATGCTTTACTATGAACTGGAAGACGGGCTGTACACCACTAGTCCATATTTCTTTGCCAAGGTGACTGGGCAGGGTTGAGAGCAAGTGCCCCCACCCACCAGGGTGGGGGTAAGTGTGGAGAAAACACTGCTACCAGGAAGCCTTTTCTGAACCATGGGGCTATGGGTCATGTGAAGTCACAGATGCCACCAGATGTCTCATTTTCTAGGGGAGTTTCAGAGACTTGAACTTTTATTTTAAACATTTACCAAAACACCAGGATTGTGGACCAGGAATGATAGTTTTCTGGTCAGAAGGCATCTAAAAAAAAGAAATCCTCATTGTATTTGACCTCTTCGGAGCCTCACTGTGGCCCTGAGCGGCCAGGCAGGCGTTTCCAGGAAGCAGAGGTTCGGAGAGACTGCTCGGCTCTCCAAGGCCACACAGCTACTTGTCTGGTCAGGGGGAGCAGGGACTTGAGACCAGGTCTTAGGACAGCAGGTGTCCAGTGCTGCCCCGGGGCAAACAGGCTGAACTGACCTAGAGGGAACGCTTGGCATCTGCAAGGGGGAAGCCAGCACTGAGTGTACCGGGTCCCAGCACACCCTCCTGCCACAGCCTCATCATCACCAGGAGGGAAGGTTGCCACTGGGGGGCATAGATACTTTTAAACGTTTATAATAATGGCAGTGAAGGTGCTGGCTTCATATCCTTGCAAGGGCTGTTCTTTGCAGATCCTCGGCGAGCTTCCGGAGCACTGTGCCTACATCATCATCTATGGGATGCCCACCTACTGGCTGGCCAACCTGAGGCCGGGCCTCCAGCCCTTCCTGCTGCACTTCCTGCTGGTGTGGCTGGTGGTCTTCTGTTGCAGGATTATGGCCCTGGCCACCGCGGCCCTGCTCCCCACCTTCCACATGGCCTCCTTCCTCAGCAACGCCCTCTACAACTCCTTCTACCTCACCGGGGGCTTCATGATAAACTTGAGCAGCCTGTGGACAGGTGAGGCCTGCACCCTGGGCCTGGGCCAGCTTTGTTAGGCCTCATGCGGCTGGATGAAGCCTGCTTTCATCCTCGTCACTTGGATCCAACTTAAGGCTGGCCCTTCTGGAAGCAGAGGCCTTTGCCCACTGTCCTGGAGGCCAAAGGAACAATTTCATTAGAGATTCCAGATGCACCTCCTCCTATCCCATAGTCAATACCCAGAAGTCACCCTTGACTCTTTCCCTCCCTCTCCACATCCACCCATGAGCCAGGTCGATTCTGCCTTGGGTTTCTCTGAAATGTCTGCTTGGCTGTGTCCCCATCCCTGGCTGCCATCCTTTAAGCCTGGGCCACTGCCATAGCCTGGTCTCTGTGACCTGGGCCCCTCCACATCCCTCTCGACTCAGCCATGCAGAGTGAACTTTCCAAGGTGCAAACCCATGCCCCTCTTTGTTCAAATCCTCCCAGGGCTGCTCAATCCTGCAGCCTCCCCAGCTTTCTGAAGCCCCCAGCACACCCCACCCTCTCACCTCTGAGCCTGCCCAGCTGCTGTCTCCGGGAATGTCATGCCCTGCCTTCCACGGGGCCTCACTTCTGCCAGGGCTTTCCTGACGCATCCAGGCAGGGCTCACTGCCTCCTTCCCCTCCCCGTACCATGCCACCTCCATAGGATCAGGGCACAGGCTCCATCGTCTCTGGTGTGGGGTCGCTGAGTCTCCTCAGCCCACACGGTCCATGAAGCTGAGCACGTGCAGGGGTGCCTCATCAAATCCCTCTCGAGAATTGCTATGGATCAAACGTGTGGGTGACCCCGTGGCCTCTCAGCTCCCTCAGCCCCAGTCTGTGTCCCCAGCAGCCCCTCTGCCCTTTTGCCCCTTGGCCTCTCTCCCTTCCTTGCTCATCAGAGAACTTGGGCCAGAGCCACCACGGCCCTGTCTCAGAGAGTGGAATGTGCCCTTGTGCAGGTGGGAGAGACTGTGGGAATGTGGGGAGACCATGGGAACATGGGGAGACTGTATGAATATGCAGGAGACTGTGTCAATATAAAGGAGACCATGGGAATACGGGGAGACCGTGAGAATATGAGGAGACTGTGGGAATATGGGGAGACGGTGAGAATATAGGGAGACCATGGGAATATGTGGGAGGCTGTGGGAATATGGGGAGACCATGGGAATATGGGGAGACCATGGGAATATGGGGAGACTGTGGGAATATGGGGAGATCATGTGAATATGGGGAGACCATGTCAATATAGACAGTAGGAATATGGGGAGACGGTGAGAATATAGGGAGACCATGGGAATATGAGGAAATAGTGTGAATATGGGGGAGACTGTGAATCTGGGGAGACGATGGGAATATGGGGAGATGATGAGAATATGGGGAGACCATGGGAATATGGGGAGACTGTGAGAATATGAGGAAACTGTGAATATGGGGGAGACTGTGGGAATGTGGGGAGACCATGGGAATATGAGGAGACTGTGAATATGGGGGAGACCATGTCAATATAAAGGAGACCGTGGGAATATGGGGAGACCGTGGGAATATGAGGAAACTGTGAATATGGGGAAGACTGTGTCAATATAAAGGAGATCGTGGGAATATGGGGAGATCATGCAAATATGGGGAGACCATGGGAATATGGGAAGACTGAATATGTGGGAGACCATGGAAATATGGGGAGATCATGCAAATGTGGGGAGACCATGGGAATATGGGAGACTGTGAGTATGGGGGAGACCATGCGAATATGGGGAAACCGTGAGAATATGAGGGAAACCGGTAAGTAACGAGGCTCTCTGTTGCCAGTGCCCGCGTGGATTTCCAAAGTGTCCTTCCTGCGGTGGTGTTTTGAAGGGCTGATGAAGATTCAGTTCAGCGGAAGAAATTATAAAATGCCTCTCGGGAACTTCACCATCGCGGTCTCAGGAGATAAAGTAAGCGGGGAGGCCTCGGGTTCTAAATTATTGGACGTCCGGCTGCCCATCATTCTAGTAAGCCCACTGCATGTCTGTCTCCAGATCCTCAGTGCCATGGAGCTGAACTCGTACCCTCTCTACGCCATCTACCTCATCGTCATTGGCCTCAGCGGTGGCTTCATGGTCCTGTACTACGTGTCCTTAAGGTTCATCAAACAGAAACCAAGTCAAGACTGGTGATTCACGCCAGGCGCCTGCCCGCTGGTGGGGGACCTGAGCAGACCCTTCAACTGCACTCCCTCCTCAGGACCCCCTTCCTGGGGACCTTGAAGACAATGACCCTACAGATGCTCAGCTGCATCCGGCCCACGGTGCTGCAGTGGCACAGACCAGCCACAGGATGGCAGTAGAATAAAGACAGTCGAAAGGGATTTCTGCTCACTGGCAGGAGACTGCGATGACTGGGAGTGAGAAAACCTGCACTCGGTGGCACCTACAACGTTGCTAATTTATTTCCTTTTGATATGCATTTATATAGGCAACTTGATATAGGATGGGAGCAAACTAGGAATGAATTGAGTAGCTAGACTGTGCAGGAATTGTGGGAACCCGGAGGGAACAGTATCAGTAGCTAGCAAATGTGGCTTCATCTTCCAGAGGCCCCATACTCCGTGGTGAGCCACCATAAATACAGAAAGTGACCTAAGATGTGCCAGCAAGATGCCATCCCTTCTTTTTTTGTGGGGTCATGGGCTCCAAAAGCCAACGTGAACAATTAAAAATTTATTGAGCATCTACTCTGTGGCAGGTCCTGTGCAAAAACACTTTAGGTGGACAATCCTTTGAGGTAAGTGGTATCCCATTTAATAGGGGTGAAAACTGAAGCAAAAATTCATTTTCCTAAGGGCACATGGATACTTTGTGGTGGAGTCATGTGGGGGTCAGAAAAGCCTTGGAGGCCTTTGGAGTTAGAGGGCAGAAGGCAAGGCCTGAGCTGCTGTAAGGCTTAGGAGTTCAGGAAGGCTCCAGAAGATACATGGGGTCTGTAGAGGCTGTGTTAACTCGGCCAGGCTTGTTAGAGTTGCATTTCACTGATTGATATGGTTTGGCTCTGCGTCCTCACCCAAATCTCACCTTGAATTGTAATAATCCCCACGTGTCAAGGGCGGGACCAGATGGAGATCATTGAATCATAGGAGTGGTTTCTCCAATGCTGTTCTCCTGAGAGTGAGTTCTCCTGAGATCTGATGGTTTTATAAGGGGCTTCCCTCTTCGCTCAGCTCTCATTCTCTCTCTTGCTACCCTGTGAGGAGGTGCCTCCCACCATGACTGTTAAGTTTCCTGAGCCCACCCCAGCCATGCTGAACTGTGAGTCAATTATACCTCTTTTCTTTATAAATTACCCAGTCTTGGGTATTTCTTCATAGCAGTGTGAGAGCAGATGAATACACTGACCCTGCCTGGGTTTCAGGGCCAGCCTTGAACCTTTCACAGTGGCCAGAGGATGGGATGGCAGAGGCCCAGGTTGCACACTTCATGCCTGAGTGTTGGGGACTATCTGACTCAAAACAGGTGCACAGAGGGCAGGAGAGAATGTTCTCAAAGGAAAATTAGAGTTTAGAATCAAAAGAAGGGGGAGGCGGGTGTTTGGGAGGCAAATAGCAAGTACTCTTCATAGGTTCACTAGAGCCGCGTTACTCCAAGTATTGTCCCTGGGCCAGCAGAAAGGGCACAGCTGGAGCTGATTGGATAGGTCCTATGAGCCTCAGGCCCCACCCAGGCTCAATGAGTCTGCATCTTAAGAAGACCCCCTGGTGATCTGTGCAGATTCAAGTACGCTGCCCTTTTCCAAAGCACCTGCCACACTCAGGATGCTTGCACGGTCACGCTGCCACCATCCAACCTGCAGACCCCATTCCTGAGATTCACTGGGTGTTCCTATCATGTCCTCCATGGCAAGAGGATCTAGATCAGAATCAAGCCTTGGATCTAGTTCTCAAGTCTCTTTAGTCTCTTTCAGTTTAGAACAGTTAGTCAACTTTCCTTGACTTTCGTGACCCTGATACTTAATTTTGAAGGCTCTCTCTCAATTTGGGCTTATCTGGTGTATTTTCTTGATTAAGCTCAGATCACACACTTTGGGCAGGAATGTCACAGAAGTGATGTTGTGTTCTGCCCAGTGAGGCACGTGATTTCAACTTGTCCCATACCAACAACGTTCACTTTGATCACTTGATTAAAGGGGTGTCTGCTAGGCTTCTCCACAGCCAAGTTACTATTTTCCCTCCCTTTATAATTAATAAGCATTTTTTAAGTGGGTACTTTGAAACTATGTAAACTTTCTATATATTCATTTTAAAATTTCGATCGATGTAAACTTGTGGTTTCCCATTGTATCCAATGGATTACAACCCTTTACTATTGTGATTAATTCTGATGCTCAGCTTGTCCCTGATTTGGCCAGTGGGAACCCCGTTGAGCTGGCTTCTGCATCCTTTTGACATTTCCTCATCATCCTTTGAGGGCTGAAACAACCAAGAGTTTCAGGCTCATTTTTTTTTTGAGGCAGAATCTCACTCCGTGGCCCAGGTTGGAGTGCTATGGCGCAATCTCGGCTCACTGCAACCTCTGCCTCCCAGGTTCAAGTGATTGCCTTGCCTCAGCCTCCCAAGTAGTTGGGATTAACGGTGGCCACCACCACACCTGGCTAAGTTTTGTATTTTTAGTAAAGACAGTGTTTCACCATATTGGCCAGATTGGTCTTGAACTCCTGACCTCAAGTGATCCACCTGCTTCGGCCTCCCAAAGTGTTGGGATTACAGGCGTGAACCATGGCACCCGGTGTCACAGGTTCATCTTGTATTTTCCTATCCCAGCCCTGGAATCAGATGTTTCTCCAGAGAATCTGGGTTCCTCTTAGTGGAAAATGGTATTTAGGAGCTAAGGTTTTAGTGATAAGTAAGCTCATTGCTTTTGGAACATCTCTGCTCCCAGGCTCTCTCAGTGAACAGAGTTGGGGTGTGTGTGTGTGTGTGTGTGTGTACACATACGTGCACGCATACATACATACCTAACTACACATGAGTTTACTCTGATAAAACCCAATTCCAATCCAGCAACACAGAGCTGATCCTTGGTTCTTCCCTCTTCTCTAATTGTGAGAAACCTGGCTTCCATGACCCTTAGGTTACTCATTTGGTTAATCGCCTGCATGTCAGTGATCTCCCATCTACACTGCCACGCTTTGCCCTGTGTGGACATCCTGCCTACCCTGCTCAGGCTCCAACTCCCATGTCAAGCTTTCCCTGAGTCTGCAGCTGTCTCCCTCGCCCTCCCCTGGCCCACCACAGCTTCCCCCACCTCCCTGTCACTGTGGTCCCCTAATGGCGTTAGGCCTGAAGGAAGAAGGGGAAGGATGAAGAGGACATTGGTATCCTTCCTTAACTCCCCCAGGTAATTCTAATGTGCAGTGATTGACAGTCACTAAGATACATCACCTGACTTTGTAAGTTCACTATTCAGTCTGCAAATGGCTTTGGTAACTCAGTGGCTCTGTCTGCCGGGCTGCAGGGGAAAAGGGCAAAGTGCAAAGGCAAGAGAGATGGAGAAACTACAGCAGCTGCCATTTATTTGTGTTTTTTCTACAGCGGTGGTTCTCCACCCTGGTTGCCCATGCTGGAGCTTTAACAAGGCCAATGTGGACCCATTGCCCAGAGATTCTGATCCCATGGGTCTGTTTTGTTTAAAATGCTCTTCAAGGCATTGTGAGGCCAGGGAAACAAAGAACCAAGGCTCAGCCGGGTGCGGTGGCTCATGCCTGTAATCCCAGCAGTCTGGGAGGCCGAGGTAGGCAGATCACAAGGTCAGGAGATCGAGACCATCCTGGCCAACATGGCAAAACCCTGTCTCTACTAAAAATACAAAAATTAGCTGGGCGTGGTGGTGTGTGCTTGTAGTCCCAGCTACAGGCTGTTGAGGCAGGAGAATCGCTTGAATCCGGGAGGCGGAGCCTCTGCAGTGAGCTGAGATTGAGCCACTGCACTCTAGCCTGGCGACAGAGTGACTCTGTCTCAAAAAAAAAAAAACAACAAAAAAACACCCAAGGCTCTCAAGGCACGCATGCTGTAGCGAGCCCTGCCCTGCACTGCAAAAGGGTAGAGATTTGTTTATTTGTCATTACTGAAAGCATGGCTTGCAAAGTTTTCCTGCTAAGTTAGATAGCAAATATTTGGGACTTTGTGGGCCATATAGGCTCTGCTGCAGTTACTTAACTCTGGTGACAGCAGCTGTGGACTATAGTAACGTACAGCTGGTGTGGCTGTCTTCTGAGAAAATATTATTTACAAAAACGGGCATGTTGCTAGATTTGACCTGAGGCTGTAGTTTGCAGAGCCTTGGTAAAGGTTTTCAAATTTGCGTTTTAAGCCCTCCAATTTCAAGTTATGCTATTGGTGGGGAATTTTAATTAAACAAAATAATCAATACTGGCTCAAATATTTCCTGATTTTTAAAAAAAAAAAAAAAATCTGCTCTTGTTCCTATAAATAGTATATAAGATGTAATCTTGCCCTGGGTTAAACCAGTCTACAGAGGTAGATCTTGCATTTGCTTTTGTTTTTTTCTACTTCTCTTCAATTCTTGTCTTCATCCCAAATTAAACAACTAGCAACAGAATGTTTAAATCTATGTCAAATCCACGTGTTAACAGACCTGGGACGGGGGTTTCCACATAGTGGCTTAGCACAGCATACAAACCACTTTCCTTTGGCCCGACTGGCCTTGGGGTCTGGAGCACTAACCAGTCCCTGAGGAAGCGTGCAAGGGACTGGAATGTAGGGAAAGTGATGAAATATTTTGTTGGTTGGCCTTTGCTTGTTTGCAAAATATATCCAATGCTCACACCTGAGAGACAACAGACATCCTTATTTGCAAATAGTCTGCACTAGATAATTCAGATTGCAAGTCATCTGTCATGTATACTTGATAATGATTTGTTCTTGATTTAAAGTGGCCTGGGTACAGAGCAACATCCCCTGTCTTTATCACATGAGCTCTGCCTGAGGCAGCTTCAGCAGGGTAGGCAGGCAGGCAGGCAGATGGGGCATAGCCCATTTTCTGCTGGTGTTCTAGGAAGAGCAGCACATGTGGTGTTAGCAGCTAATAATTAAAACAATGTCTAAGCAGTGGGTTGAGATTTTTAAACACATACCAACTCAAAAACACTTCTCTCCTTGCTATGGAATAGTGTTCACATCATTTGTATGATTGTCTTTTCTCTTTAAAATTGGAAATACTCATTTCCCCCAAACTGCTAATAAGCTCTACTGACCCATGCTAAAAAAATAAAGCTCTTTCGGCCAGGCGCAGTGGCTCACACCTGTAATCCCAGCACTTTGGGAGGCTGAAGCGGGTGGATCACTTGAGGTGAGGAGTTCAAGACCAGCCTGGGCAATATAGTGAAACCCCATCTCTATTCCAAATATAGAATTAGCCAGGCACAGTGGCAAATGCCTGTAGTCCCAGCTACTCAGGAGGCTGAGGCAGCAGAATCACTGGAACCCGGGAGGTGAAGTTGCAGTGAGCCAAAATTGTGCCATTGTACTCCAGCCTAGGCAACAGAGCAAGACTATCTCAAAAAAAAAAAAAAACCAACAAAAAAACAACAAAAAAAACAGCTTATGCCTGTAACCCCAGCACTTTGGGCAGCCAAGGTGGGTGAATCACCTGAGGTCAGGAGTTTGAGACCAGCCTGGACAACATGGTGAAACCCTCTCTCTACTAAAAATACAAAATTAGCCAAGTCTGGTGGCACATGCTTGTAATCCCAGCTACTTGGGAGGCTGAGGCAGGAGAATCGCTTGAACTTGGGAGATGGAGGTTGCAGTGAGCTGAGATCACACCACTGTACTCCAGCCTGGGCAACAAGAGTGAAACTCCATCTCAAAAAGAAAAGCTTTATTTTTGTTGATTCCATTATTCCACTATTGTACAGAAACCCTGCACTGTGCTTGGACTCGGCTTGAATTTGTCTGACTTTCACAGGCCTCCTCTTCCTGACAGTAAACTTGAAAATATTTTTATGTGGGCACTTGGGTTTTGAAGGACTCCTTGGGCCTCAACCCCCGGGGTCCTAACTCTGAGCTACAGAGTTGACTAGAAATCCTGTAAGAAGACCACCATGTGGGAGGAAGCCCTCCGAAGCATACAAATCATCCATCTTGGAAGGAACACGACTTGGAAAGCGGAGGGACGTGGTGGTGTGCCCATTGATTGATTCATTCAGCGGTGCCTACCGGGTGCCCAACATGCCAAGCTCTGCTAATTGGCAGGTCTGCAGAGTGCTGGAAGAGCTCACCTCCTCAGGGAGGAAACAGAAAAAAACAAGCAAATAATGGGAATGTTACAGCAAGTGCACATCCAGGCCTGGGTTGGTAAAGACGCTACTTTATGGTGGCTCACGCCTATAATCCCAGCACTTTGGGAGGCCGAGCGGGCAATCACCTGAGGTCGGGAGTTCGAGACCAACCTGACCAACATGGCAAAAACCTGTCTCTACTAAAAATACAAAAATTAGCCGGACGTGGTGGTGTGTGC